CCAGAGCCCGGAATGTCTGAGCTCCGCGCGGGCGATCATCTGCCCCCGCTCGCCGCTCGCTCTTAAGCGCGCAGCGATGCCCAGCGGGAGTGGGGGGTCAAAATGGGCACTTTTACCAGAGGCCTCGCACAGAAGAGGGCCCCACAATGAGGCTGTGGGATGGGGGAGCGAGGGACCTCACGTGGCCTCGCGTGGCCTCCGAGCTCCTCTGGGGGGCCCCGATAGGCCAGGACGAGCATCGCTGCGGCGTCCCAGCACGTCTCGTCTAGACGCTTGTTAGCCGGCAAATGGCTTCAGCTGATGTGCGGCGGATCGCTTCAATGCCTCTGGTTGAGTCTGCGATTCCAACCGCTCACACGGTGGTTCATGGCGGCGTCGGCGATGATCCCGTTGCTGGTTGGGCAACGGATCCCAGCGCTTTCCTTGAATTTTAGGCACAATAAATTATAATAAAACACAGGAGGGTAATCAGAGGGCACTGGTTGAGAGAGAGTGTGCCCAGAGTTTACATCCTTGCCATTAAGAATGGTCAGCGCTGTTTGTATGATGCCGAACAAGATGATGGAGGAATTTGGCAAGGGAATGAAAACACACTTTTTTTAAACCACAAACCCGTGTCGCCGACGCGCCGCCACGCTTGTTGAATCGCCCATTGTGGCACGGAGCCGTTTTTAAAAGTCTGCCCACTGCTCAGAACGTGATAAAGTGTAGCCTTTGTCTGCCCTGCAGTGATGATCATTACTGTCCTTTGCTTCATGTGCATATCAGATCATCTCCATGTGCCATTGCGCTCCGGATTTTGCCGTTGCAGCCCCAACGTTTCGGAACAACCTTGTTTCTTCCCTTACAAAAAATATCTTTCAACAGAAGAATAGGGCCAGATACAGCAGCCACATTTGGAACTGCGATTTGAAACCCTGAGCCTTACCCATGGTGTTGATAATTAAATTATAAAGCAAAATGTAATCGAAAGACCGTATCGTGTTGGTGTGGTCTTGGCTTGTTGTTTTGTTTGTATGAAACTTGCTGACCCACCCCTACTGGACAACTGTGAAAAAGAGCTTCACGGCTCCAGTCTAAACAAGGATTCTGATTCTGGCTCCCCTGGCATCCTCCCAAACGATGGGATTGAGTATTGAGGGGCGCCTGGTTCTGCGTGCACTGCGCGGGTTTTCTGCGGCCGTGTCGTACTTTTTTTTCGCTCAAATCGCGGTTGCTGAGCACTGGCTCAAAGGATGAGGACGTGAAGCGGCACAGCAACATGCAGCAGCGCTGTACAACATTCAAGAACTTTGTAGGGGAGGCGATGGGAGGACATTTTCAAAGTTGAGCAGAGCGGTGGTTGAACACAGGGTGGATAAGTTGCAACAGTCAGCGCCAATGTGAATTGGTGAGTGCCGGAGCACTCTCCAATGGTTGTACCGCGTCTTATTTAGCCGCGAGATTCTTCAGAAAAAGAATTGAGCATCAAGAACCAGCAGTAGCAGCAGCAAGTGGGAGCGCTCTATGACGGAGGGAGCAACTTAATTCAGTTTCGGGGGTAGCTCCCAGCACGTAGATCGAAACGTCAGACATCGCGCTGAACAAAAACCGGCAGTAGAACTTGAAAACACGTCGGAGGGTTTAATGTAATCGTTCGCAGAGAGAACGATCACACCGGGTCACGTGCAACACAGATGTGGAGCCGAGGCTTGTTTTCAAGAGCGGCTTTTTGTTGTTATTGTTTCTGAAGGCGTCACCGGAGCGCACACAACCAAACACAGGCTGCGGGTGCAGCAGGTATCTACGAAGCCAAACAATCATCGCCTCAGTCATTTCCTGCCCCGGCACATGCCGACGGTCCAGCAGGACGCACGGCCGCGATCAATGAAACGCAAGTGAATGTTCGTGAATGCGCACGAAGGTCCATCCGTGCCCCTTGAACAAATCAACTCGCTCGGAATGCGCCCGGAATCGTGAAAGAGCTCAGAAGCTAAAGCGGGAGTCGAGCCTTGATAGTGCTTTGATGGGAGACCAACCGTGCGTCGCGGGTGTTATAGGCCGTGAGGCTACGTGGTGCTGCACGCCTTCACCAACCCGCAACTGACTATGGTCAATATTCTTAGGTTTTTTCGGTAAAGTCACGTAGGTAAAAAATTTAAATTAATAAAAGTAAAATAAAATTAAAATCACTACGTTTATTAATTTAAATTTTTTACCTACGTGACTTTGCCGAAAAAACCTAAGAATATGAATCCTTGCAGTCACGAAAGCTTCAAATCTAGAATTAGACTATGGTCAAATAACGCGCACGACCCACGTGCAGAGGCCCTCGTCCGCCATGTGCGAAAAGGAAAATGGAATTGGGAAAAAAAAAAATTGGAAGCATTTTAAGCCTCTCGTGCGTGAATTATGGAAAGCCAAACCAATATTTTATTCATATTTTTTGGTGTAATGCGATTTTAGCAGTTAACGGGAGACCTCACATGTGCTTAAAATGCTTCCATAATTTCACAGTAATTTGAGAAATCGTAACAGTCAACCAGGGAGGATGCGTGAGAGGGTAAAATCTGCGGCTAATGATATGCAAGTAAATTAGCGGTAGAGTGACATTAGGTCAGAGGGCCAAATTATGTCTAAGCGTTTGAGTAACACCCACGGCAGTCATCGCACACTGCCTGTGGGCCTGAGTGACCTTTGAACAATTCTGTAAAAAGTCTGCGCAAGCAATTTGGTTGAAATAGTCTGACCTTTACAAATAGGGCCACGTGGCCCACACTGCCCTAATATCTGGTTTCAATAGGCTGGAATTAAAATGCAGAGTCTCCATGCCACCCACGACTAAAAGCACTTTCTGTTTTGAAAGTACTTTCTTTGAAGGCTGTTTATTTATTTTACACATCTTATAAGACAAGGCGATCACGAACACACTTTCTGTCACAGATGGGCACGGTCTGCTAGCAGCATGTGGTCTCAGACAATTAAATTATTTTTTCTAATTTGGCCAATTGGATCATGACGCTGGCACACATGGCCTACTCGCTCCCGAATAGCATCACGGGATCTTTAGCATCCATTGTGACGCAAGTGGCATAAACCGTGTTCTCCAGACTATAAGACGCTCAGGACAGTAGACGCAACCCAAACTTGCGCGGATAAAAGTTTTACAATTAAAGTTACACACAAACACAGCTACCGGAATATATTATGCCACCCCTTCAACATTTTCTTTGAAATACAGGGAAAAAAACTGCACCTAAAATAATCCCTAGATTACAGTATTTAATATTAATACCACTGTGATATTAACCAGGGTGGCCACTTGATTTCAACCGTAGAATCTCTGCAACGGGCAGCAAAGGCGCTACCGGCTCGATCTGCTGCCACCAAAAACCATAAAGTTTGTTTGCACTGCACCCAACGCGAACAACTTTCAATAAAATCGAGAATAAAGTGTGTTGACAAAGAAAACAAAAACAACCCCAAGTGCTCGCGTATCAAAGCAGCATGAGGGGAGCAATCTCTGCGCTAGAGCCACTTGCCCCAGTGTCCCGCTCAGCGTCCCCGCGCTTCGCTGCGAATGTAAATGCGTTTTTGCGCGCGCGCCGCACGTTCACGCGAAGGGCCTCGCCGATTGTACCGGGGGTCGGCTGCGTGCGCCGCACGCTTGATTTAGTGTAGCTAAGGAGCGGCGCTCGGGGTTGCAAATGGTCCAGTGCTCGCTGCCTGGATACAGCGGCATGGACGGCGCATATCAATGCTCGCAGCGAGAAAATCACTCCGGCTTCCGCTGATGTGTTCAAACCAAGTGCTGCATACACATCCCATTGAGGCTCCTGCGTTTTTGCATTTGGAGTTGGGGCTGAAGCACAAAGAGCAAAAAAAACTCGACACGTTTGTCAATAACACTCTGGCCTTAAAAGAAAAAATATATATAATAGACGACGTTTGGTGAAAAGGTCCTTCTTCATTGCTCGAGCCATTGCCTGTTTAATAAGTGGCTGCCACCAAATCACGCGGAATGCGCCAAATATCATCTGATCTCAGAAGCTAAGCAGGGTTGTCTGGACGGTGCTTTCATGGGTGACCGCCATCCACACCCGGTTGTCACAGGGGTTTTAAATTATCTTACAGGGAGAGGAGGCCCTGGATCTTTAGGAAACAAAAAAAAACCGAGCGTCTCTCAGCGATCAAAGCCGTTTAATTAGCCATACGCAACTCCGCATGGCAGGTCGCCCTTGTGCAGCATGAGCGCAGCGCGGGCTATTCAACGCACATTACGGCAATCGTGAGCATTTGCAGGCAGCAAGCGAGTGTACAGTTCATTGGGTAACGTGGTGCCTTGCCAAGTCTCCATTCATGAGACCCCTAGCCCTGATATGACCCCATTCAGCACCCCCCCCCCCCCAGGCATTCAGGCTGCAATGATCCTCGGAGCTGTGCGAGGTGGCACAGGGTGGAGTCGCTGTGGAGCGATCTGAGCACTGTGCCATGAACCCAACGACCCGGGTTCAATTACCGGCCACGGTCAACATCGGTGCCGATTGTCGCCTGAATCGATCACGGGTCTTCCCAAGGGAACCTGGGGTGATGGGTAAACATCGGCAAATGGAGAGACAAAGGCGGCCGGGCACAGTGCTGGCCACACTCGCCAAGAGATTGAAAGCTAATTTCTTCAGAACTGCTTTTTGTGTTAAGTTTGTTGTCCTTCCCCCGCATCTCCGATTAGCACAGCTAGCAACGTACAGTGTGAAATAAGTTCAACGTACATACGTATAACAGCACTTGCCCCCAAAAGTCTATCGAGGGAACTTTGTCTTTGTGTTGGCGACAGGGGGAAGAGTGGTAGTGCAGTAGTTCAGTAGTGTGGGCCGTCATGACAAGTGCTGTCTAAAAAATCGTGAGAGTATGCTGAGAGTATGCTGCGCCTCCCCTAAGTTGACTCAAATGAGTGCCTTGTGCGATGTTCTAACGTCAGCATTGAGTTGGAGTGGGGGGGGGCGCGGGGGGGGGGCTCTCACCCGTCAAAGAGAGCCATGCCGGTGAGGTTGGCAACGCTACGGAGCAGGACGCCGATCTCGCTGCGGAAAGCCGTGCGGCGGTACAGGCGTCGCACCGGCCCCTCGGCACCGTCTGGGAAATCACAACAACAATAATGTTAATAGCTACTTATCATCATTTCTAAACGTGTAGTTCTTTTGGTATTCACGCCATTCTTACAGCGCAAGGCTATCGCGCGGGAGGGCGCTATGTGTCACCCACGCTACGTGCCACGCACGCTACGTGCCACGTGCGTGCACAGTCCGCAGCGGTTGCCCAGGAGGGGGCGGTGTTGCCATGCGTGATCCCAATTCAGTGATTTGCGGTGAACATGTTCGATTTTGGGCCATGACGCTGGCAAACAATGGCCTACGCGCTTCGAATTACGTCGGGGGGGGGATCTTTAACGTCCACCGTGAAGCAGGCGGCACGTGTTTTATGGTTAACAACCCGGGTGGCCGCTGCATTCGAATCGGCGAACCTCAGCGACGGGCGGTAAACGCGGATGTCAGTTGAATGCGATTCACGACAACTGAGTGCTTGCCAGTGAACACCAATGCCTCCTTCGTTCTCTGGATTTCGTCAGATCGGGAGTTTGGCCTGCCACGTTGACGAGTACATGCGGAGGTTGGTCAGAGAGCCAGTGGACGGCTGCAGCGGTGGCCTCCTCACGAATGTCCGAAACGCTGCTGCCGGCGGAAGATGGAAGAGGGCAGTTGCGTTGCCGTGTGGCTCTACGTGGCGCGGCTCGCGAAGAACGCGGTTGAAAAGCAAAGTGGCGCGACTCGTCCGCAGACTTTCTCCGAAACCGACTCGCACACACGCAATGCGGCTGCACGGAGCGCGGACAGGAAATTTTAGGAAAGTGCCAGGAATGTCGTAAACTCTGTGAGAACCTTCATTAGGCACTGATATCACAAAGTCGCCACGTGCGAGCTCGGCCCGTGATGGATACACAAGGATATCGCTTTACGAGGTTGTAAATTGAAAGCAGGCGCTTTGGCCGAGCGGGTTAATTTAGTGTATCCGGAGTGTGGACGGAGCTCGGCTCTCGTCTGGCGTGAATAAGGAGTCACGACAGGTCGGCTCTCGCGTGGCGCGGACCTCTCTTCTTCCCGCACCCATAGATCTGCCATTCCGAGCGATTGAGCGACGGCAATATAACGTCGGCGGTGCCCTCGAATGTGGAACGCTCTGCAGAGTGGCTGCCGTAGGGCGCTGAGCGCGAAGCCCGGCTGGAGGTACGCGGGAGAGCGGCCCCTGCGGCCGTGATTTATCAAACAATGTCCCAAATTGTTTGGGAACATTTTAAGCTGGGGCTTAATGGTGCGTGTAAAGGAAAGGATGTGTGTATGTGAGCGTGTGCGTGCGCGTGCGTGCGTGTGTGCAGTGCTGGTTGTGATTAGTTCTGCGGGTGCAATGTGCCTGCGCAATACCGTGCCCGTGAATTACGTTATTCCCTTTGTGTTTCGTGCTATGACTTCTTCTATTCATTATCCACAGCAGCCGTGATCAATCCAAAGCAACAATTCATAGAACAACTGCACATTAGCTGATTTCATCGCTCCATCTCTGCAGAGGATGTTGAGCATGCAGCTCTGCGTGCTTCTTCACGCCCTTCTCAGCTTTTGTTACATTATATCCATCGTCGTCCATTTTTGTGATCCATACGTCACAGCAGGTACAACGGTATGATTTTCATTCTCAAGTTCAGTTTTCCGAAAGCACTTTTCACTCGTCAAAATATATATTTGTTCATCCATAACAATGAATAATAATCTCAAGTGGTAACGCACTGCACAGCGTTCGCTCGCTCTCGTAGACAGAGAGAGGACGACTCAGAACCACGATCGGGAAGGCAGCAGCAGCGACGCGGTGAGGAACCGGCACCGAATACCCCTCGCTCCACGCTCTGCGATCCTCGATACATTGAGGCCTCAGGTGCGGGAAGAAACCGGAGCACCTGAAGAAACCCACGCGTGTGAGCGCTGCGCGTGGCCGCGCACGGATGCCTGGTTGCTCAGCAGGATATTTACACGGAGGGAAAACCTCGCACAGACGCCGGCAAGGACCGGCGCCAGCTGAGTTCCCAAACACGTTTGCAGCTAAGCCCTGGCCTGATTTATGTAATCGCCAAGAATTTGGTGTTCATAAAAAAATTACAAGCATTTAGAAAACCCTTTTAAACGATGCGGAGGGAACCATAATCGTGGCAGAGTTATGGGGATTATTTCTTTCACACCCTAAATTTTTCTGAAACCTTCTAAATAAAACGCAGGTGCTTGTGACGCGCACGGGTTAGGCGACGTCACGACGCGCCGTGACGCGGGCGCACTCCGAGCAGGACCGGGGCCGTGCACAGCTGACGGAAATGCCCGCCACATACCCCGTTACGCCAGACGGCAACATTCCTATATGCTACCAAATTTAACCGCGCTTTGGTCGTGTTTACCGACTTTGTTTTGACCGCGCTCCACGCAGACTTGTCGTGATTTTGTTATGGGTGGGGTTGGCGCACTGGACTCAGACGCTAGAAAAATAAGTTTAATCCCCGGTCAATATGCACAAGACTGGTGGGGCAATCATTATTTTACACTGATCTGGACCGCCTCAACCCAAGCTGGGTACCTGGTGTGATACTCGTGAGTAAATATCGTCACCGTGGAGACGACGGTAGCAGCACACCTCCACCAGACACCATTCCCTTCGATGGCCCTGAGCCCATCCGGCATCAATGTCCAGAATACAGCAGCCTTCTTCACGGTCCTCGATGAGCTTCCCTTGCTTAGTTATCCCCCTCACGTCCCACTCTGCTTCCCTCCACCCCAGCAGCCAAGGCTCTCTCATCGACAACCCCCAGTCAACCTTAGCTCTCAGGGCGAGGTCACTCATTCTCTTCTGCTGCCCCCAAAGGGTCTGGAACTTCCTTCCCCCCAGCCGTGCCGGGCCCAAGACCTTCCATTTTGTTCCATCTCACCTGACAGCCCCCGCCACCCCCTCTGTCTCTCTGTAAAGAACAAACGTGCGCACAGCGGTCGCGTTTCGTCACTCTTTGAGTCCACGTGGCGTTGTCCGCTGTTGCTCGTCATAGTCCGTGCGAGCCGTCTCACCTCGCTTCCGGTAGAGCGTCCCGTCGAGCCGGGGCAGCAGGCTGGCGCAGGAGGGCACGCGCGCGGGCCGTTCCAGCAGCTGCTGGCTCGTGCCGCAGCTCTGCGTGTCCGGGTAGAGGAGGCACTCGAGCCAGCCGGCCGGGCCGTCTCCCACCACGGCGGCCTTGCACAGCGCATCCCCCCGGCACCCTGCGGACGCGTCGAGCGACGACGGAGACTCAGCGTGAGTGGCGCGACACATTGATCAGTCAACATCATCAAAATCATCATCATCATCAACATCATCATCATCTATCTGTCCTTTCTGTCAGCTCATGAGTGACAACGAGATTCTCTTCCTTTAGCCACTGTCACCGCTTTGCTCATTAGCAATACTTGATCATCCACACCTTTTACTGTTCGAAAAACAGCAGGCCGTCGTGTGTGCCAGCGCCACGGTCCAAATATTGTCTTCTAAATTACTTGAAAATTTATGAACTGGGAACCCACATCGTAACATCGTGCCCCACTGGCAGACTCATGCGCACGCGCTGGCCGGGGATGCGTTCATCTTGTGCCGAACGGGGGCAGCTGCCACCGTGGAGGGAGTCTGTAGATTTACTGTGCGGAAGCAGGGCCACATTTGCTCATCGGCTAATACAACCATCAGATTCTGTATGCCCTCCCTTAGGCCCTCCATTCCATATTGAAGTAGCAGCTGAATGTAATCGTTTAAATAGTGTCGTTGAGAACGATGGGAGCGCAGCCATCGCAAACATTTTTGTCTTTGAGTCACGATGACGCCATTCACGACTTTACCACAGCTGACGCTCGAAAGAAAAACAATTGTAGGAAGTAATGAGTGTAGTGAGTGAGTTACGTTTGAGGAATTTACCTTGAGTCGAATACAATTGTTGATTTTACATCGGCAAGTAAATAAATATATTTAACGACTTCATAATTTGTTTTGCAATATGTAAAACATACTTGGGCCATTTCCTCCTATTAGCGGCCCCTCACAACATTGATCTAGCCCTGCATGGGAGGCGTGGCATGACCATGAAGTGATGATGGTGATGACAATCCCACTGGATGAATGTATTTTTTGCCGGCCTTACTTCTGAGGCACCACGAGGTGGCCTGCTGCAGGTGAGAAGGCCCTCCGGAAGAGCCAGAAGTTCTGCTGCGCCACGCGCATCTCTGGCTGCAGCGTCACCTCCTCCGGCCGCAGGGTCGAGAACCGTCCCGACACATCGGCTGCTCGCGACCATCGGGACGGCAGGGGCAAGGGAACCCACGGGAATTTGACGTGCATCCTCTTCTGTTGACATACTCGTACGAGCAATGATCACCCGAAATCTGTGTTGATGTTTCTGTGTCTCATACTTTACAATTCATTATTGTTTAAGTACAATTCAATTGTCCAAACCAATTATTGTTTCTGGAAATATTTCTATATTATATTGTGTTTTTGTTATGATTTTTTATTGGCATCATCGTTGTTGTGCTTTGGTTTTTTATGTTTTGGCTTTTGTCATTTTGGTAACCCAGGTCAGTTTCGCGAATGAGAATCATCCTCCCCCTGGTCTCTTGAGTTATCTAAACAACCTTGAAGGTTGTGAGTTCACCATCTTGATTGGGGGTTTGACTCAGCCATCATCCCCATGGAATCGATATGATGAGTACCACTTTGTGCAGGGATATGAATCAAAGCCGACTTTGTGATAGAAAAAATCTACAACTTAACACACGATGGTAGAGCTCAACAAAACGAGACACAGTGACACTGTGACAGGGGATCCTGTGTCCTATAACATTCACCCCTTAAAACTACGAACACACTCCAGCTCACTGTCCTGCGCAGTGGGGACTTCGCGGGTGGACACACGGTGACTTTTGCAAGACATTTCACGTGCTGTACATTCTAAACTGCGAAAATCCCCACAAATAAATTGTATTTGTCAGCGATGTTAGGGAAGCCGAGCATTTATGGACCGTCGCATCCAGCAACTGTGATCTGCCAGGGCTTCTTGGAGGCCCAGGGTAAATTGCCCCATTTTACCACAACTTTTGGTGGCCCCGTTGGTAAGCTCGATATCACACATGTTCAATAATTTCCACGAATACAAACCCTCGTCTTCTGGTGAGTGGTAAGACGCATCCTGCTCCTCTCCAGCCGGCTCCCCGGGCTGAGGTGTGTAGGCCTTGGTGTGTAAGCAGACATCGCGTGGCCCAGCTTCACTGCCTGCACACAAACGAGAGTACTGCGCCGTCGATATACCCATTGCATCGCCAGTGTCTAATTAACAACTACAATGGAAAGGTGCAGCCCCGCAATTGCTTGCTCGCATCACCGCTGGCAGAAGGGCATCTACTATTTAGTCTACGCTTTCACGCTGTCCGACGTCTTGGAAGAGGTAGAAGTACCCACACTTTACCCCGCGGCATGTGAACATACACGGTGGGATTTAAGAAACGTGCACCGTTGCCCAAGAGTGCCCAGGGGTTGAACCGGTGGCCTCTGGATTGCAAGTACGGCGTGCCGAGCATTACAACCACAGCAGCAGCAGCAGCAGCAACCCTCAACAGACGAGCAGAATAAATAAATAACGCACGTCTTACAACAACAACAACAGAAAACAACCCACCAGGAATTCAAATAAAGGCGCGTGAGAGGCAGTTACTCGGACAGCGTGTTGCACGGCGCGAGCTGAAATGTGCCTCGTCATCACGGATCACTCAGCTCGCGAGTAAAGCCGCTATTGAGGGATAATTCAGCTCGGTGAGTAACGCGCTGGCAACGTCTTGGGCCGGCATCAGCGCGCGCGGCAATAAAGACGTCGCGTCCAGTGCATCTTCCTCGCGAGCCGCTGCGCCCCGCGACGGGCGCTCGCTCTGCCCACGCGGGAAAGCGCGGCGAGCGTTACACGAGCCGCGGCGAAAGCGCAGTCGGACGTTTATAACGGATATGCATGTTGATCATACATGCACGGGCGTGAAAATAGAGAGAAAACGTGACGGTCACAATTCAGCGAGTGGCGTAGATTGTTTGCAGGGCAGGACGGTGGACAAAACAGAAAGGTTTTAGCGGGCACTGAACATGTACTTTTCTTGACGGATGTAATCACACAGTGACTTCTGACAGTGTTCACAACCCCTGTCTCCTACTGGATACACAATGTGGTTGCGTCCCTACAACAACAAAAAACAACAAAAATATGACCTCATATTTTCTGATAGATTTTTAATAGACAGTTTTCTGGGGTCCTCCACTGCGCTGCCCCACGTCCCCTGTCTTCCTCCCCCTTCCCTCCTGGGGACGGTGAAGATGAAGGGGGGGGGGGGCGAAAATATGTTCCGGCTGTCTGTGCGCTACAGCTCGACGCGATGGCGGCGAGCACACCACGCAGCCATGTCGCTGCAACAACGTCGCTGCAACAACGTCGCTGACGGGCAGCAAAACTCTTTTTGGGCTCCCAAAGGTCAACGGCTAATACCTCCGCGTCAGGTTGCCCCGCCGGTGTCGCGTGCCCACAGTGGCCGATCCCCACCTGCCCAGAGGTAGATCTGGCTGAAGAGGGCCCCGCCACGCTGCAGGTCCAACGTGAAGCCAGCCTCCAGTGGACCGCTCGAGGGCCGGGCCGCGACTCGGGGAAGGCCGGCGTCCTTCTCGTACGCTCCCAGGTCTTTGAACGCTGTGCGGGGCACGGGCACGAGCGTCGTCAAGAGAACGGGAAGATTCTGACGGCAAGCAAGCGCCAGCGCGGCTGGAGTTGTTCTTCCATCGTCCAGCTCGTCAAGTCCCACTGGGTAGCCTGGTCCCCCCGGAGGTCCTGGCTGCTGGTGCATCGTGAGACACGTGGTGCGTCTGCAACGCTTTTCGACCGAGGTTGGAAACGTTTATGCGTTGGCGCCGTCGGTTCATGCGTAACGCGTAGGGGGCACTATCACTCTCGTGAAGATGATTAAATCTTTCTTATTTGTTGAGATGGGGCCAGCTGGACCAACGGGTCACACAGAATGCAGGCAAAAGGCTAAAAGAGCCAATTAAAGACTTTGTAAATATGTAAATTAATTTTGTACTGCAGACACCTTCCACGTTGCTGATTAAATACTCTCGACGCCAAACGCGCGTCGGAGAGCGTCACGCACCCCGCGTGAGCGCACTGTGGAACAAGAACAATCAGCACGGCTCCCCGCCGTCTTTTTGTTTGGCGGGACGTCCGACCGTTTCGCTCCCCGTTCCCGAGAACTTCGTCAGGATCCAAATATCGACTTCCCGAAGAAGCACCCAGCACGCGCAGCGGAGGCGCAGGCCGTCTACGGCGAACGACGCGCTGGCACAACCCCGGGAAACACATCGAAGCGCCGCACAGCGCAGCCGCAGGAACCTGGACGGCGGCGGTGGTAGCAGCAGCAGCAGCAGCGGTAGAAGCGACAGCGGAAGGTGGATTACTGGCGTTGTAGTGGACGCCGCCGAGGCTGAAGCCGAAGGTGCGGCTGGGCTTGTGCACGCGCAGCCCGGAGCACTCCCCGTCGCCGTACTCATCCGCCGTGCGCGGCCACCCCTGGCGCGTGGCACGTGAGCACCGTGGGGCCCGAGAGCAACGCGCACACGAGCACGCCTGCCGAGAGAGACGCTCACGCACCCATGCACACAACAACAACAACCATCGCCGGTCGTCACGAAGGGGCGGTGATTTAACCGCGGCGCTTTGTAGTGCAGCTGACTAACCGCGACACTATCGCTCCCCACCGCTGAACATACACGCATGCACACGCACACACGCGTACGTAAAGTCAAAATTATTTTCTGATCAAATAAGCATTGAAGGCGGTGCCCATCTCCCGTTTGCAGGCCTGAGCCAATGGTAGAAATTCAACGTTCAGATATCACCTGCCACGAATTTTAGCAGTGGCCGCAAATTGAACCCAGGTCACAGAGTCGGCAGCGCATCACATCAGCACTCCCCATGTACATACACACACACACAGATGCGGGCGGGCGCGCGCACTCACACAGCAGCACTGGCACGCTTTCACACGAGGGCACAAATCTGGGTGCTCCGTGCCAGCACACCACACGGGCACGGACTGTAAAGAGGTTTTGGCAGGGAGTTCAGTTCACGATTAGGCGATGTGGGCCTGCCACTGGGTATGACCCCTGCGGGTCTCACAGGGCTGCTGAGAGCCTCTGCGTGCGCTCTGCCGCTTCTTGGCCGAGTTGATCAAGGCGTGTTGCCGTGGTGCAATGGTGACCGCACTGGGACTTGAGAGGCCGCCGATCCGATCTCCCGGCGCCTCCCTCTCCACCCGCAGCATAAATGGGGACACCGCAATCACCTGACGTGCAGTGGGGCAAAGCGTGGGTACTCACACCTCTTCTAAGACATCTAGCCAGCGTGGAAGAGTAGGCCGAATACCCTCTGGATTGCAAGTCCAGTGCGCTAAACATTACACTGCGGTGGCATCCCTCTGTGACGATGAAGTACAGCATCGTGAGATGTGGTGAAACGTGTCGCCCACCCGAGTCGATGTACCGAGCAGCAGAGCCACCTGTCTTGGCTGTTTCAGGATCGCTCTCTATTCGAGGCGGCTGCCTTCCCGGTGAAGCTGTGAGTCTGGAAGTCTTCCTGGGACATTAAAGGTCACGGTTTTTTGTCGTCTGCGTAACGGTGCACCGCTCACGGCAAGACGCTTACACGCAGTTCTCCGCTCGACCGGCATTGCGAGATATTCTTCTTCTCTCGACAAGTTCCCGGCGTTTTTGTTCGTTGGGCGGCGGCAACCCCAGGGAGTTTAATCGGGGACTGAGTTTGCGCCATGGATGAACGGGACCGGCTCGGTCAGCTGCCCTCACGCTCGCGTGCGCAATCGCGGTCATCACCGTTGTCGAGCGGCAGCTCCTTGAGCAGGAAGCCGTCGCAGCACGCCTGCGCGCTGCACGCCGAGCGGCAGTAGAGGTGCGCGTCCGGCAGGGTCGTGGTGCCGGCCGGCAGGGCCAGGGTTCGATACGCGCCGCTCGCCGCGTTCCCGAAGCCCGTGGGGCGGTACAGTTGGCCGTCCCACAAGGGCAGCTCGTGGCCTGTGAGGAAATAAAGATGTCGGGAGTAAAAAACAAATCGATCTGTCTCCTCCGTGCTGCCACGCTGTTTGCCGGTGGCCCACGCTTGTCAGTGCCGCCGTGTAGGTTTTCGCGCTCGTGCTGCATCACACTAAACGACGCGCGTTCGGGTTGTGCCGCTGGGCGGTTCGGCGACACGTCCTGACGTTTCGCTCCACGTGCCGGGAGCCTAAAAAGCACACCGCAGAGCTTACATGGAAGCCGCAGTATCATTGCTTGATCACTATGAACGTTTGCGGTTTGACCTGGGCCTTACGAGCGGTGAACGCAAGACAGGATAAATCCGCCGCGTGCCATGGTGAGAGGACTCAGGGCACGCTCTCCTACCCTTCTTCCTGTAGACGGTGAAGACGGAGCCGGGAGAGAGCGACACTCGCGGGCGGCAACTGAGCCGCTCCACCCAGCTCGAGTCGGGGTCCCCGAGGAACCCAGGGGCCTGCGCATGGGGGGGGGGTGGGGGGGGCAAAGATGTCTCAGACAAATCACAAAGCGCACGTGCGATTGTGCGCGGGGTGGGGAGCGGTGGGACAGTGGTTCGCGCACTACGCTACAAACTCGGCAAACCGAGTTCAATGCCCACTCACGACTGATAACAGTGGCAACGAATATCTGAACCTCTCCTGGGCCTCCACCTGGGTCAACTCAGCTTCAAATGAGTACTTGGTGCAGGGGTGTAAAAATATCCCCACTGATGTTGGCCACCCACCCCCTCGTGTGCCGTGACGAACCTTCATGGGTGCTCACAAACGGCACTTGTCACAACAGTGTGTTCAGGGACGTGGTGCGGTGATTCATGCACTGGGCTGTAAACCTTGGCGACCTGGGTTTGATTCCAGGCCAAGGTCTAACATCAGTGGCAAGCGATATCTGAAGTGGGCATCCACCTTCACTCACTCGCATTGACCAGTGTGGTGAAGTATGGTCAAATAAACCCCCTTGATCAATACGGCATTGGGGAGCAGTGGATTTACCATAATACAGTAGTGGATTAACCGAAAAGTAGAAATTAATATTTTTTTGTCCACAAAGTGTATGCACACACCTCTAACAAGGCATTTTATTTAAGAGATAAATGCACAGCTTACATGTAGTACTGGCATCCAAATAGACCGTAAGGTAAACAACTGATCACACGTGAAGTGCTCATGCATTTATTTACAGTTATTCGTGAATAACAGCTGAGACGTTTGTTTCTATGTGTGTAACTACCTTCCCAATGAAAGGTTATTCATGTCAAAGCATCAACAATGGACATTGCAATGACCGCAATAAACACGACGCACAGCGAAATGCCAAGCGCACTCTTCTCCTCGAGTGAGACACGCTCTGACACGTGCTCTGTGCTTGGTTTTGTTTTTGCTGGCTGGGTGGGTTTTGTGAAATGGACGAAGCTCCATTTTGTATTGTTGTTGTTATTGTTATTATTGTTTGATGTATTCCACTCGTGCACCCAGGAAAGCCTCGGGACTATTTCTCAAGGCTCTTACAGCAGGGGCCAATGTTGCCATTTGTAATCCAAATTGAATCATTTGCGGGGATTTCTTTTTCAACATTGGGATGATTGGGCAATACTGGTTACATTTTATTTAGCTATGGGAGGAAACCAGAGAACCCGGGGGAAACCGGCGCAGAACAGGGAGAGAATAGAGAGAGAGCGGGGGGGGGGGGGGGGATACACAAACTCCCCACAGAAAAGGTACTCGAGTCAGGAATTGAACCCAGGCAATACTTGGTGCGAGGCACAAGTGGTGCCACTGCGCCATCACCATTCCAACACCAATCTTAATAAATCAAAGAGCTAAAAAATTCCTCCTTGCGCAGTGCATTATGCTTCCTGTGTATACGTGTCTGGCCTTGGTATCTGCCAAGAATAATGGAAAGGATAAACAGTCGGCTTGGCAGGATCCCATAGACCTCGCTGACAAAGCACCCATGGCCTTGACACAAGCCATGCTGTGGACCTGCTTTAAGCAATGGCAAGCCGGGCTCTGCCAAATATATGAAGCCTGCAGAATTATAAAAATAATGTTTGTCAATTTGTCATTGCTGATGAACCTGAGTGCATGCCTATACAACTGCTGACAATATTTTGCAGTTGCTAGCACCTGCTTTGCAGATGCGCTGGTCCAAATCTAAATATTGTGCATGTGCATTTCTCATTGTCAAATATCCTGGAATCAAGAACACACACAGAGAAGCATGGGGAAACAATATATATCAGCCCGAGCCACCACACAAACAACTTATGTAAAGTTCCCAGCGACAGGTTATGCGCGGTATGCACATTAGTGATTTCCTGAAACCAGTGGGGGTGCTGGCATATCAGGGGCCCTCAGCTGTGACATGTTAACTACCTCGCCTGTATATTTGCAGTTTATATGTTCTCCCTGTGGTCGCGTGGACTTTTCTCCGGGTCCTCTGGTTTTCCCCTCCACATTTAGAAACATGCGTTTAGCGTATTTGGCTGCTCTAAATTTCCACATGATGATAAGCCACTTTGTTGAGCTGTCATTTGTGGCCAGGTCACTTATGAAAAATTAACCCCTAAAAACAAAGTTTATATGTGTGGCGGCTAGAGTCCTCTCGTCCTCTGGCTTGAAATGGCTGCCACCTATGGGTCAGATGATTGCCTGCCACCATTAAGCAATTGGTAATTAAATATAAAAAAATTCCCTAAAAAGTGTAAAAAAAATTAAAAAAATTTTCACGAAAATAAATTGTCACGCACAACGTGTCTGTGTGCAAAATGTCAGCTCGATTGGATCACGGGAAGTGGGTTAAAAAACGACTGAAAGATTTGCACGGTCGTAAGCGCGCAAGCAAGCAAGCAAGTGAACTTAATAAAAATGTACCCGTAAAAACAAAGTTTTTCACTCTAAATCCTTTATATGCGTGGCGACTAGAGTCCTCTCGTCCTCTGACTTGAGATGGCTGCCACCTATGGGTCAGATGATTGTCTGTCAGCATTAAGCAATTGTTAATTAAATATTTAAAACATTTTCCCCAAACAGTGTAAAATTTAGGAAAAAAATTTTCACGAACATTAATTGTCTCGCACAACGAGTCTGTGTGGAAAATGTCAGCTCGATTGGATCACGGGAAGTGTGTTAAAAAACGACCGAAAGATTTGCACGGTCGTAAGCAAGCAAGCAAGCACGCAAGCAAGCAAGCAAGTGTAATTAATATAAAGGATTTAATAAAGGATTTAAAAAGAGCTACGTAACTCAGTGGAGCCTTACCTGGAAAAATAAAAAAAAGTTTAGTTTAGTTTTAGTTGGGGGCCCTCCTTTCAATATATAAAGTCCTCGTGAGATTACGAAAGAGATATATAGACAAACTATAGATGTAGTGAGCTGTGAGAGATGTGAGAGATGTAGACAAGAGATAGATGCAGTGGCATGAAGAGATTTACAGCAAATATAGAGAAGATAGAGATGAATTGGCATCTTAATGTTAATTTGCTTGTTATGTTAGGATTTGAGCTGATATTTGGGCACTAAGCTTTTGCTCGGTTTTCTCATTCCTCACGCCGCCACTGCCTACAACCCAATGTCCAGCCGCAAGCTCCCAAAAAAGCTCCTTGCGTACCTCCGGCGCTGTCTCGCACTGATAGCTTTCCCGCGAGCCGTTGTAGAAGTGGCAGGAGCTGACGTCACCCTGGGTGGAGAAGACGAGGAAGTCGCAGCGCTCTTCCTTCAGGCACTCTGCCAGAGACACGGACAAGAGCGCACGGAGCGATCGAGATCACACGCACGTCCTGCTCGCGATGCTGACACACGCGCGCGCACTTCAGACCTGTCAGCCGCGAGGTGGCCGGGTGGCTCGGAGCTCGGAGCTCTTGGCGGGCCCCACTGAGAACCTGGGTTCAAACCCAGGCAGCTGCCTGTGATTAAACCAGACTCTCAAGTGTTGCGAGTTGATGATCTCAGCCCAGCCATCAATGACTACGTGAGACAAATATCACGTTAAATCTGATTCTGCACTTCGTTGGATGAAAAATGTCCAACTCTTGAGAACGGTAATTATCACTTCCACTGAACATTACTCTCAGTGGCAGAGTCGCCACACCAGAGCTGTTCCCTGCTGTGCGGACCGGAGGTCACTTGGAGGAATGTCAGAGACCGTTCGGTGATGAAAACCGATTCAGTCGGCCGCTCCCTCACAAGCAAGGCTGCACTGGGGGTTCTTTATCCCAAGCGACGGCGCGGACCACACAATCAGAACAAAATTCGGGCTAAAGACCTTTTTAGTTATCCTAGCCGCCGTGCGGCGAGATAATATTGTGGTACGCTGGCAACGTACACGTCGTAGACGTCAACTTACACTTAGCTTTTTCAATTTCGGCATGTTTTTTATTTACTGTAAAGTTAAATCTAGGTTATTCCTGTGCGTATGCTGTCTTCGTGCTATGTAAAGAAATCTGGCAACAATTAAATGCCATCCATGTGTAGCGCATGTACAGTGTCAAGGTACAATTGCATCACGTAAATGATTTATTTTGACGCGCACCACTGCACCATCAACACCTCATCAAACCACGTAAGGCAGCGCGCCAGCGTGATGCGGCGCTGCGCAGCGTGAACATCAACACGGTTTGGCAGGCTCCGCTTCGATCGGCGAGTGTGAAAGTGCGGCGGTGACGGGACAACTCCCGACGAGAACTCCCGCGCAAGTCGCCCGAGTCGCTTGTCTGGAACGACGAGCCCCCCGGGGGGGGGGGGGGGGCCGTCGGCTCGTCGGCGGCCGTGAGCCACGTAACTTCCCCGGAGGCTGTGCGGCCTCGCTCTAGCCCGCCGCCACGGCCCCGAGGGGCGGCACGAAGGCTACGGAGAGTCACCGCCACCTCCTCCTCCCACCCCCCACGCGATCGGTCTGTCAATTCGTTTGCGCGAACCCGTCGGCTTCCACATGCCGACCCGGTGAACCACTTCTGCTCCGTTTAAAACAATATTTATTTTTCTGTGAGCGGTTGAGTTTTCAGCGGAATTAGTGGTCAGTTTGACATCCGAACATGGCGAATGTTGACGCGCGAGTTTTTTCTTTCTTCCCAAACGCACGCGAGCGTATTCTGTGACTGGGCGTCCACGTGCAGCCGCTCCATCAATCCACTGCTAGATGAGGCCTTCCACCTCCCTACGCCCCATGGGCCGTTAGGGATGTTTGATCGTGCTTTACCGTGCTGGTCAGTGCAAGATGGTAAAGGTGCGGATCAACGCAGAACAACAACAATGGACATTCGTGCACTGCTTTCTGCTGCCCAAAACGCCTAATGCACCACTCTGTTGGGCATGGTGGACACCCATCCCTGGACTGAGCAGGTTCAAGCCTGCTCAGCTTCTGAGATCTGAACAGATCGGGTGCATTCTTGGTGGCTTGGTCAAAGGTGAAATGAAGTGTTTTCTGAAACGAACTACATTCTGAATAATGAGTTTTAACTGAAATGACCCTTGCAAATCCATTGCACATCCAGATGGGAGAGTGATTAATGTCCCTGCCACACTCTCTGCTCCAGCAGAAATTGCTTCAGTACCTCCGCTGCCAAGATGTGTAAATGTCAATAATAGGTGGCAAGCTGAAGAGGTTAACGCACTTACATCAACTCCAATTTTCGCAGGCAACGTTAGATCATACTTTCCTTCCCCACCTGGAAACAATTTGACTTCAGGGTTTTGTTTGTGGGGGAGAACGAGACGGAAACGCTGTGCGCACGACAGAGCGACAAACCCACGTCATCCCGGTTCGTGACCATCAACGTCACCGTTCGCTGAGAAACGGATTTTCGAAATCCTCTCTTTTATAATCCTTCTAAATCCAGACATTTATATTTTGATTAGTTTTTGCACAGAAGCAAAAACATATTCTCCGCTTGGCACGACACGCAGCTTCTTTATTAATAATATTGTTGGCGACGTTGTAAAGGAGGCAAATATCCAGGCATGCGAATTCATCCAACCACGTCTCTGTATGACGTCCCTCGATATCACACTCTTACAACAACGGGATATTGATGCAATTCACGCAGCTCGAATATTTTATCCAAAGCAACGGCACCAACTAGTCGCTGGGCAGAGCCCCGAAAAACATTCCAGTGGGACCTCGGGAAGGTGGTGCGATACCAGCTCCAACCTCTACACATTGCTTTTGGCAGTGCAACAGACACTGCGGTCTGCAATGCACTCCTACAGCGCCCTTGTCAATCCACTGCGGGTCATGGGTGTTGTTTAACCATACCTCACCACGCTGGTCAGTGTGTGGTTTGGTAACGATGGGGAGGACATAAATTGTAACATTATTAAAATTACTTACGATTTTTATAATGGTTGAAATGCAATAGTGGAGCATGATTAAAAAAAAAAATCCTGGAGACAATTTGTTACATGGGCCAAAATGAAAATAGTTTTTTTGTGTTAACTTTGATTTGGATTTACATTTTGTATATTACATTTTTTAAAATAGTCAAGGTGAGTGGACCGTTTGGCATCCACCACGGGTGGTGTGTGCGTGTGTGCGCATGCGCGCGTGGTGTGTGCGTGTGTGCGATCGCACCTTGCAAACAGCGCGGCTCCACCTCCTGCACAGGCCCCGTCTCCGTTCGAATTCTCAGCGCCACTGCGTCCACCGCCCCGAGAACCAGGTCCTCCGATGGGACCTCCTCAAACATCCTGCGGACTGCGCGACGCACGCCAGAGCTGTGGTGAGAGGCATCAGCAGTACTGTACCTCCACGCAGTTGATTGACTTGACCAATCAGAATAATTACCTTTAATAGTGCCGTGGTTGGCATGGGCACCTGTTGCAAGGAATAGAAATGGGGCACCCTGGCTGGTTTCATCCCTCTTCCTAGCCCGGCATTTGGTCCTCTCTGGCCTGGGGGCTGCGGTGCAGTTGCACCACCTGCACACTCGGCAGCTACGCCACTACCACTCACTCAGGAAAGTATCACTGAGCCTCAAGGGTCTATTGCAGGAGGATCTTCTGTGGGGATGTTTGGCTTATTCAATTCGTGAGTGTTTGGCTGTATGTGGGAGTAAAGCGGAGTACAGGGAGAAATCCCACACGTACCAAGGGGTAATACTCAAAGCTTCGCACAGCTAGATTTAATAATCCATTGCTCTACTGCCCTCACCACCTTACACCGAGCTAAGAACACTTGTAATTTCAGGGAAGTATCCCATCCATGTACTTAGCCGGCTGAACTCTGCTTTTATGTTTCCCATATGCAATACATAGACTAAGCCGAACTCAGGAGGTGACAAACACTACCCAGGGACGTTCCCCCACCTCGCGCTAGAGGTAACTTGTAGGGGCTCCGTCCTGGTGGGACACCTGGTCGAGGTTGCTGGCCAGTACTTGACCCGCTACGCGACTACTCCAGCCGTAGTCGACTCGCACTCCCACGGCGGCTCTTCGTGCCACGTGGGTGCCCCGGGCGAAGCGGGTGTTTGCGCAGCAGGCATGTGATGGCGGCGAGCGTTGTTCGTGCTTGGCCTACGAGTGGTGTGTTCACCTTCATCGTGGCCTCCCTTGGTCGGCTTCTCTCCCTCGTAGAGGCCCTCTGGGTCACAGTAGAGTTCCACTCGCTCGCCGGCCCCCAGCTGCCCCCGTCTCAGAGCCTCCCGCTCGCACGGCGTCCGGCCTGCGGAGACAGACGTCCCCCGCTCGGGTTTGCGTAACTCACCCTACCGAACATCTGTGAAAAATAACTTTATAGCTTACTAGTTTCCTCCAGTATACATAAATATTCTGATTCCGAGTCCCGGTTTCCCATCTGAAATGTCAAAGCGTCTTCCTGCTCCAATGAGCGTGGGGCAGCATTCGTCTATTACACCTTCAACATCGCTGCTCGTTGCTGGCCGCTCGGCGTTTTTGTGCCTTTTGACCTGTGCTCAGAAACCCTCGTTATATTTACAAATACATAAAAAAACAGTCCCGGTTAGAGAATCAAAAAGTCCCCCAACCGCAGAGTGTGAATGAACGTAAAGGAGACGCGACATCTGTTCCAACCGTGGGAGCGTCGTAGGGCGGTCGACGCGCAGCACCTACACTGGGAGGCGGCGGCGGCGCCGGCGGTCAAGGTGCCGGAGTCGGCGGGGCACGGCGTGCAGGCCGTCTGCCCCGGCTCGTCCTGGTAATGATCGGCGGGGCACGGCGCGCAGACCCCGTCTCTCCACAGCGAGCCTCGGAGACACGCGGCTGCGCGGCGAACGACACGGCGGGGGTCAGGCTCCGTTGAAGTGAAAATCTTAATTTTGTTTTGATATTGGTTACACATCCAAGCACTATCCAGGATCACAGGGATGGCGGGGGTTAGGCTCACCTTCGGACATCCACTGTTGACTCCCCACAAAGTGTTATCTATTTTATCAAAACGCGAGGAATGCTGGGCTCAGGCAACTTACCATCTGGGATTCAAACTCAGGACAAGCCACCACCACCGTGACAACTTTGCAATAACACTCATGATGGTTTTTACACATATACAGCGCGTCTGAAAAGTACTTTGCCGATTTGTGGAACTGCCCGTGGGCATGGGACGTGTTCATTGGACGTGTTCCTGGGACGTGTCCATGAGACGTGTTCTTTGGATTTTTTTCTGGGGACGTGTCCGTGGGACGTGTCCGTGGGACGTGTTCTTGAGACATGTTCACGGGATGTGTCCGTGGGACGTGTCCGTGGGACGTGTCCATGGGACGTGTCCATGAGACATGTTCACGGGACGTGTCCGCGCCAGGGTCGCGCGACTCACCGCATCCTTGCGCGATGCGCACATAGCCCGGCTCGCAGGCCATGCGGAACGCGGGCGACGTGTCGTAGAGCTCGTCCTTGCGGAAGCGGGCGGCTCCCTCGGAGGAGTAGTCGCGGCCGTTGAGCGCCAGGCGGTAGCCGCGATTGTCCAGCAGCTGCGCGAAGCGCTGGGCGTGCGCAACAAACGCACGCTCTGCGCGGCAACAAAGAAAGATCCCCCCCGTAGCTTTAGCGAGACTTTTTTGGAAAGTGCTGTTAGCGTGCACCTAATGAAAACCAACGTGGCACACGAGGGGGTGGGTGGCCAGCACCATGCCTGGCCAATGCTAACACACCACACTCGGTACTCAATTAAGGCTGAATCGATTTAGGGGAGACCCAGGACAAGTTTAGATAATTGTGACTGGTGTTGGCTGTGAGCAGAAATCGAACTCGGGCCGCTGGGTTCATAGCGCGTTAACCGTTGCACTGCTGCACAGCACGCACAGACGTGCAATGTATGTCAACTCCTCTACTGCACCACCACACAGATCATCATACTCATCATCTCTCACGATCCTGCGATGTTCTCACTTGCGGAGTACCCGGAGGAAACCCACACATTGTGAGGGGGGGCGGGGGGGGTAATACTCAACCCCCGTACAGATGGAATTCAGATGGTAATTAATCCACTTGCTGTGCTGCCGTCGTGCCCTGGCCGTAAGCTACGAGATGGGGACGTCGACGCCCATGGGTACGGAGGGAGTTGAGCAAATGTGTGTGACCCACCAACTGTCACTGCCACCACCACAGAGCTGGCTCACAGGCCACGTGCAACATCGCGCCAGGCACGATTATGTACCTCCGATTAGCACGGTTGGGTCCGTACGGTGCGAAATAGGTGTGCTGTATATGAGCAAGCGCTGACCGATGTTGTGCAGGTCGGGGTAGCTCTGGACCGGCAGTCTCGAGAGCGAGCTCCTCCACGTGACGTTCACCAAGAGGCGCAGCGCGTCCTGGCATCGCACCCGCACGGAGGCGACGTCGCACACCGCCACCGCGGCGGAGCCTCCGCCTGGGGCCGACTGCACGCGCGCACGCACGGGGCAGGGGGAGTGGGCAAGCACGTGGGCGCGTGTGGCAAAGGTGCTGAAAATCATTGCACGCGGCGATAGACATCGCTCCGGCTCAACCAGGTGGCGCTAGGTGGTGGTCAGCTCCAGCTGGGGGGGTGAGCACTGCCCTCTGCTGTGTGGACCAGAGGTCACTTACAGGGATCTCAGCGGTAAGTCTGTGATATCCGCTTCCGTGGGCTGTTGTCTAGCGGAGAGAGATGCACTTTTCTATGAGAGATCTGACTCAATATTTTGTCTCAAAACACGATCCCAATTGCACAATAATAAAAAAAAAATTTGATTTGATTTTTTATTCTCGAGAGAAAAAAGTCAAGCTGAGTGGTGGTGTTTGCTTAAGTTCTTAAGGGGATGCCCATTGCTGTCGGGAATTCTGAAACTGTGAAGGAAATTCCATATTACAATGACGAGAACAGGCAGGGCCAGATTAACGCAAGGGCTTTAGGAACTGTAGCTCTATGGCCGCGGATTTTGAGCAAGTGGTGGCGATGCTATCTCCGGTCCAGTGAGGTAAACGTTACGTCACGGCAGCTTCCCACCTTCGCATTACATAAATACATGCACCCGCGCGTTCACAGGCCGCGCACGTGCGCGCTACCCCGTAGCGTGGGTGACCCACCGCTGGTACCTGCGCGCCATTGGCAAGGTGACAGAATCCCCGGGCAGTGAGGTCTGCGAGCAGGAAGGAGTTGAATGATTCCAGGAGGCCCTCGTATTCCGGGTTGCACACCTTCTCCTCCGGGAAGCGCAGCGTGAAGGAGATGCTCAGCTGCACCGCCTGCCATGGGTGGATTTCTAGACGGGGAGGGTGAGGATGGGGGGCATGGGTTGGCAGCCAAAGCAATAAGAAGAGACACTTTTTTCGAATTCGGTAAAAAAGAAAAACTCAATCATTCAAGAGCCGCGACGCGCGTGAATAACGTCACGAAGAAGCAGCATGCTGCTGACCCCTGGGTTAGACGGTGGGAGGGCGAGTCACACATAAAGGCCATGATAATAATTTGTAATTTGTAACACGTAGAGTTTTCATTCACTCTCAGAGAGAGAATGGTTTAGAGGTGTGGAAACCCCCAGCTGAGAGGGAAGGCAGAGCCAGAACTGGTGCCAATACTCTCCCAAGCTCTGTGGTCCTACATTGGCATGTTTGGGCAACTCCCTGACTCACTGGAACAATTTCATGACAATTGTCGACAGCAAACGTTACTGGCCAACAGTTGCCACGGCATTTCCTTTTGTAAACATGTAATGGCCTGAAATAAAAACAAATGTGATTGCAGCTTCCCTCTGCGATAAAACAAATCTGGGGTGGCAACTTCCAATCATATAACAGACAGTGGGCACACGTGACTGCTTCATGTCAAGCGCTCTTCATTTGAGAAAGGGCAGCTTCAAGTCAGTGCGCATGAGTGGGGTGTGGACAGATGAAAAATAAAGCCTTCCGCTCAATTGCCTCTCCGATAGTGCTCACGTTAATCCCTTTGCTTAACCTTAGACACATCCACGCCGCCGGAAACCGCCATTAATCTCTGCGCACGTTCCAGGCGCGGTCCAGCGTGTAATTGACCGCGACGGCGGTTACCCTGGCAAGCGTCCGGCTGTGGCGATGACCCGATCCACTCCCCGCTGGTGGCGTTACACTGGAACTCTTGCGGCGCACCACCACCATGGCCGGCTCCGTCCAGGGTGCGCGCAAACCCACGCAGGCACGCCAGCGAGCACCGCTGCAGCCCGCCGGCGGTGGTCCCATCCTCGCACACCAAGGCCCACCCTCCCGCACGCCTCTCGTCTTGGGGCAGCTGGCACCGCGGCTCTGAGAGCAGAGAGCGCGCAGCGGAGGAAGAGAGAATCGATGAAGTCACAGAGAGATATGAAATCACAGGGAGGTCGCGAACAAACTCATTGAATCTCCATCTCGCCTCTGTACACCGGGCAGTGTAAGTGGGCACAAGCGCGGTTAGTCGCTCGTCAAGTTGCGTGTGTCCGGGTACAGTGTGGGTGCTGCCACCTCTTCCAATACGTCTGGCTAGCGTGGAAGAATAGGCCAAATACCCCATAAAAGGCCTCTCTGGTACTCGTTCTAGAAGAGGTCCTTTCGTTAGCAATGGCATTAGCAATAAATAATGCATTTCCACATAATGCCCATGAGTTTGTGTCCAAAATGTAGGTTTCAGTTTGGTGTTTTAACAACTAAACACCTGTTTTGTTGCCAGATAAAAGGGGAAAAACCTATTCTCATATTTTGGTGCTGACAAAGGAGATCCCATGATTCTGGGATGATGTTTAATAATAATTGTACAAAAGGTGATGCGACGGGCGGTTTGTTAATCCACTGCTGGATGAGGGCCACTCCCAGGGTTCAAGGGGGTTAGTCGACCATCCTATATCACGCCAGCCAGCGCACGCCGGCCAAGGCAGGCAGCACAAACGTGGGGACATTGTGAAACACGGTAACGCCATCGTTTCTGGGGACACGTGGGATGGTCAGTGACAGCTCAATGCATCGGTTTATCTCACGATGATTTTTTCTGTGTATTTTCATTCCAGGAATTTTCAGTAACAACCCTATTTAGGCTGACACACAAACCCTACTGCTGAATTAATTTTTACAAAAAAATGTCAAACCGGCAGTGTAGTTTGTTTCGCATCCACATTGTCGTGATTAAAATTGTGCTGAATTGCACTTTAGAGGACTCCACGGTCTCTTGGGTGGTCCTCCCCGTAGAAATGTGCTGTGGTTAACGAGTACACGAGCAAAGGAGATATCTCGAACGTGAGTACACGGACAGTTGCAGCCCAAACGACGGTCCGGGCCAACTTGTGATGTGCTTCCACGGAGACCGTTAATGATAATATTTATTCCTTTGCTCATGGCGCTCAAAAAGCCCTCTCTCTGGAAAGGGTGGAAACAAATCCACGAGCGATGATTTAGAATCAGCGCGGCGACGCTGTTCTCTCGCGGCTCTCGGTGATTGATGCTTCGTTTGTTCAGCAATGCTGCCTGGCACCTTGCCAGGTGAATTTTACATGACTTAGCCATAGATCATAATGCTTAAAACTACGAACACGTTTATTTACGTGCCGGCCGCAAGGCGTTTTTTTAATATAATATAGCATCCTGCTGATATAAATACCATATATCAGAAAAAGTGATCAAATCTGCGGAAAAAAATACATTCTTTGCACTTCTGTGAAATAAATAAATAAATGGCTGTTTTAATTTGCCGTTGCGATTTCCAAGAGTTGTGTGTGCGCAACTGGGGAAATCAGTGGCGGTTGTCCTACGGATGGACGTTCCCCCGTCAAAGGAACGGGGAATTTCCACTACCGTATCAGAGCTGAACGTGAGATCCACGTTGACTTTGAATTCGGCTGCCTGGGTGCGTGGGAGTTTCAACAAGGCAGCGCTGCAGACTTCAAAGCTCGCATGGTCAGTGGGTAAATTCACATTCATCAATGATCGTGACACCAACATAAGCCAGATACATTTACACGCACTCTCCCGCCATCAACTCAAGTGTTTACAATTACAAGCAACTATGATCACGCTTGTTTTGTATTCATCGTCAGAATCAGCCATCTTCAATCCACTGCTAGATGAAGGCCTCCCTCCAACTGTCGCAATCTCTCCCAATCCTGCGATATGATAATCCACCGGGCACGCACATACGAGCCGATTTCATCGCTCCATCTCTCCGGCGGGCGTCCTCTCTTGACGAGTCGCATTCCATGGCTGCCGCTCGATCACGAGTGGTGAGCACCGTCCCTGCGAGCGACGCGTCGCGCCCAAGCCCACCGACTTCTCCCTGCTGTAGTTTGAGTGGCGTCTCTGGCGTGCGCGACGTTTTCCCTTCGCCTCTCAATGTAACTCCGAGCGTACACATCCCCACGCGTCTCTGCACACTTTAGGATCACGTTGAATTGGTTTGTTGATGACCAATGTTTTCTGACCACGCGTCACAGCAGGCAATGGGTTTCCTTCCTTTGTTCATTCACAGCTCGTCTAAAATGAGGCAATATATTTCACAGAATTCATTAAAATATTCAACAGTATTTAATTGCCTGGTTTTGCTATAAATCCTTTCAATGATAACTCACCGGTAGGCTTGTTTATTTACTCACACGTGTAGTTATTTTATTTTACTTTCATGAGCTGAAAGAGACATCATTCGGGGTTTTGATGATACAAGAGGAAGGTTTTCACCTCACCTCATGTATTTGGGACACATCACAGGAAGACGAATACCTCACAACACCACGAAAATGCATCGCCGTGAGTGCTGTACACATCAAGTGACAAAAGCGGGAAAACAAAAAACAAACATGGGACCGCTCCCACTCAAGAAGGCGAGGCCAGGATGGCTGGGCGGGGGGTGCGGGGTGTTGGGGGGGGGGCCGGTGACGTGGGAGAGAGGCCGGTGGTACCGTGGCAGACGACGCTCGGCTCCCCGGCGTGCCGCCGCGTGCCGGGGATCTCCTCCCCCCCGGCGCTCGCGCACCAGCACGTCCCCTCGGCGCACTGCCGCGCCGCGTAATCCCCGCGGGAATCGCACTCGGGCACCGATCCCAACCCGGCGTCGCGCAGCAGGGCCTGCCGCCGCCGCAGCTCGCACAGACTCGGGCCTGGGGAGTAGAGAAACGTGGCAGCAGGCGCACGCACGCACGCACGCACACGAGAGGGTATTTATTACCACGGACACAGCTATTCCCAGAAAGTGCACAATGAGGCAGAATTCGCGTCTTGGCACCGCATCACACAGCGGCGAAACTCTGCCAGCGACGCCGCTTCCCTTCGCGCCGTTGAGTTGCGCGGACGTGCGAAACGCCGAGCGCCGCGGGGAGTATCGTCGGGCGCTCGATGCGGTCCGCCGTCGGGGGTTTGTTGATGCCGATTCTTGCACCGGTGGGGTAAGCGTGGCCAGGAGCGCCGAGGTGCAGCGCGGGAATACGCAGAGCGGTCAGAGGCTCCCACGGCTGCTCGCGGCATCAAATGCAAAGCCACAGCAGGGAGTTCGCGTGAAGCGCTTCCGCCGCGTGGTCCAAGGGACCCGTCGCCGCACGGCCGTGCTGCGCAGCTCTCTCCGGTGTGCTCGCGGGTTGTTCCGCGAGTTGTTCGGAGTGATGCCCGACGTTTCGCTCTGCGTTGCCGGGAGCGCTCGCTTCTGGAGGAATCTCCCCGGCACGTGGACGTCGGACATCGTGCCCGAACAGCACGCGGTAAATAACCAAACGCACATCGGACGGCCGTAAGTTCATCGCACATCGGTGCCGTGGCAACGCTAACCCGGCCCGACCTGAGCGGCCGACCCGTTGGGCAGTTCACGACGCCGGCCTCGTACTCGGCCTGCGAGCGATGCAGCAGTGGCTTGGGAAAGCAATTGCCTTTTTATATGCGAACATGCAATATACAACAAATACACGTTGCAATAATGGTACCAGTGGTTTCTTAGCGTGACAAAAGGAGGATACAATATACAATGCAATTAATGCAGCTTCTAAATGTGACAGCATCTCAAGAATGCTGTACAGGAACAGTGGGGACATTTATGCTTCTAGAGAGAGGCAGCCAGTAATCGTCCGAAAGGAAGGCCCTGGGGCAGGACTTGAACAGGGGCAGGGAGTCAACAGCACGCGCCACTGGGGCAAGCGAGTTCCAGACACTGAGGGCAGCAGAGGAGAACGAGCGACCTCCCACTGAGCGAATGAAAGAGCCCCGGGAAGCGTTTGTAATACAAAACGAAGTCTGAAATACAAAAACGAGCGAGCTGCCAATGTAACATGGAAACTGGCCTTGCGAAGCAGTGAGTCACTCGTGCATCGCAGCTTGGTTGCGTTTGTTCGCAAAGATGCAAACACCAGCGGCATGCCCCATCAAGTCGGGAGCACGAGAAACGGCGATGTGCGTGCTGGCAGGCGGCAGACTGAGCGGGCACATGGACGCCCAAATCCACCGCGGGTCACGGTGGATCCTCTCGGATTGCTGAACATGTGCTCAGCCTCACCGAGGCAACATCGGAAATGAAGTGACGTTGTTTGACTCCTGCTCAACGTAATAAGCAGACTTTTGGGATAGTTTCATGGCCCGTCGTGCCAAGTCAAATATTCCTCGTCAAGTTACGTAAAAAGTGCCCGTAAGCATATCAGCAGGACCTTTCAAAGCCCATATGTGGTCAATAAAACAATGATTCTTTGTAAATGTATGGCTAAGTTCCTCTCCGACAAACACTGCAAATCCTGTTCTGCGTCCCCAGAGGGCTCTGGCTGCAGTGGGGGGTCAGAGCAGCCGCGGTTCAGGATCTCACACACGGCACTCCGCGGTGGCTGCGATGTTTACCACTTCTGGGCCCACCCTAGGTCGACTCAGCCTCAAATGAGTGCCTGCTGCGCTGTGCAATCGTCGCCACTCTGGGGAGACGAAGGTGCCCGACGTGGTGCCGGCTACTTCATACTTTCGTGCGCCGTGCCGGCCTTCATCAGTGTTCGCGAACAACACTTGCCACAGTGGTCTGTGTGGGGCTATGAAGGGGAATTGTGGTCTTTGGTGTCGGTGGTGCTGATTGTGGCGATAGTCGCCGAAGTTGTGGCTTATGATTATGAAGTCGATATTGAGAGATTATATTTGGTGATGGAATCTAGCTCGGCGGCACTGTACGCCGTGCCGACCTTCATTGGTGCTCGCGAACAGCACTTGCCCCAGCAGTCTATATGACTACACAGGGGATCTTTGTCTTTGGTTTCTGTGCTGGTGGTGGGGGAAGGGTGGGTAGGAGTGTACGAATACGATGGCGGCGTTGCTTATGTTCAATGCAGAAGCCTGCAGCTGGAAAAGCAACCTTGTCCACCCCCCACCAGCCCCTCCACACCCCGCCCCCACTACCAGCCCCCCTCTCCAACCCCCCCCCCCCCTCAACCAGCCCCCCCCTTCACCAGCCCCCTCTCCACCGCCCCCCCTCTACTAGCCCCCCCCCCCTCCACCAGCACCCCTCTCCACCTGCCCCCCCCCCCACCAACACAAAATGCAATCCTAAAGAAATGAGCTTTAAATCTAAATGTAAAAGTGCATAGCACCCGTGGCTTCCAAATATCGGAATGCAGATGATTCCAGACGGCCGCAGAAGCGCATCTGAAAGCGCGCGATGCAGTGACCGTCTTTGTTCGATTGCCAGCGTTGTGACCCGCAGTGTTTGGTGGTCGTGGTAGAACAAAGTGTGGTGGTTGAGACACAACAGTCTGGAGGAACCCAATGCACAACACGGGTGGAAGAATGAACGAGTGAAGTTCACAGAAGCGGTAACCACGTTAGTAGCCAAAGAAGAGTAGCAGGGAGAGCTCACTGACCGCCACCGAGCGAGTGACTGAATCTTGAGGAAGAGAGGAGAGGAATCTGGCCAACGTCACGCTCTCAATATCCCACAAAAATGTTTTGCCGTCAAGCATAACGGCATTTTTTCACCACCAGGGCACCATTCAAACACATTTCCTTCAAGGCCAGCACCGTCTGGAACGCCGTGGCGCGATTGTGCGGTGTCTGCTTCGTGTGGATTTCGGCGTGTTTTGATGGCCGTGTAACTGCACTTGATTGTCTACGCACGCGTGTGGGTACTGCAAGTCCGCTGTTAATTTTATGAAGCACATCGGAGGATATTTATACAGAGGTAATTTTTTCTCATGGTTATTTTTAAAGAGCAGTCAAAACAATCTGATGTCCAGACTGGATACGATTAATAGTGCATTGTTATTCGTAACACTAGCACGCCATTACATAACGATGTCAATTCACCATTGAGATTGAGTGCAGTGAGAGGTGGTGCACTGGATGCAGGCGACCTGAGTTCACTTCCTGGCCATGGGCCATGACTCATACATGTGAGGCAAGTGATATCTCAACTGCGTCTGGTCCCTCCAATTCCAGCGGTGCATTTTCAAAGGGCCGTAAGTAATTATATATTCACGTGAGATGAGGCCATGGTAAAATTGTAAGCTTGCTGGAATTGCAATCCAGAGGTCACCGGTTCGAATCTCCTGGTGCAGCAGTTTAAACCGCCTCAATCTGTCCACCCAGCAGTAGAAATGGGGTTACACCACAGTTAGTTGATGGGCGGGTCAGAATATTTTTTCTGAATTTTAAAAGAATGTGTTTATACCAGAAGAATCCGATGAGCTATGAAGCTATTTTTAAATCATCCCCAGTCGTTTTACAGGGTCACGAGCGGTGGGTTAAAGTATGGGGAAATTCCACCCTTTTTCCCGAGACGTCTGGCCATCGTGGAAGAGTAGGCCAAAAAACACCCTCTGACAGTGCGTTCTCGTGGCGGCCCTTTCCGACAGCAATGGCGTGAGCCGGTGATTGGCCCGGCTCGCACCGTCGCCTGCCACGCGGCGCGCCGTGGGTACGCGAGGGGGGTGGTGGGGGTGGTGGTGGCGGAACTCACAGCGAATGTCTCCGCTTGGGTCGTCCCTGCCCAGGGGCTCCGCCTGCTGTCCGCTCGCGGGATCCACGCACCACGAGCGCCGCTCCAGGCCCGACTCCGAGTCGCGCTGCCGCGCCTCGAACTGCCCTCCCGCCTGGCGCCACGCGGACGGCATGGCCCGGGTGAATGCGGGAGTGGGTGGGGGGGGGCTTTAGGGCAGTGTTCTTCACTCGTTTTAAGTGGGGTGGGGGGGCACTTTCACAGATGTCTTATCGTTGAAGGCCGCTACATTTGAAACCATTGGGTGTGACAGCAGCACGATGATGTGTTATTTACGAATCTCACCACATTCATCAATTCCACTACATTCAAAGAAAACAAAAACTATATTATGCGACGTTTCAGGCAATGGCTCATCTTCATAGTACATAAACAGAAGGTTGTTTCGACTGTGATTCATCTTTACAATGAGTATCACATTTTCAAAATGAGAATCAGAATTTTAGATTTGAAGCTTTCGTGACTGCAAGGATTCATACTCTTAGGTTGTTTCGGTAAAGTCACGTAGGTAAAAATAATAATAGTAAAATAAAACAATCATAAAAAAAAAAATTTTATTTATTAATAAATGTATTTATTATTGTTTTAATTTACTATTATTATTATTTTTACCTACGTGACTTTACCGAAAACACCTAAGAGTATGAGAATCAGAATAACCAAGGTGAATTGCAATGGGGTGTTTGGCAGGGCATGGGCGGTGGTGAAAGAGTCAGCGAGGACCTCCCCCCCCCCACAACTCCCAACAGCCCCCACATGTGACGTTGTCTCACAAGGCCACTCGCCCTCCGTCACGTCGGCTCGCTGTGCGGCTTGAAACCGAACGCTAAGGCTAAATATTTCGGCGTGTTACATAAGCCACGAACATGCACCGTTTTTCCGAACGTGTGAAGCCTCACAGTGGTCATAGGGAAGGCCACCCCGCGCCAAATCATCTCGTTAGTACGCTCGGTATTGTTTGCAATATTCTCGTCGCGTGAGGAGCTAAATGTCATAAAGTCTGCAAGTGTCACAGAAGGGGCGATGATTGCTTTGTGTTTTCCCAGTTGATCAATTTGCGGTGTCAATTTTCCAAATACGCCGGCACGCGCGACCGCGGGGATTGCACCGCGAGCAGCAAACGTGCTTACGGCTCGGCCACATCACTGCGGTCGAGTTCACAAACAGCCAAGCCAAGCTCGCCCACAAAGAACCGTGCTTCGGGGCTCACCATAACAACGCAGACAGCGCCCGGGGTGGTGTGAAGCCTCACCGGGGTGCAGGCCGGTGTGTGTTTGGTGAGGACTTCAATGGAGCTGCCGTTTTCCACGGAGCCCAAACTCTTCCAGCCGGTGAGAAGAGCCTCGGCACGGGCTCTCTGGCACGGTGTGGCGCCTGGACGGGTCAAATAAGTCACGCGACCGCGTTAGTTTATCAGTGAACGCATTTTAGCCAAGAACGCTCTCGACAGCTAAATTATAACTTATTAAATTTTACATGAAGGGAAAAGCTACACCAAAGTTACATGCAGAAAGTACCAAAATATGTATAATTTTAACCTGCTGTGAAGAACTGCTATTACCAAAAATGTTTCCGATTATAAATATTTCCTTTTAAGGCCATTATTATTGATGGATGTGGCAATTGTTTTGCTATATATGCGCGTACACGATTGCCAACGCAGTGTCACCAAATATGTGTTGAAATCTCAGAAGTGGAGTTAGGAAAGATATTGACAGAGACATGAACATCCAGTGTAGAAGAGTGTAGAAGAGGATGATGCTGAACACCTCATTGTAGGATGAGATTACAAAGTCCTGTGCATCGGCCCACTTCATCGAGCGATCATATTGCGGCCGGTCGCTTATGAAAAATAAGTTAAATAGCTCAGTGGGCTTTACATGGTAAAATTAAAATAGTTTCGTTTGATATATTTTTTGTGATTTTCTTACCTTTCCTATACTTCTCACTCCTATCGTTTTGTAACTTTCTGACCCTCCCCTAATGGACATCTGTGAAAAAGAGCTTTACAGCTCATCGGATTCCTCCAGGGATAAATACATATTCTGAATCTGAAAATCCATGCAAAACAGGAGGACATAAAAATTCCACGCAAAAAGGCACCCGAGTTGGAAATCGAATCCACGTCCTTCTTGTGATGCTACTCAAGTGTTACCGCTGCAGCACCACCCTGTCGACCGCACCGTTACCCATTCTGTCCGGCGTTTAACCTTTGTTGACAGTGTAAAAGTGTTTGTTTGGCCCCCTCCCCGGGTTCAGCGGGGCCGCCACGCCGTGGCGCTGACTCACACTGCGGCCGGCGCCTGGGTCGGGCCACGAGGGAGCCTGCGACGAACTCGCCGGCAGCGTCCACGCACCAGCAGAAACCTGCGCCCGCTCGCACGACGGTCCAAATTCACCACGCGGTTAGAGTTAAAGGAATTAAATTGGAGATTAATTTTTTTTTCTCAGAATCCTGGAAGAGGCCTGCTGAGACGTACGATTGCTTGTTGTTTAGGAGCCCTGATATTGAACTCCGCTGCGATGGTCATTAGATTAACGGGTGGAAGACAAATCCAGATGTGTGTGTGTGTATAAATCCGCACGTGCAGGAAACAACGGCCATTGAGCCGTGAACCGCAGGGCCTAGTTGTAAACTGGCCAACTGCATACGAGTGCACGTCCACCGAACCCGCACTGATCAGCGTGGTGAAGTATGGTCAAATCATTCCCACAATAGCCGCAAGGACGCGAGTATTTTAAAAGCGGCACACAGCATGATGCGTTACTTCGATTATATCGCAAGATGTGTATGCGTATGAATCATTTGTCAATCCACTGCTGGATGTATGTTGAACTTCTTTTGCGCCGTACGTAGCTAATCGGAGGCGGACGACGGCCTCCCCACGGCTTGCCGATTTGAGGAGGCGGCAGTATTGTTTGACCATACTTCACCACGGTGGTCGGTGCGGGTTTGGCGAAGGCGGGGGGAGCACAGACGTGGGACCGTACGAGCGTGGAACAGCGGTGAGTTTCCCCCGGCGCGCGTTCCCGAAGCCGAGCGTACCGGAGCTCTTGTCGCACTGCGCCGGCTCCCAGCCGCCCGGCTCGGTGCACTGCGGCATGTACGGGTCGAAGCCGTTGAAGACGCCCTCCCCGATGGTGCCCAGTCCGAAGAAGCGCCGTCGCCAGTGGAAATGCATTGCTGCGGAGCGCACGGAAACGCGCGAGCGTCACGCGTGTTCATCTAACACGGATGTTGCCCCACGGGCGGGTGCCCTCCTGCGTGACAATTTTAATTACAGGCGGCTCAGCCGTAGAGCGAGCAGCTCGCAGTCGGAAGGGTGCAAGTTCAGATCCTGGTTTGGGGTTTCCACTTTGTGGGAAAGTGAACAGTGGTCGTCCCATGGATAGACTCGCACCTGCCATAGGAATGTGGAATTTAGCTCAGGGTGTAAACAGGAGATGAGCACCACCTCAATCATTGGAGTAGGAATTCTCACGATGACTTTGACCTGTTTCTTCACAAATTTTCTGGAAACATTAGGACGGGAAGCATTGACGGGAAACTTTTTTTCTCCCGTTTACGACCCTGAGCCAGTGGTGTAATTTCCACAGTCATCGTACGGTGGGGGTGACTCCATCTACAATGTGCTACTCGTTTTATTGATCCTGGCCGGATCGTGAAGATACACGTTTCAGGAAGCACGTTTCCTCATGGGTGCTGCTTGAGCGGAATGGAAGGGAACGCGAAATGAACACGGCGAAACACTGAACTCGCTGGCGAGTGCTTCTGAACAGCGGCCCAATTTCGCGCGCTCCCACACGCCCCACCGAGCGTCCCGCATCGCTGCGGGTCTGCACCACGCACAAACCATCGTGTCACGGGACATGTGGCAGGCGAGCCCTAAACTTACAGCCAGCGCCCTGGCAGGGGTGCCCATCACCTGGCGGATTGATGCTGGAAGTGCTCACGCGTTTTTGTTGTGGTGCCGACGTGAATTGCCTTGCCGCTGCACGTCACGTCACTCCGTCACGGTTACTCAGCCCGGCTCTCCAAACACATTGCTTCGGCATTTCCGCCGACCAACCCCGCATCCCAAACAATTGTTAGATTGAATTTAGAGCAGATGTGCCTTACCATAATACCATTGCACAAGAAATATTACCACATTTGTTAAATAATTATTGTCCAAAGATGCCGGAAAATGCAAACAATTCAATCTCCAAGAGATAAAATCCCATGTGTAAAGTATTTGGCCGGGCAGTCACATGTGGCGGTTTGGCACAGTCACAGCTGTACATGGTCCCGCATGTGACTGTGAGTGTTTGGGAAGAAACTGTGGTGCGTGGAGAAAACCCCACGCATAAGAGGGGATTGCGTTCTAGCTGTGAACAGATTGGTGAGAAACCGACTTGCTGCAGAACCTCACTTTGCTGATCTGAAAGTTGACACGGCTCACTCAACCCCTGGCTATTTCTTGGAAAGCGATCATGTTGAGTGATGATGCGGGAGTCGATGATTCACTCCAGTTGCTCGCTCACCGGCGGTCAGTCGCCTCCTTATGGCTACTCTTCCCATGATCTCTTTCATTCCTTCACCGATGTTGATCACTCGGACTACCAGACTCACTGTTTTGTCTCACCCATACTGCCTTCAACCATGACACTGTGGGTCGCTGCTCCACTGAGGAATTATCTCTTCATAACCTTGCTCAATACAAGGAATGTATTAAATTTAATTCATGACACCTTTAATAGTTCTGTTTGTTGATGGCCGATAAGGGCCTGTGCTCAACACTTGTGATTAAAGAAGTAGGAAGTGGCTGGGCGGCTGAGAGTTCAGAGGTCAGAGTACTGAGCTGGCACTCTTGAGGTCCTGGGTTTAAATCTGGGTTTCAGCCACCTGTGAATAAACCTGATCCTCAAGTGTAGTGGATCGCTGGTCTCAATCCATCATGGTAAGTTGGGTTCTGTATTTAATTTAGGCTAAATTCCATCTGGGATGAACGTTACTCTTATATGCACAGCAAGTGTGAGAGTGCTGGACTCGTGTAAGCCAGAGGTCACGTGAAGAGGTGGTTCTCTGATATCTGCTTCCGCTGGGTCATCCTCCAACTCGTAGGGGTTCAGCTACGCCGCGAAGGCTCCCGAGCGATTCGTCTCGTGATGCCGACCCTGGCCAAATCGGGAAGTAAAAAAAACCGCGACGAAAAAGAGTCACCACCAACCACACGTCCCGAGTGGCCGGGCTACGAGTGCGCGCGCCTCACCGGCCTGCGCCGCCAGTCGGACAGCGTAGCCCGTGCCACCGGCGAGGATGGCCGCCACCTCCCCCTTCACGTCCCCGAGGCCGAGAGGCGAGCCCAGCAGCTCGTCCTCCGTGAACGCGAGGCCCCGGCCAAACGCGATGCCCTCGCCCGCCGACGAGGCGCCGGCGCTGCCGATGAGCAGGTCCGCCTGCTGCAGGTAGCGGCTCACGTCCGCGGCCGCCAAGTGGCAAGCGCCGGGACCTGAGCGTGTAAATCGGCACGTCACGGTCCATATAGCGTCACCGGAACGCGAACCGTGCCTCAAAACACGCGGTGACATTTTGTCTCCGTGCGTATATTTCTCAAGGAGGCGCGAGAAACTGGAGGCAGGGAGAACGGCAGCAATAGCCGCTGTCAACAATTGCCCAAGCTCTGCGGTCCTCTATTGGGATGTTTGGCCAATTTCTTTAACGGGTAAGTAGTGGAGTCCTATCAAGTGTGATCACGAAACGCATCTCAGAGTGAAAGTGTATTTTACAGGCTTATTGCAGTATCAACATGTCGACCGGTAATTTTAGTGTGAAGAGGATTGAATTGATACACTGTGTGTGTGCGTTTCTTAATGAGCAGTTCCACAAATTAGGTAACCTCCATACTAGAAATGTCTAAATCATCCAGGTGCCACATTATTTACGTCTGAATTACAGTCTGCATTACACTAGGCCCAAGATAAAAACCACCCTCGTGAATGTACAAACGATTACCCACGTCTTTAACGTACGTGTCTGACGTGTACATCTGACATTAGCACTGCCCCAACGGTACACTTCCAAAGGTGACGTTCAGTGTCTTACATTTTGGCAGCTGGCCTGGCGAGGCGGTGCGGGTACCGTCGATTTCGTGGCCCGCGGCGTCCACGCACCAGCACAGCCGCGACTCGAAGTCGCCGTAGCCGCCGCTGAACTCGGCGTAATCGCCGGTATACACGAAGGACGCGTTCTCGGTGAGGATCTTCCAGACCACCTCGGGGTTTCGCAGAAACCGGCCGAAAGAGCCGGAGAAGTTTAAGACCTCGGGCGGACCTCGCAACGACGGGTAAAGCGACAGTTCGGGGAACAAGTCCTGACGGCCCGAGTCGTAGAGAAAGCTCAGGAAGCTTCGCAGTCCTCTCGCCGCCGCCGGCGCCGCGAGCTCGCGCGAGGAGCGCCCTGAGATCGGAGAGCGTGGCTTTGGAAGCGTCCCCTTCGTCCTTCGTCCACGCGTCGACGAACTCCGGATCTGCTGGCCGGCGCCGTCGCACTGCACCGGACGCCACCCGCCTCGCGCGTCGCACCGCGGGACGTAGAGGGGCGGCGGTGAGCTCGGTGCGTCGCCGCTGCAGCACCGGGCCCAGGTGACGGAGCTGCTGCAGAAGCTCGCCGGCAGCGGCCGCCTGGCAAGAGGTGGGGCCTGAGAAAGAGCGTGGCAATGGGTACAAGGGAGGGACAGAGACAATCACCGTGACCGTCTCGTTGTCATTCCAATGTTTACGTGATCGTTCACTTTAAAGCGACTGGCTGCTCAAATGGGCATTGCGGCGGTGCTCCTCTTTGCAGCCCTGTGGCAATGGTGGGAACTACACATTGCCATGGCGAGGGCCATCAGTCGGTTCAAAGGACAACCACTGCTAACTTCCCCACATAGTAACAATTTTATCGACCCCGGAGGGATGATGGGATAAGTCAACTCCCAACGAAGATGTGAACTTGCATTCTTGGGATTACAAGGCGCTGGCTCTAGGGCTGAGCCACCTGGCCGGGTTGTTGTCGTTTGTCCTCATTCTCTCTGGCTCGAGCACTGCACCTTGGGTTGCCACCCCTCTGAGGTGAAAACAAACCAGCGCACACCACGGAAAGAGGAGTGCCTCACCATCCCGGTAGAGGAGAGAACCACGTGTGTGAATGCGTTGTCTTGTGTGGCCCAATTCAGAATATTCTCTGCTGTGTTAGATGATAAATAAGTATTTGAATATTTGTATTCCCACACGAAGTTCACCGGATTCAAAATTTCACATTTCCAAGTAATTGCAAAAAAAAACAAAGCCTGGGTTTTCGATTGAATCGCTGATGGGACACATTCCCCCCACAGCCGCAGCATCAGCAGCTGCGGCTGTGGCATCCTCTCTGCCTGCCCGTGCTGCTGGGGGTTGCGTTTACAAGGTTTGAAGAGGCCCAGGCGTCCTCTGCGCAGCTGCTCGATGGATTTGGCGTCTTGCGCTCACGCCATAAATCATCTCTTCCAACTGGGAGCCGCGGTCGTGAACGCCGAGGGCGACGTGCGAGACAAACGCCGCATGCCGGCCGGTTCCTCGCAGGCGTCACGCGGTCATTAAAATGTTTTACTATTTAACTATTTTTTTTATTTTACCAGGTAAGGCCCACTGAGCTATTATCGTTACTTTTTCAGAAGCGACCAGACCAGAAATGATAGCTCAACGAAGTGGCTTATCACGTGGATATTTATAGCAGCCAAATACTCTAAACGGTTGATGTTGATTCGACATGTGGAGGGAAAAACTGGTGGACCTGGAGAAAAATCCACGCGACCACAGGGAGAGAGACATGCAAATTCCAAATATTCAGCAGGTGTCAGGGTCGGGATCAATGCCACGTCCTTCAGCGACTACCTGGGGCTCGCACCGGAATTAAAAACCCAATGAGCGTTTCTATGTCAGCAGGGACATTTGTTTTCATCGTTAGAAAATAGCACCGTGTATATTCTGCCAGACGGTATGCTCTTTGAATTAAAAGCGTGCTTCGTTAACGCTCTTAAATTTCTGTTCGCCGAAATGCACACCGGAGATTTGAAAGGAATATACAGAACAACAACAACAACCAAGAGTGGCTCTCGCGTTTGTAGGAGCCACACGTCTAGGCCCTGCATCCTGGCCTGTCCACCACAAGTTTGAAGCTTCACTCATGAGAAAGAAGAAAATACTTCAAGTCAACTCTCTCAGGCTGAATTCAGTTACGCCAACCACAAGCAACGTATCGCAGCGTGTGGTCATAGCGGCACATTCGTGTCAACAGAGTGCTCCTGAATGTCACTTGACAGTCTGCTCACTAACGGCACGGCACGCACAGCATATGTGTGTGGCTACACGTTCCTGATTTTTATCTCATGAAATTATAACCTTTCACTGCATTTTAAAAGAGCTCCCACTTTCTCGATTAGGCAAAACGTGCATGTGATGCCACGCTGGAGATGGTGGACAGGAGCGAGCGACAAAGGTGGACACGTTCGTCAGTGACGATGCCCTAAAGAGGGAGCATTATATAAAAGCTGACGTGTTCAGAAAGAGCTCCTCCACATAACAGAGAGCGCTGGACTGATCTGCTTTGACAACGAGACATTGGCCGAAGCGCCCCTGATTATTTAACGCGTTTTCCTCTTTAGCTCGGACTTGACGCTGAGCGGGACGCCATCGTGCGCACGACTCACACGTCACGGGATCGCCGAGCGGCCTCCCGGTCCCGGGGACCTCCGCTCCGCCAGCGCCCACGCAGAAGCAGCGGTCGCCGGAGCACTGCACGGGCCGGTAGTCTCCCGCGCCGTCGCACTCCGGCACGAACAGCGGCGTCCCCACCGGGCGGCCCCTCCGTGCCAGCAGCGCTCGCGTGCGCTCTCCCTCGCACGCGCTCGGGCACCGTGGCGGCGCGCCGCCGACCGCGCGGGTTCCCGCGATCTCCTTCCCGTGCACGTCGACGCACCAGCAGGCCGCGCCGCGGCACTTGCACCGGCTCGTAGGCGCCGCCGTCCTCGCCGCAGCGCGCCACGAACGGGCGCGACGCCCGCGGGCCGTCGTCGGCGTCCGCGGCGTTCTGCGTCGGTCGGTCTTCCTCCGCCACGCGCAGGAAGGTCAGCGCGTTCATCCCCACGTCCCCGCCGCTGAGCCCGATGAGAGGGGCGATGTCCCTGATGAGGCCGTAGAAACGTGGGTCTTCGAGGAGCGTGACGACAAATCCGAGGACGTTTCTGTTCCGCTCCAGGTTTGTTGCACGCGCGAAGGAGTCGTCGATCGACTGGTCAAAGTTGAAGGATTCTCGCGAGAAGTTGGAGGAGCCTCGGGTGAGGTACGAGTCCTCGCCGGGGGCAAAGAGCCGGGCGAGCTCCTCAAAGTTTGCGCCGTCGTACATGCCGGTCAGCCCCACCTGACCAAACACCTTACTGAAGTTAAACGTGCCGCGGCCACCCACGGCGCCGGTGAAATTGAAGAACTTGAGGTTCTTCAGAAACCCGCCACCGAAGAGCATCTCTGCAATGCGACCCGGCTGGAGGTTGGCACCAGCTGCGGTGAGGGCCAATTCCTGTGTGGGGAAGATCCCCCCCATGAGATCACCGAGGAGGCGGCTGCCCTGGCCGCTCGCCGGGAAGAGGCGAGAGGCTTGCGAGAGAATTTCGCCAAGTCCACCGTCAAGCAGCTGCTCCCTCAGGGCTCTCCAGTGGAGCCACAGTTCGTGCTGCATCTCCTGAGATGGCGACTCGGCGAAGGAGGCACTGCCATCACGCGGGAGGGCAGAGATGAGGTCGTCGATGAACGGTGCGGAAGGGCCAAGGAAGAGATGGGAGAGGGCGCGCTGCCTTTCCAGTTGGCATGGACTCGAAGATGAACCTGCAGTATAATAATAACAATTAGTGATCTTACAAGTAACAGACGCGTTGGTTTTGATTGCATAAGTTCAATTGTGCAGCTCTGTAGCTCTGCAAATGTGCAGCTGTGCAATTGTGCAACTCACGCTAATGCTGGCAGAACGACCTCCACGAAGGAGCCCCTCTAGAGAATATGTTGGCCTACTCTTCCACACTGGCCAGGTGTGTTGGAAGAGGTGAGACTCCCCACAATCCCACCACACGTGACCTGTTGATTGACTAACCGTGATGTATCTGTTTATACTGCTTGGTGGACAGAGGCCAGGTAGGGATTTAGGACATTTGCATCATTGTTTAGACTCTTGCTGGGAGATCAAACCAGTGCCCTCTGGATGTAAAATATGCCAACCATTACTACATTGCAGGAACAGTAATTTTGATAGCATATCAATGAAAAAAATATCACAAAAATTTGAAGATAAATAGAATGATCTTAGTAAACAAAATACATCCCGTGCAATTTAACTCAAATTATGCAGAATTTGTGTCCTAGGTTAGCCATGAATTCACAATCTTCCGATGCTGTCTTGATCTTGATTGGATGATGCTAGGAGGGCCTCTAGGGGTGTAACAGCTGCGCCACCAGTGCAGCGTGTGGGGGAGTCGTGGATATGACGTCCTCCGCTCCTGACCAATTTTTAGTTGATACAGTTCTTAATTTAGAGGTAGAAGGAATACTTCTTCAGGAGGCCTATAGAAATATTTTTTTATCATCTGATAGAAAGCAACAACAAATTTGTGTACAAGTTGGTGGTTTGTGTGTAAGTATGTTGAACTTATTTCGCACTGTACGTAGCCAACCGTGTTAATCGGAGTTGCGACGAGGTGTGTCGGTACGCGGAAACGCCGGGGCACTGGCACGTGCCGGCTGCGTTCGGTGAAGCACGTGAGAAGCCGTACCGCAATTGGGGACGCTGTCTCGGACCCTACTGCCGAAAACCTCGTCCCCTCGAGTGTCCACACACCAGCACGTGGGCCCGTGGCACTGCGTGGGGACGTAGCTCCCGTCCTGGGAGCACACGGGCGCGAACCCACGTCCGCCAAGTCGGTCCGCTAGCGAGCGTTCCACCTCGCACACGGTGGGGCCTGGAGGGGAGCGGAGGGCGCGAGAGACAGTGAGCATCGACTCTGCGCCTTCGCGGCGCGTTCGTTACAGAGGGCGATGAGAAAAAATAGAAAAAATCATGCATGCAAAAAACGCGCACCCAGAACGGCTTCTCGGTATCAAATTGCCATTTATGATTAGAATTGTTGAAATGTTGGATGCTCACGTGGTGTAACGGTTAGCGGCGCACTGGACTTGCAATCCAGAGGTCACCAATCGTATGTATGTATGTTGAACTTCTTCCGTACCGTACGTACCTATCCCGGCACGGTAGTTGAAATATAATCTCATTTATATTTATAGAGCACTTTCACTCAAGGACGATTGACACCGCTTACAGAACGGTGAAAGTTCCTTAACTGCCTACCCCGGCAACGCCTCTGTCGACCCAGCAGTAAGTATGGATGCAACACAGATCGTCCATCGGCAGGTAGCGTTTGGTGGGGTAAAGTGGCATCCGGTCAGCGTGAAGGAGTGGGTCAAAGCTCCTCTCTAGAGGGGCTCTCTGCAGCAGTCTCTCGTAGAGGCGCTGCCACCAGCAGGGGGGTGAGCAAGCAACTGCGGGGCTGAACCTTCACGGTGAGTTTGGTTCGAACCTTTGTCTTCACCTTTTTTCCTTTCTCCAAACCAATGTCACTTGCCCTAACCCTCACCCTACGTGGGGTTGGAACACAAGGCTCACTGGTGGGAACACTTTATTTACCCGGCAGGTATACAGATTCGAGGAGAGCAATATTGTGTACATTTGCACGGGCGGCACCTGGGATCCTGCCACCATTTCCATAGACACAACCCAGACACGTTTCTCAGTCAGCCGAGGTCTATCAAACCTAAGGTGCAGAATGTCGTAGTGAAGGTCAACACAATACAACACAAATCGATTGCTGCCACGCAAACACAGATGGTGGCAACCGCAGGCCCCCTACTCACATCTGAAGGATCCAGAGAGAAGCAGCCGCAGGGCCAGGAATCGCCGGCGGAGCAAGCGGAAGACGGGGGCCTCCTGCACCGAGGGAGCGAGCGCCGTGAGTGCCGCGGCGTCGTCCTCCTCGCCCAGAGGAAGCAGCTCCATGCCTGGAGGCGATACCGATAGGCACGTAAATGAACTTTTTTTTACCTAATTTATTAATATTAATGGAGTGTTTGTTTACATATTCACAATGTGACCCGGCAACCTGTCCTGCAGGCGGGCATTAGTCTACCAGTCGGGGCCCGATGACTGCTATCTGTAATCTCAATTTAGTCATTTGCAGATTATTTTTCGAAATTAATCAATTAGAACCACGAGACAGGCACACTATGGCCCACTCGTATCGATTGGCGTCAGGCAATCTTTTATGTCCACTGTGACGCAGATACCGCGCATTCTATGGTTAATACACAATAATAACCAGGGCCGCCCGCCAGATTCGAACCACGAACCTCTGCAACGAGCGGCAAACGGCTGGCCTTCATCCAGCAGTGGATTGGCGAAGGACGACTACAAAACGAATGTTGCTCCCAGGGAGCTAAAGTATCACGTGGGACTGCGAATCGACTGCGGAGCCAGGTGGCAGGTGTGCACGTGACGCGTGCGATGATTAACGCAATGAACAAATCAGTGATTGCCGTGATTTCCTGAATATCGAATTGCTTCCACCCTCGGGATTAATTGGCGAGGAAATTAAAGGTCACGAAGAGCGCCGGCGTGGTTGGGGATTATGAATGAGGGGACAGCAGCGAAGGAGAGGGATGAGTTCGGGTGACCACGTGGTGCGTAACGCGAGGAGGGAGTTACGCAACGGAACATCACACAAGGCGTTCAATGTTAGCATTTACCTTGTGTTGTTTGATGTACCATTGTAATATGCAAGCATTCTGGCTAACATATAATGAAAAAAATAATGCATTTTTTTAATACAGCCTTTGTCAATCGACTGCTGGAATAAGATCTCAAACGGCATCAGACATGAGGGGTTGTGTCAGCATACTTCACCACCCTGGTCAGTGCAGGTTGGAGAAGTGGGAGGGAGGGCAGATCCAATTCACACATCCCTCGCCACTGATCTCAACCGTGGCCGGGAATCGAACTCAATGTCGCTGGATTTCTAGAGCAGTGCCCTCACTACTCGGCCGCGACTCCCCACTCTGGCTACACGGGAGTATGTTGGTGGTGACTGTATTTTTTGTTGTACATTCCGCTGTTAGATTCTGCTTGCCCCGTGTAACGCCCCCTAGCCGGCAGATGGTGTGGGCTCGTTGTGTTAACACGTTGTGCTTTACACACAATATCGAGGAGATGAGAGGGGTTCAAACTATAAAGTACCTCAAATGCTGGGGAGCGTAATCCCTTGGTTCAAAGCTCTAATCCACGCTAAAGCTTGGCGAACATGAAAGTTCTCCTGCACAGGTTTTTGCCGTCGTGCTGCACCGCTCTCCGATGTGTTTTCGGGTCGTGCCGTGCGTTTTTTGGCACGATGTCCGACGTTTCGCGCCGTATGCTGGGAGCTTCTCCAGGACGTGAAGAAACTCCCATCGGCCTTCATCCCTTCTCGTGCCGTGTCTTGCCCAATACCGAACCCACTACTGAATGATTTGAACGATGTCTTGAGAAATACGCCACGAACATAACGGGGAGATGTTCGAGAGAGAACGATGCTCAGGAGAAGTGAAGAAGAACCCAGCACGGGCAGCCGACTCAGTCCCTGAAGAAGCTTTCACGGCACGTGGAGTAAAACGTCGGACCTCGTGCCGAACTATGCCCGGCACGACCCGAAAACGAATCGAAGAAGTAAACAAACGAACGCCGCGGTCACCTGTTTCCGGCAGCTCGCGTCCCTGAGGGTCGGCGCAGTAGCAGTACGCGTGCACGCCGGGCAGCCGCGCGCGGAACTCCGCCAGCGACCGGAACGCCTCGGGGTGCCTGCGGATGGGAGGTGAGCAACAGCGGGTGACCTCGGAGTGCCGGAGGGACGTCCGCACGATGACCTCGAGGCAGAGGGCCACAACTCAGGCTATGGCGGGGCGAATGAGGCCACTGCCTCTCTCCATTAGCTGCCGCCGTTTAAAATAGGGTTGTTGCTGGACAAAGCGAGTCACCCACTAAAAAGCCCCACACCTCCCATTAGCATGGTTGGCTACGTCCGGTACGAAAGGAGTCCAACATGCATACCTAAACACTTACGTGTATTTATCACTTGTATTTAGAGCCTCTATTTAATACACTTTAATTTTTATCACGTCAAAGATAATGAACTGGAGTAAAGCAGCAGTGCAATGGTCAGTGCATTGCGCTATGAACCCGGCCACCTGAGTTAGAGTCCTGGCCACGGCTAACATCAGTGGCGAGAGACATCTGAACTCGTCCTGGACCGCCCACCTCCCCAACCCGTATTGAGCCATTAACCAGCGCGGTGAGGTGTGGTCATGCAGCCATCACGATCGACACTGTGTCGGGAGGCCTTCATCGAGCAGTGCATCGACAAAGGGCTGTACATTGTTAGTAAGTAGCGGCCAGCCCATGCAATGCAGCTGAGTTCTCTGCGGTGTAATGCCACCCTATCTCATGCTGCCCTTGCGACATCTGATACTCGTCAGTATTGCTCCTGACATCTCTCTCTCTCTTTGTGTCTTGCTGTTTGCTCTCCATTCACACACAGCACCGATTTCCCCAGGATTACATAGCAATAGCATATACGCAGCGCTTAATTTCTCACTCAAGATTTTACAGAATGCTGCTCGGTAGGCTGGCTTGTTGGCATTGTGATGATCAGCGTAAGACACTACCACGAGAGTACAAGGTGTGTCTATCCTAAATATTTCTATCTTTTTGTACCAGATTTTCCCGTTATCCTCTAAAACAAGATTCATAAAAATGAGATGCGAGATAATCGCTGGACGATATTCCGGCTGAAACAAAGCACTGGCTACTCGCACGCTGACAGACAAAATACATGTTTTATTTCCCATTATTACACATGGGTTACCAATTAATTAAAAACACTGCCACCGCACCTCTTAAGTGTGAAAGGAAAATGTCACCGAGGCGGAAGGAGCGATCTCATTTAAATTTCAAAATGAAACGCAACGGGCTTGCTCTGCAACGCGCGTGACTAACCAAGTGCAACGCGGACTCCCCCTGGGATCAGCGCCATCGTGAATCCTGGCCCAAGCCTCGATTCAACAATCGTGGGCTGTAATGTACGGCGTCATCTTCTACACGGCGAGTACAAATTGTTTTCGCACAATTTACGCACTGTGTGAATTTATCACACGTGTAATTTTTTTTTTCATGTTGACATTTTATCTGGATAATTTTAATTAGATGTAAGTTGGTCAACTACTTGTCTTGCACGAGTAATTTTAGCATTAGCTAGGGTAATAAATAATTTCATAATAATCTATTTCCAATAATCTAAATCATCTACTTTTATATTTACGAGTGTAAATGTGATGAGGGCCTTTTGAGTGGCAGATTTGTGCCGGAACAGCGTCAAATGTTTAAGCAAAATGTGTAATAACTTTATTTTAATAGCGAGGGGAAAAAAACATAACCCCTGAGTGTATTTGAGCTCGTTGGACTTTGGAAGCTAAGCGGGGTTGAGCCTGGTTAGCTTGGACACGCGATATCCAGCGCTGACCGCGTGCTGAAGGTATGGGGCTGTGAGGTGCCCAGTTGGCTAGGAGATTGGCCGAGTGTCACCCTCCGCGTGTGTGCCGACTGTGAGAGCGGTGGACACGTGCGCACACATGCAGACACGCACACTCACGGAAAAATGATGCGCTTCGAAGGTATGGCATTACTTAATTAAACTCTGTGGGAAATAAAAAAACGTGTGACGATTGTAACGTGAAATTTACGGCTGATGTGTCTCTGCTGTGCAGATCGCAAGAGATACGCAATTTGCACTGTGTCTGGGGGAGCCGTGATAGTTCAGCGCCTCTCACGTTTAAATAACCTTGCTCTCCCACTGTAAATTGTTTAACGCTTTAACGCGCGGGAAACAGTGGAAAGGCAGCGCGTGCCCATTTAATGTTTGCACACAGCAGGAGGCTTATTTTTAAAAAAATCCACAAGTGCCGTGACTCTTTTGTGAATAGTCTGTCTCGTTAGCGTCTCACAACAAGCCGGGCAAAAACTTCCACGCGGACAAACCCATCAACCCCCGCTAATAAGGGTACATGCCACCATTTACAAAAAGTAGCTCATTAACATCTAAAATCATCCCCCCCCCCCCGTACTGTTATCATTTAAAAGGGCTTTTGGGGATGCATTACTATTAGAGTAATTGCTCCTTTTCCATTGGCATATCCGAGCCACGCCAGGCTGTCTCGGCGTTGGGTTATTTTTCCACTGTGGTACCAGACCTGTGCCCCTGACGTCACGTCCAAATGAATGGGCAGAGACGCACGTAGATGACGCGGAAACCCTGTGCGCGAGTTGTTACTGACCGACGTGATGCACGACGAACCTTTAGTGCGGCGTTATTGACGAATGTTTTGAATTTGTGGGAAAACCAAGGCAGGGGGAAACCCTGCCACCCCACCCCTCCCCCCGCGGCTCTTACATGCTGAAGGCGTCAAGGATGCTGAGCGTGGAGCGGCCAGCGGTTCCGATGAGCTGGCACTGGGTGGCCAGGACACGCTGCTCGTCGCGGTCGCACTGAGGAGGGGGGCTGCCCGGTGTTGATGCCCGCACGGCGCGACGGACGCTCACCTGGCACGGGGAGGGGCCTTGCGCCGCGTGGACCCGGGCGGGGAGAGGGGGAAGGGAGGAGGAGACGTGGCACAGAGGCAGCACAACGCACAGGGACATCCGTGCGGTGACTCGCCGAGACGGAAACCACGCGTGTGCATGCGTCGTTCTGAAATGCTTTCCAACGTTGATTTGTGCTGAGAAGTATTTCATTATATTAATGAAAATTTGTTACCTGCTATGACACGGTTGGCTCAAAACTATGGTCATTTATTAAATAGAACAAACACTTGAAATTTGCACGCAAAAGAGCGTGGGAAAAGTCATGCTTGGAATTGCACCGAGACAAAAAAAGGAACGTAGATTGGAGGACATACATAGGTTAACAACATCGTTCAAACTGTTAGGAACAGTAATTTAGGGAGTTGATGTCGCGAGATGATGGTGAAGAATAATGATGGAGTGTCAGATCAGGAATGGAGTGAGTTGGCAGTGGGCGTACACGAAGGAGATAGAGCGAAGAATACAGCACGTGCGCAGGTGATAGGTGGATTTTTATATTGGACAACCACGAGAGATGCCGATGGATTGGCGAGGCATGTCATCCCCGCGGGCTACAGGGCCAACATAAACTCCTATTAATTATCCATACCCGTGCTCTTCCTATTATCTACGATCATCTGCGGTTTTTCCCCAACTTGTATTGCAGAATGGCTTCTTATGGCATGTTCATGGATAAAGAGGAGGCACACGGCAAATGCATCCTATTATCTCCAGGTTACTCATGAACAAAAAAAATTGCCACAGAAAAGTGGAGTAAATTCGTGGATAGAATCTGAGCTACCATTTTTTTGTTTTACCAGGTCAATCTATAAAGCCCCTTTCTCTCAGAAGCGACCTGGCCAAAAATGATAGCTCAACAAAGTGGCCTATCGGGTGGAAATTTATAGTAGCCAAATACTCTAAACGCATATTTCTACTTGTGGAGGGAAAAACCAGAAGACCCGGAGAAAAATCCACAGGACCACGGGGAGAGAGACACGCAAACTCCAAATAAACAGGCGTCAGGGTCGGGATCGAACCCATGACCTCGTGCATACACAGGCGAGGGAGATAACAACTCGCCACCGCATGTCGGCAACGGCCACAACTGATTCGTCCTCACAGCTGAGAGGCGCGCCGCGCTGCCGGGTGCCGTAGACCTCCATGCCGTCGGCGTCCACGCACCAGCCCTGGCCCGAGGAGTCAACCTGCGCCGGACGGTAGCGGCCGTCCTGTGCGCACTGCGGCAGGTGGAGAGCGCGGGTGCCGTTGAGGTACCCGCTCAGGAGCACCCTCTGCCGATGTAGCTGGCAGAACGACAGACCTGCCCGGCACACGCGGAGGGGCCGTCGGCGTGCCGTGCTTGAACCCAGTCCAGCCAGACGAAGTAACAGAGGTAAAGGTGCAGCCCTGCGACTGGACATCTGTGACACAGGACTTCATGGCTCATCGGATTCTTCGAGTATGAATACATATTCTGATTCAATGTCTAGCTCACACCACCACTGACAGAAAGGCATCTACTAGAGGGAGCTCTGGAGAGCCCGTCTATTACTGTTGTTAATAGCATGATTGGCTATTCATATACATACAAAGTAGCTATAGTTAATTGTAAAGCAGCTCCGGCATTTTTGTGATTGTAGTATCAGTTGTGTTTGCAGTACTATCCTGAGCTAGAGGGAGCTCCATAGAGCCCCTCTACATGATATTTCTGGCCCACTCGTTCACTCTGGCTCGACGTTTTTAAGAAGTTGGGGTACCCACACTTTACCCCACCTCACGCTACTGCTGGGTGGACAGAGGCATGGGGGGGGGGGGGATTTATGAAACTTGCCCCGTTGTTTCAAATGCCGTGCCAGAATATCGAACCGGTGAGCTCTGCATTGCAAGTGCAGTGTGCTATTATGCCATGGCAACAATCTCCTAATCTAGTAAAAGCCCACATGTGACATAAAGAATCTCTGATATATGGCGGAAGTGGCTTATTGGTTATCGCTTAGCTTATTGATCTTTGTAACTCTACTGCTGGATGAAGTCCTCCCCATGCCATGCCGGTCACAGGGATTATTCCACTATACTTCACCACGCTGGTCAGTGTGGGTTGGCGAAGGTAGGGGGAGGGCATGGTCGGTTGAGATGTCGCTCGCCACTGACGTTAGCCATGCATTGGACTTGGGTAGCCGGGTTCATAGCACGACGTACTAACTACATTTCCAGCGGGAATCAAACTTACTTAGATCGCTTTAATCACTGTTGCTAAATATGTAATGCCACGCAACAAGACAAATCACTCGACACATTGTCGATGGAGCTGTTCCGGCGAGCCTGCGTGATGTGAGTCTCAAAGTGTACGCTTGGGCCTTCGTGTTTGGAGTACTGGCACTGACATGATGGAGGTGGGCCCTCCGCTCTCCTGGTGCCGGGCAGCTCCTCCCCGGCGGCGTCCACACACCAACACGGACTCTCCTGCCGCGTCGCACTGCAGCGGCCTGCAGGGAGACTCAGCGGAGACAACAGAGTTGCAGGAAGTAAAGTTCGCAAGAGAAAAACAACACCGAGATCACATTCAAGACCTGTTTCAATATTGACCGCACCGTCGGCAAGAACTTCCATGAACTTACACGTGCTGTCCCTCTTCTCTCTCATCTCACTCTAATCCCCTCCACGAACTCTCCTACCTCTCCCCTCTCATCTCACTCCACTCCCGTCCACCCGCTCTCTTACTTATCCCTGTTCGTGTCAATCTATTCCACCGATCTGGACAGGCCCAGCTGATATTAGGCCTGGCTTTATATACGACGGGACATTTAATCGTCTAAAAACCCAGACCACGTGGCTTCACTCTCAGCCCTCGACGGTGCGTGTGTGGCCTGGCTGCGTCACGGCGCACCTGAACGCGCCGTGGGGGCTGCACTGGGGAACGTGAGGGTGGCCGTTCTCCATCGCCTGCTGCCGCAGCAGCTCACAGGACGAGGCACGGCTTGTCTTCGAGTCGCTGTACTCTGTGGGCACACACAGTACAAATTTTGTAAAAAATGAAAATTGCGCGAAATAGTTGAAACTAAAAATCACATTATGTGTTTTCGGATTGTACCAAATGCTGTTCGGCATGATGTCCTATGGTTAACTTCATGGGCTGCGAGCTTATACAAGAACTTTCTTTGTTGGACATGAAGCCAAGCAACATGAGGTACAACCCAAACACACATCGGGAAGCTACGCAACCATGAGCACCTCTGCAGTAGGAACACTAAAGGCGCTCACAACTCATAAATAATCAAGACACATAAGTTACACAATAATGGCCATTTAAAAACGATTAGCGGCATTGACAAGCTCCTGCGCACCGTGCCAAAAAGATGATCATAATATTATTATTTTAAAAAAATTTACCTACGTGACTTTACCGAAAAAAAATTAAGAGTATGAATCCTTGCAGTCACGAAAGCTTCAAATCTAGAATAAATGATCAGAAGGCTCAACAAAAACGTGGCAGAACCGCACATCAGCTGGCCAAAGCAACAACAGCATCTTTCATTTATAAGGCTCTAAATCACGCAACCAAACGTTCCGAAACCACATCAATGAATGGAACAAGGAGGAATGGAGGTAGATCAGGGAAGAAGAAGAAGTGCAGAGACAGCCGCGCATTGAGGCGGCAAGGGCAGGAGCACATGTGCCCGAACAGTCGCAAAGACCATAAGTAGTAGAACAGAGCCAATACTACCCTCGAGAAGACAATTTGTTAGAAAATGTGCGAGCAACAGAGAAAGAGGGTGAGGGTACCGAGTGCAGATATGGATCCAATCCAAAGGACCAGGTAGAGGGTGGTGGTGGTGGCTGGCAGTAAAGGTGAGGTCCTCATGGCGATACTGGCAAGTCTGTCCCGCTAATGCCCCAGTCACGTCCGTACGCATCGCGCAGCACTGCCGAGTGTGCCGCGCGCTGCCCCTTATATCGAGTGCGGTGGCCCCACCATCTCCCAGCACGGGAGACGAGGTGTGATCATAGTGTGCCCGCCTGTGCGGTCAGTGCCGCTCCACGACAGGCCACGCATGGCTGTATGCACTCAGACAGACAGGTGAAGATGCCAAGCAAACATCGCCAAACGCACAGCAAACAAAACAGTCGGCTCGCATTAATTGTGGAGTGTCAACTATGAATCAGCATTTGCAACAGGCCGACACTCTGACCGTATCCGCGGCTGATTTTCATCTCCATTAATGCGTTAATAAAACAAACACTCCACTGAGTTCTCTAGGGCTGCAATGACTGGGCACATTGAACCTATTTATGGTGTGCCATGATTTAATGTGTTCTTGTGCAAGGCGGTCAGTATCCACAACGTTCATTAAACCCTCTGCAGCGTGTCTAGGACAATGCACTTTAAATTCATATTTTTTTTTAAATGTCCCAGCATCGGTGGGTCCCTAAAGAAGCACACAAAAAATGCTAAGAGCTGCAGTGGAGCGCAGTGAACGTTGTTGTAGCGCTTCTCGGTGAAGTGACAATGAAGTGCAATGGTTAGTGCTTCGTCACTGTGCTGCAGTGTGTCTGGCTTGTGTGACATTTAGAGTTATAATTTGTGTCTTCTATTAATAGGACGCTGCCGTTGTGAAATGGTCAGCACACTGGACTTGTAGTCTAATGGTCACTGGTTCGATTTGATCTCCCGGCACGGCGGGTGAAACATTTAGCAACTTTCTCTAATTTTTCCCACCCTCTCGGTCCACCCAGCAGCATGAACGGGTTCACCACAGTTACTCGACTGGCAGGTGGTGGTGTGGTTGGGGAAAGTTTGGGTACCTCAACCTCTTCCAACACGTCTGGTTAGTGTGCAATAGGGACGTGCGGTCAGGGGAGGCAGGGGAGGCAGAGCCTCATTTGTCATACTCCAATGAAAATAGCTGTTACAAAAAAGTAAAAATAATAATAATCAAACAAAATAAATATTAAGATTTTTCCACTGATCTGTGTTTTAAATGTCATTTCTGTACGATTCCAATCATTTTTATAGTCAAAATCGCCAAATTTGCGGAGCTCCGCTGCAAATACAGGAAGAGACGAGGTGAGGCAGCGACGAGCTCAGCCTCCCCTCTGATTGCACAACCCCTCAGTAACTAGATGGAGCGCGGGCAATAAGCGCGTGCCTGTTACTATCACAGTATGTCACCAATGTAATGTTTGTAGACCCCTTCATTTCATGTCCTCGCCTTCAATACTCCAGGTAACTTATTTCACGTATGTGTATAAAAATATTTAGGCTGGCTGGTTTCGTCATGAAACTGCAATGAAAAAGCACCAGGGGAGGCAGCTATCACATCTGCCTCACTGAAAAGGACGTGTCTAACACGCCCCCTCCGTGAGGACACGCCCCCTTCCGTGAGGCCACGCCTCTCTCAGTGTGTGAATCTGGCTCTGACACGAGCCAAGTGCCTCCCCAGCCATTGACCTCACCGCACGTCACTGGTGTGCAAGTGAAGGCCAAACACCGTCTAGAGCTCCTTCTATTGGAGGCCCATCTGCCAGCAGTGGCATGAGCAAGCAATTGCAGGGCTGCAGATGTACCTTTTTAATGACATATTTTTTTCAGCACGTAAAATGGTGTATACGGTTCAAACAATACGTGATGTCTTGATGAAAATATTTATATTTTCTCTTGAGAAGGGGAGGATTAAAAGTGGACAATTTTTTCCTCTTGCAACACGAGTGAGGTAATAGCAGAGCCCTGCCCTCCTCGTCAATGTCGAACGTGTTTCACACAGCACGTGGCCAACCGTGCTAATCGCAGGTGCGGGAGTTGAGTTGCATGGGGAGAGACTCGGGGCGTTTAGAAGTTCAGGCACAGACTATTAGTAGCAAATGTAATACAACAGTCTACAATAAAATTATTCTACAGATGTTGCCTTGCGCAATTTCTTTGTGATGAAATAAATCAATATGAATTGCTTCTGTCAGACACGAAGGTACATGTTTTTCTTTTCATATGGCTATATTATGTAATTTCCACCCATTAGCCATGCAACTTGAGTATTGAATCGAATCATTGGCATTGCGTCAAGAGTAGGGCAGATCTTAAAGGTCACATGTTTACTGTGCAGTCGAGCTGTGTGATCTGGTGGAGTGTGTGAAGCGTTGGCAACGTGCAGTGGTGTGGCATCAAGGGTTTTGAACGTGAAGGCCTCTTGATTTGGATCAAGACGAGGCACCGAGCACACGCACCGTTCGTAGAGCATTGCTTCAAGAGTCCAGAGCGTACTCCAAGCATCGCGTTTGCATCGTGTTAATAGCAAAAAAATAACACATTCGTCAATGTCCTTGTGGTCTTAAAATACATAAATAAATAAACAAATGGCGACGTTTGAGGAAATCTCAATTTTCCATAGCGACATCAAATACTGCACAAACATGTTTTTGCTAAGTATGTTATGTTGAACTTCTTTCGCACCGTATGTAGCCAACCGTGCTAATTGGAGCTGCAGGGAAAAGCGCAATTGCCCAAATTGCTGCCTATATATTTCATTTCAAGGCAGTTTTATTGACGAATATGTTGAGTTTTTATGTGCTTGTGCACCACTGACAATGCAGCATCACCAAATAAATGGCTTAAATAAGACACTTCAAGATATATATTGCCTAGTTAAATGAAATACTGTATATGATTGGTTGGTTATTAACCTGTGTATTTTGATTATTTGCAGTCACTGTTCATCAAGGATTAGCTAGCTAAGTTATTGCTGCCTTCAATGTATTTCTTGCATGTGGGAATATGTTCAGGAGCTAAATTCCAATGTTGAAATCTGCTCACCGTGAGAAGACTTCACGAGTGCCGTTTTCATGAAGGAGTACAGGCTACAGTGCTTTCCTGTAAGGTTTCACAGTTTGTGGCATGGCCACAATCACACTACCCTGGCTTCTCTTTAATGTTTAATTTATGAAGGGCATGTGCGCATTGGTCTGCTGATGTTCTGTGGTGGACGGTGACAACCTTGCCTTCCGCTGTATAATTGATTTGCATTATTTTTTCACACTGCGTCATCTGTGGGCCACCACAGAGTGCATTTTTGCCTCTTTGCCAGAAGAACAACTCTGTAAATCGCTCTTCACGTGCAACAAAACGCCACGACTGACTTGTGCAAAACGAGACTATGTTTAGTGACAAGGACGCGTCTCCGTAGGGAACTGGTGACACAAACTGCGACCCCAAGGCAAGGTTGAAATGCACCTGATAAATATTTCTCCAAACCCTCCTATAGACGTGGGCTCTATAATACCCTTGTCCAATACTGGATGTTGTGAGGATATTCTTCACATGGGCCAAATTGGCAAATGTTTTGAATTTGCTCTCCAACACACCGGTGTGCTGTACTAGTGTAGTGGATTCAACTGAGTCGCAGACTTACTCTTTGGAGGCAACACACATTTATTAATACCAAACCAACACATAACACCAAGGAGTTACTGCCCCTTTACCAGATAACCTATGGTGGTGGACCACCAGGCTAACTACGCTTGTTACTGGGAGTAGCTACAACGGACAGGACCCAGGCTTGGGCCCTCGCCCACGTGTTGGTGACTTCTTATTGGACGCCGTAGACCGTAGACCGTAGATCTTCAAATGACAGCAGCAACACCCAACCCCGGTCCCTGGTGGGGACCCGGTTGATCTGCTCCTGGGTCGTGGCTGGCCCCGCCCTTGGCCACGACCACCTTCGAGAAACCTCCTGGGGTTTCTCGACCCTTCCCGTAGGATCTCACCCGAGCACGTGACCACCCCCTGTGTCGATCTTACCCGTCACGTGTCTTTCGGGGTCAACCAGAGTGCCATTGCCCAGGGTAACCTCAATCCCATGGCTGACACTCTCACAACTCCCTCCTGTAGGGGTCAGCACTGCACACCACGCGTGGTGCCGCTGAGCGCTATCCCAGTGCTCACCGAGCCCCCTCTAGGGCTGGTACTGCACCCACCTACGGGGTGTCCGCGATGATAAAGCATCGCACGCTGTGCCTCGCGAGAGCCAGCATTAGTCAGCGACACTCGCGATGTCGCTACATGTGTGATGTCCGCGGTGTGAGTACATCGCACGCCGTGCCCCGCTAGAGCCGGCACCACACAGTGACATCTGAGTAACGAATTGGCACGTTCTGTTTACGTGACAAACCTTACCAATTAGCTGTCGGGTGGTGGCGGGTTTAATGACACATATATTGACACTATCTAACCCAAACAACCTATATTATAGATGGTAATGCATTGCTCAATCTATTAAGTGGTAAATTCATGTAAGTGCAATTCAAATGTGTTAAGCATTGCGATCTAGATTGCAAACGCATGTATTTACAACTGCCTTTACGTGTTTAGTCTGTTGCCCTTCACTCGGTTCAACATCGAGAGACAACGTGCATTGCCCCCCCAGCATGCCGGACAGCCCACGGGGCTCCCGGCGTGTGCCCGGTTCTTCTTCCTCGGCTGCTCGCAGCGCCACAGCGCCGCCTGTGGCGCTGCGCTGACGTCACTGCCCGTCATGTCCCAGGCAGCAGCAGCAGCGGCATCATCATCAGCAGCAGCAGCAGCTACAGCAGCAGCAATACACTCCGTGCTGCGACGACAACCACAATCGACCACCACCCATCACCACCACCACCCACCAACACCATCAGTAACACCAACATCGTGAACATGGGACGTCTGGCTCGGTTCAGAATATCTCAATAAGACTGCCGTAGCGCTTCATGTCAAATCAATGATAACAACTCCCATTGCATTGTCAGGCTTGGGGTGCTACGCGTACAGTATAACAACATAGACTGCACTGCGACTCAGGCAATCACACAACATACACACAACATACACGGACAGTTCCTTGCGAAGATTAAATCGCGTTCGTTGTGGTCGCTATTATCTTAGAATCGCACGCAGGCTTCGTCAACGCCGCTTGCAGCAAGGCCGTGAGTATTCGCAGTCACCACAACAACAACAATTATTATTATCATCATCGCTGTGCTAATGTACAATATATACCGCTATTGTCCTATATTGCCGGTAAACACACGGGCATGGCTGACATCGCGTGCGATGTTGATGTTGTTGTTGTTGTGTCAGGGCGAGTCGTGGGGGTAAGTGGAAGAGGCGGTCGCGATGCTAATGGTGGTGGAGGTTCTTCTGTGGGGCTGGGACCATCGCATTTGTGCAGCACCACGGGGCTATTACATTGTTGGCATGTACTTCTATGCGCCCCGCGTCTACGATGCCTACCCGCCTTCACAAATCACAAGCACGCGTTAGCCGCCGTGGTGAAGTAGGCCCTTATCATCATCATCCAGCAGTGGAGAGACAAGGGATGTACTGTACGTGTGTATGCGTTTGCAAGTAGATTGTTATACATTGTGTGGGCAAGATTCGCTGTGTAGGCGTCAACAGTGTCGAAGCATCGTGTGCATGCAGGGTTGTCTGTGTCAACGTCCTATTTGTCCACATTGAGTGTCTGCAAAATGACATCACAGTACAGTGGCTTTGTGTCAACATGTCAACAACATTGTGTCAACAACATTGTGTCAACAACATTGTACGTGTTGGCTAATATCGTATCTGCCTGCATATTTAGAGCACTGGGTCCTAATGTCGACATTGTGTTGTCAGCGTTACATGTGTTTGTTCATGTTGTGTCTTCATGTGTCAAATATTGTGTGTGCACAATTATGTATTGGTGTTAATGTGCCTGCCAACATTGTGTTTGTATCTGTGCTAGTACAGCATTGTGTTTATCGGCATTGTGTGCCTGCATAACTTATGTATATGTTGTTAATTGTGGGTCATCAGAATGGTGTGTTAATAATCTGCATACTTGTGTATTTATGTTAAAACTGTATATCTGTCAACATTGTGTGTGTTTAATATTGTGTCTGTAGTATTGTATGTGTCAGCATTGTGCTCCTCCATATAGATATGCATCTTAATGTCTGTATCTGTGTCATTTTACACGTCAGCATTGTCTCTGAAACGTGTCTGGAGCGCTGTCAGTCAGTGTGGACATTGTGTGTGTGTAACATTGTTAATTCGAGTGTTGTATTAACATTGCCTGTCACACTGGGTGGGTGAATATTACCGTCTCTGTCCAGCGTCTTGAGATGCGGTCGTGTTTAGACGTCACAACAATCCAAAGTTGTGTGCTTAGCTCAGTATAATTCTGTAAACCAACACGGGGAAATCCATCGCGACAGAAACATTTGTGTAAGCCAGGAAACAAATATATTTAACCAACGCGCAAAGATACGCATTGCAGGTACAGCAGCTCTCCTCTGCCTTATTCAGGTCAGCAGCTCAAAAATAGCTGAACGTGTGGGTATGTTTTTGCGTGTTTATTCATAATAAAGGTTTTTGGGTTTAGTTTATTGTCATTCCCCCGCACCTCCGATTAGCATGGTTTGCCTACGTACGGTGCAAACGAAGTTCCACATACATCGGTTTGCTGTTGAAACCACCAACAGAGTTGAGAAAATGTGGCCACCCCACGGTTTATGTGGCATAGCTCATAGCCTGCCAAAGCTCTCATCATCTCTACACATGTGTTCGTCCCCAATCCATGTCTACCGTATTATGTTTATGACAGGGAAATATTATTATCTTAATAATTGATTACCGGTTCATGGTTATATTACTCAACTAACAAAAACAGTTGGGGGGGATCACCTCTCTTCCCATGTGTGCCACTGGTCGGGAGATGTAATGGGCAGGGCCCGTGACATCAACAACACTGGCCCACGTTATGGGGGTCCTGACATCAGGAGGCAAAATGTGGTGGTCGAGTAATCTACGACAAAAAGAGTAGTCGAACCTAATATTGAGTCGATAAATTAGCGTCATTTTCCCACCTCTAGTATGATCCATAATCCATGTGTTGAATATTCCAGTTCACTTTCTCGTGTACAGGTTCATTTCTATCGTGTCTGGCAAATGTGTGTACACATCCATATTTTCAAAATTTGTATACTGTGTTGTCAGCATGTGTTTGTGTTTGTCAACAGACTGGCGGTTATGTTATAATAACATAATCGGTTCTGTTAATGCAAGTTCTGGACATAGTCCAGAACCCTTAAAACGCTTACACTTTTAATGAAGATATAATGACTGAAGATTATAAAACAAAGCCACCTTGCTTTAAGAAGGTTGTAAACATATACAGACAGGCATTGCACTGTTGTAAGACTGCGATTAAACAATTAAGAATGATGGCAGTGTGCGTGAAACTATTACTGTAGTTATAAAACTACGACATAAGCACTTATATAACCATTTGGCAGAACAGGCCAGTTAACAATGACAGTTCGCAGAGACAAAAGCATTGTACAATGCTTTGATTTAATAGCAGGTAAAAACAAGCACATGATGACAACACTAAACCACAAACATCTCATTATCGTAACTTACCACCAATCTTGCCAGCTGCTTTACTTTCTGTATACAAAGTTATAGGCAAGAGTTACATTTACTTGAATTTTTTATTTAATTTTGGGAAATATATAATTACTATTATCAGATCCAATATAACTGGTGAAGATGCAAAATATTTTTATTGTATTCGAATACCGCACTTACAATGGATAATGTACTTACTGATTGGAGAATATTTTTTTTATTGTATTCGCCAGAATCATAATGGGGTGTAAAAATCTGACAAACCAGCAATCCTGATCCTGTTGATTCGACTCAGATGGTCAAACTGGCAGTCTTGCGATGCCACAATCCATCTTGCTCTTGCAGTTGAGCACATCACGTCACTTCCTCTCAGCAGTGGTTGCTCTGTTGTTCGTGTCATCTTCCTTTAGCAGCCATTCTGTAACCAGTCTCTAATTTCAGTTTGTTTCCAGATCCCTGTGCTGCTCCTAGTGTCTCACTGTGGCCCCAAGCATGCATCTCTCCAGATGGTTTTGCATACTTTTTAGATGTTCTTGCATTTTTTTGTCAGTGTACATGGGACTGATGCATAATACATTATAGCGGGTACTATGCACTGATTGAAAACTATCCTCAGAAACATCATTAGTTATACTGCAGTTATATTGACTTATGCCTTCTCATTGTATGTACTTTCATGATAACGTACTCAACTTACTGATACCCAATCCCGATTTACGTACTGTGCTACTTTGCCATAACATACTCGAGATTTACTTTACCATAGCACATGCCCCAACAGTCCATATAGATTTGTGTGTGTGTTGTGTGCATGGCTGCAGTCTGTTCGGAAAAATGTAGCATCTTTGTTCTGTAAATATACGTGGTTGTGAACTACGTCATCAGCTCCAGTACATTAATTATATCTAACCAAAATAAATAATTTCGAGTATAAGACATAATTGTTTAGACTGTCCCTTCAAAATGTAACGTTCGATATTGCTGTTGTAATGAATTGATATGAGCTTTCTTTCAGATTCTGAATTAATTAGTTAACATGGCACGATGTGCATATAAATAACCTGATCACTGGGAGTCACGTTGTGATGCCAAGGAAGATGACTCATTTCCAAGCGTGTCGTCAGCATGTGACCCAGCATTTTGGTTGTCATGAATTCCCAAAAGTCTCATCAGCACAACTATAATATGCTCACCTTTTTTGCTGTGCTATAATTCACCAGAGTATCATGTTATCTTTGCCGTGAATTCAAAGTAATTTTCCAATTTTATTTTTCCTATGACCGTTTATTTGTACAAAGTGATTATCTATATCAGCCTCCTTTTTTCCTATGTTGGCCATGTCGCAATTGTACTAATCATCATCTTGAAATGCCGTTGCATTTAAACACTTTACCATCCCGAATGATATCTCATTGGAAGTCTTGCGCACAGTGGCGAATTCTGGATTATCTGCTCTTCCCGCTAATTTTTTACGTCATCCTCCAGGCAGGCGATCTTTGAGCGGCGCTTGTGTAGCTCTATCAACGCACCATGGCAGACGACACCGGACCAGATGCCAACCTGGGCGCCTTCTCGCCGGTTGACTATATGAGCATCACGAGTTTCCCGCGGCTTCCGGAGGATGACGCCGCCTCCAGTGACACGGGTGGCGTGCGGGCCCGACGCAAGCAGGATGACGCCCTCGATGACCCCGACTCCAACGGTGAGCCAGGAGCCGCAGGGCACCTTGTTTTGGCAGGAAGGGCAGAAGAAGAGAATCGAGTGATTGAGTCGGCAGAAAATCATCATTATCCTCGTCGTCCTCATTGGCCACTGTCCACTGGACGAAGGCCTTTCCATACTGTTGACATCTCTCACTGCCCAATGCTGCTGCCATTTCCTTACACTTGCACAAGAAGGGCAGGAAATAATAATACAGATAGTCCCCGAGTTACGACGGTCCGACTTACGATATTTAGATCTTACGATGGCGATAGCGATACGACAAAATTGTAAAATATTTTACATTTTGCGCGGCAGGCAAACGCAGCAGCGTACGAGGTACAATCTTGGTGAGTACAGTACAATATGATACGTTACGATACGTAGCTTTAGTGATTTCATTTTAGGGTTACCACGATACGATACGTTCAATGCATGTTAAACGTTTTTATAGCAGATAGGATTGTTTCCTGAAAAAACTTTCTTTTAAATTGCAGTTCATATAGGTAGGCTAAGAATTTACCTTGTTTTCTTACTTTACATTTTACTGTGCAATACAGTATTGTAATTAATAAATACAAACAGTATATAGTTTATACAGTATGGTACTGTAAATTGCTCTGTTTTGCTAAATTATCACCATTCTTTAAGACTCCTGGGTAGGCTAGGCCATCTTCGACTTACGATATTTTTGACTTACGATGGGGTCATCGTAACGCATCTCCATCGTAAGTAGAGGACTACCTGTACATACTTTGTAACAGAAGCTCAGTGTAACATATCGCTACCATCAACACATCCGAGTTTCAAGGGCTTTCAGACCAAAGTGTGATGCCTCTATCAACAACTGCTGTGTTCCTCTTCGTAAGGTAGCAAGTGTGTGATAGCAACCGTGAAGCATCTCTGTGTGATTGCTAAGTTACAAAGAACACGTTTTGCACTCTAAAATAAAAGGGACTACAAGTTATTGTAATAAATGTAAGTTACTGAAATTGCAATTCGCCCTGCACAAGACTTGCCAAGGCAGAGAAATCCTCAGTAGATCACGGTTGAGTTTGAGCGTCGTTATGCCGCAAGGCATTTTGCTGCAGCTTGCAGGAATGTTGCCAAGCCATCAATCACACACCGTGCTGGTACAGCACAAGCCGCAGCATTATTCAATATATCTATAATTTCTTGATGCGCGCAGAGTAATCCATTTAATTTCCTGGTGTCTTTAATCATGTGAACCTTGTTCTTTCATACATTCTACGTACATAGCAAACAAGACATAAACCAATATTTTCTATGGACAGCATTCTAATTATAATTCTCGACGACAGTTGGAAACAGTGCTGGAGCAGGTCATTGTGAGAGTGTGCTTTATCTGTTATAATTAACACACCCAGCATCATTAGATCTGCTAGACCAGCATGTAGGGTTATTTAATCAAATGCTTCAATGTATTCTTGGTTTGTATCGCACTGTTGTCTGGAATGATGTCCAACATTCTCTCCACGTACTGGGAGCTTCTTTATTTCAATAATTTAATTTCTTGAAGTGGGCTCCCAGCACATGGAATAAAACGTCAAACCAAACAACAGCGAGTACAACCCAAAAATACATCGGAGAACTGTAATGCACAACCATAAAACCCACCTGGTAGTCATCATAATCAGCCATGATCAATCCACTGCTGGATGAAGGCTTCCAAAAGCCACTGCTACTTATCACGATCCTGCTATGCAATAATCTACGTTCTATTTCCTGGCGGTTAGTTATTATTGTTGAACTCTGACCATCATCCCCCTTCTAGCCATGACATGTCCTGCCTAAGCTTACTTATTACTCTTAACGGTTTGAATTATGTCATTGATTTTAGTATGTTCTCAAATCCATGTATTCCTCTTTATCTCATAGTGTAATTCCAAGCACGTCATCTCTTGATGCTTTGGACATTTCTCAGTTTTGTTTTAGTTTTTTTCATTAACGTCCACGTGACCGGCGAGCTGCTTTTGTCACGGCAGGGTATCTCGCCGTGGAATCTTTTGTTAATCATCTCACAACACGTGCACTTCCAATGCACTTCCGACAGACCCCGAGAACTTCCTCAAAACTGCGCGGCTGCAGCGACTGCCCTCGTCTTCCTCGGAGCCTGACAGCCAGGAGTCGTCCCCGCTGCGCCTCACCAAGAAGGACCCCTTCTCGCAGGAGTGCGCGTGCCGCCGCGACGGCCTCACCGTCATCATCACCGCCTGTCTCACCTTCGCCACCGGCGTCACCATCGCGCTCATCATACAGATTTACCTCGGCGAGCCTCAGGTGGGTGACACTCTGACGGGGAGGGTAGGCCCACGGTAATGCGATAATGGAACAGGATGATTTTAAAGTGCGGTGGTCAAACGAGTACATGTTTTCAAAGATTGTGAATTTTTATGTGTTAATTTAAGCTGAAATCTAAGCTTTTACTCAGGTCTTTCTTGCAAAAAACTAATTTTGGTCTCAATAGGTTCTTGTACATCTACCTACACAGACCTTTTGTTATTCTTCTGCTGGATTAGAGCCTCTGCATGCCATCCACACGAGTTTTAGGGTAATGTGACTATGCTTCACCATGCATGGTTGGCTACGAATGGGGCGAAAGAAGTTCCACCCATACATAATCGTGGGAGCATAGTCGTGGGAAAGGCACAGAGCATACCATTTTGCTTGCACAAAACTTACAAACATCATGTTCATAACCATTCACAAAAATATACACGCACTGTTAATTGAATTACACCTGCATTTGTCATTACAACCTTTTCTTATAAAACAAACTCACTTTTGTTATCGCTAATGGGGGTCGCTCTTGGAGAGGAGGCCTCGGTCTCAGTGGGCTCTGAAGTGGTCAAAAACAGAAATCCGAGGGCGGCGCTATGTAGCGTCTCCTGTTGAAACTCGCGCCCTGTGCACCTGCCGTAGGTGTACTACAACGGCACGGTGGTGTCCGACGTGCGGCTGTGCTCGGACATTGGCGCCGACATTCTGCACAAGCAGGGCTCCTCTGTCGACGCGGCAGTTGCCACGGCGCTGTGCGCGGGCATCGTGCACCCGCACTCGTCCGGGCTAGGCGGGTGAGTCGTCGCCCCCTGGGGAAGCAGTCGTCCACGCACGTTTTGAACCAGGTTTCCCTTGGGAATGAGACTTTTTGGTTCTATAGGTTCTTACCTGGTTATAAATAAGAGTTCAATGTCCGTCTGAATTTGGCAATACTTGTTTGTTTCATTTGTATTTTATCTCAGACTTTTCCGGTAACAACATTAAGCACAGAAAGGAATAAAACACAAGGCAACATAGTTCAGCTGATATTATAAAAAGTGAAAATACATTATGACTGAATCCATAACATACATGCATCAATCTTCTTGAAAATAGCCAGCCTTTGGGTTCTGGGAAAACAGTAAAATCGAAAGCTTTAAGAATATAGGCACAGTCTCGCATCAGTCGCACTATTGCAAATTACTCATTTGTAATATACAGAGCAATAATTGCCCCTACTGCAAAACACTTGACAGGACCTTCCTGATAGAGTCGTGAGGTGCAGTGAGACTTTCCTGGGTAAACAAGCATCATAATAAAACATAAAATTGCCTTCTTAAATAAAGGGATGAGACTCACTGCACGACACCATTGTAAATTAACTCAAATTAGAAAATGGCAACTATCAGGTAACCTGTATTACATTTCCATATATTGCGATACTTAGTGGTTTCCCACTGTGTACAATAGAGGTATAAACTATAATGGATACAAAGGCAGTGCCTGATTTAATTACAGGCATTTCTCCCTTAAATTTTCTTTAGTTTGTGTTATCCATAATGCAGATACAGAAATCCTACACTTGGAAAACAGGTTCAGTGGTAATTGTATATCCGAGGTCTTCCTAACTGTAGCCTAGAAATTGTGAAAGAGAAACCTGTGATAATAAGTGGCAAAACATGACATTAATTGTACGTGATGTTTACGGACGCTGCTGCAGTAGGCTGTCTATATTTATCTAATACACAGCAACATAATGATTTTGAAGAGGTGCATATGTTCAGGTCTGTAGAATTATTCTTCTGAAAAGAACCAAAATGTGATTCATTGTGAGTGTGATGTACCTTTTACCGCATCGGTCATGAATTATTTAGAAGGAGAGAATACCGCTGAATATCTCTGCCTAGTAATGTGCTCCATTCAAGCCCATTGCCTTGGGAAAATCAGCACTGGCATGCATTGTATAGCATACAGCCAGTTTTTTTAGCTTCAGCAGTTGTATTGTACGCATATATGTGTACATATCAGATCAAATACCTTGGACGTTTGACCATTTTAAATATTCAATTGTTTGTATTACACATGTCAACAAACACTCTTGAAAGACGTTGAAGTGACTCTTAAATAAAGTGCGCTTCGGCAGGACACATCCCTAGGAGGGGTTGTGGCCAATGGACTGGTATGGAGAGAATGCACCAATGAGGACAACCACCGTAACGGTGATGAGATCAGCTCGTTTGTAGCAGCAGTGACATGGTCATGACTGACTATAGTTTTCCATACAAATTCACATTTAATGTATCTAAACCCTGATTTCAAAAGCCTCAATAAATAACACTTACACTATAGTTCATAATGTAAAGGGGAAATTTGTGAATATGTGTGTCTGTTCGAAATGTTTAGCATGCTTCCCAACATGCAACAAACTTGAAATTTGGCATGTGGGTAGTTTCCAGACTGTACACAATGCAAAAAGTATAAAAATAGAGGGGGGGGGGGCGCAATAATGGATATCATATATTGCACGGCAAGTGAGCGGTGACGTCACATCTGTAATGTCTCACCCGCATGCGGCAGCGTTACGCAGTGTGCCTGCTGACATCACGCATCCCCCCCGCAACCCTCCGCCTAGGCCGTGTATCCCGCACAAATTCGCGGCGTAGCTGTCTCGATGTTCTAAGTCAACGTGACTATTTTCAGCTCGCTCTTAAATATAAAGCAGAAAATACGTCTGTTTGTGTGAAGCAGCAAAAACTCTCTGACGCTGAGCTCTGACGTCATGAAATTTGCACAGCTTATGCCGTCTGGAATTTCTAAGGGAACGCACTGTTTTCAGCTCGCCACGTCATTCCCTTCTCGAGTTTCCTAAATCGACCTGACATATAAGTGGGTTAAGGTTGAATTTCCTTCAGTGAAAAACATCCGATTTAGTTAAATTGATTTGTTTCGGCTTTTTTCTTTCTTGCAAGCATACACTTTTTTCAGGGGTTTTCAGTGATATATAAGTGAATATGAAATTAATCCAAGACAAGAATCCAAGTCCCGGGCGAAGCCGGGTAGTAAAGCTAGTAGTTAATAGAGTAATGCTGCCCATCCCTTCTGAACAAGGAGTAATGCATGCCCTAAAGCTGGCCGAGTGGCTGAGCAAGTTTAACAGGCTCTTTGGAAATATTTTACGTATGGATAGCATCTCTTAACCCTTGACCCCACGCTCCTGACCACAAAGTCAGTGGGAGGCATTCACCTGTGGCACCTTTGTGGAATGTTTGAAATGCTTCATGTTTGCAGTTAATTTCTGTTTTCCATTCTACTCTGCTGGGCAATCTGCTTGCTGTAACCTGTGCAAAGCACACATTTTACACAGATGTACACTTACAGCCCTTTTGACTATCTACTGCTGGATGAGAGCCTCCCCACGCCTTGTGGTTATTGGGAATTATTTGACAATACTTCATCACGCTCGTCAGTTCAGGTAGGTGAAGGTGCAGAGTATAGAAGTACAGTACAACTGTGGATTTTTCTGCGCACTCCCCTCCGCTGCGCACCTTGTAACCCCCAATAGACGATAACATCTGTCACGCATGTCATGCATGGTGATAACGCATGCAGGCACTATGCAAGCTCAGATTTGCATAGCTTCTGACATCTAATGAGCTAAGCTACAAATCTTGACTTAAAGCTTTTGTGACTGCGGGAATTCATACTCTTTGGGTCTTTCGGTAAAGTCGCGTATGTAGAAAAATAATAAAAATCACGACGTTTCCATCGCAACACAAGCAATCTGCTGAGACAGGAGAAATATTTTTTCTGCCTCAGCAGTTCTCCGGCTGTATGTATTCCCCTGAAGGCGATTGCTCGTGTTGCAATCGAAACGTCGTGATTTTTAGAATTTTTCTATCTACGTGACTTTACCGAAAAAACCAAAGAGAGTGAAGGTACATTCTGTGATTTGGTCACAGACATTGTACTCCTTCACCGACTCTTTCTCTTCAGGTGTATTTGTTTAACCAATCCTTGGATGGGCAAGAGTGACCCGAGTCACCATAGTTGTCTCCTAACAAAGACATGTGAGACCTCTGTATCAGTGCGGATGGTGATATAGCAGTGCATTAGTCGCTTGTTACAATGGTACACGGTTCCAGAGCCACGCCTGCCTTGGTTAACACTGCGGGTGCATTAACCGTACAAATACACACCATTTGTTTCATAGTGAACAATAAGGTTCCCGGAAATGATACGTGAACCAGAGTAGGCGAAGCGCACCAACATCATAGTCCACATTTTGTCAGCTGTGAAAATTTAGCTGCAAATTATTGAACCTTAGCAGAATTCTCCTGAAAAGACTTGAAATTCAGGCTTTCCTGGGTAGATACAGGCTGTACATAAATAACAATAAATGAATGAAGTGCTGCTCTCTGAACTGCTGCTATGCATGTCTCAGAAGCTATATAGGTGTCCTGTGGTGTTTGTTACAGGGGCGGAGTTATGTTGGTGCACAACATCAAGGAGAACACGACGCGAGCCATTGATTTCTGGGCTGTGGCTCCGGCTGAGGACCTCTTATTTAACAACCTGAACGCTAACCTGACTGTAAGTTTAGCAGTGATGACCACGCTGATTTGTAACCGAACCTCCGATTAGCAAGATTGGCAACGTACGGTGCGAAAGAACTTCAGCATACATGCAAACGATCTGATGTGTTTTAAGGTTGTATGATATGTTGTTTGGCACGATGTCAGATGTTTGGCTCCACATGCCGGGAGCTTCTTCAGTTCCTGAACTTAAGTTTCTGAAGCAGCTCCCAGCACATGGCTTGAAGCGTCGGGCATCATGCCGAACACCACGCGGTACAACCTGAACATTTTATTAAATTATAATACAGCACGATGGAGAAAATATGCGCAGAAGAGTAAACTTGTTAACTTGTTCTGAGCTATTAACTCAATTCTTCATCAGCCATGATCTGTCCACCGCTTGATGATTGCCTCCCCAAGCTGTCAACAGTTCTCATCCTTTCACGGTGCAACAGTTAATTTCCCGCCTGCGCACAATTCCATTCATGTTTTAGCTACATTTGTATAGTTCTGGAGATATAATGAATAATGTAATACACTGTTTAACGTCCCATTAAAATACCATTGTTTTTCAGAAGAACAATGTTGGGAGGCATACATTATTGTAGATGCAAAAGTACTTGTACCTTAAATTATAATTTTCATGATACTAATATGTATGTACAGTTATAATAATTAGCAGAATAGTGCATTAGTAATGGAATTGGTATTTTTCTGTGCTTGCAATAATTCATAGAGAGATCAAGAACCCTGTTTAATTCCAATATGCTCAGTGGCTTCATCAATCAGCTGAAATGTGCTTTTCATTGTCCTGCAGGCGGGGCTGAGTGTGGGCGTGCCGGGAATGATTAAAGGCCTGTACCAGGCTCATCAGCTGTACGGCAGGTATTCATCCTTCCCATGTGTGGTGGTTCTGCGATATCCACTTCGGTGGGCTGTTCTTTGATACGGGGGGAGGTGCCCTGCTTCTTCGAGCATGACACGACACGACAGCATGACCGGGATGAGACAAAGTATGCTGTAAATGTGAAACTCGCTGACCACGTGGTACACAGCAACTAGTTCAATTATTTAACAACGATGGCCAACGGCACAGTGCGTTGTACGAATACACTAAAAGCAATTATGAAGCTTTGATGATTGTCCTGGGAATGGTTGGCTGCCTGCGTTTTCAGAATGCCGTGGGGCGAGGTGGTGGCGGCAGCTGCTCGCGTCGCCAAGGACGGCTTCAACGTCACCACGGAGCTCGGTACGGTCGTCACCTCCTTGAACATAAAGGGGTTTTGTGATCGGTGTGCCGTGGGATTTCTCTTGTCGCCGCGTCCAATTTACGTGCACAAATAGCGGATTATATTTTTCAGTGGAAAGGCGTACTAAATTACTCTCTGGGGAAAAACGTAACGTTGGCAAAATGTAATGTGCATTTTGGAATGAAATAGACTGTTGCAGTTAACTGGTAATTGGAATGTGTACTACACAGCCAATTTTATTATCACGTAGGTGTCATCTCTTTCATGTGTGAACATAGTTTCCCAGCAGGAAAGGGAAACTTTGAAATTCAAAATAGAACTGGACAAGATAGTTTTGTAGATGTAATCAGGAAGAGGAGGTTGCAATAGTGGAGTATACGTGCAAAGAAAGTGGAGTGGCAGGCAGAAAGGTAGACGACCGAAGGGAAGAGCTCAAGCCAGATGGTGGGATACCGTCAGACTGGAGCTTGGAGGTCGTGTGCCGAATGCTACAGATACGGAATCAAATAGACGACAAGTTGCAATGGTGCGGTGTGCTGCGTAAGTGACATCAGTCGTGATGACCTCTTGAACTGAACGGTGATTGCCATTCGCAGGCCTGAAGAGCGGTGGGGTGGGTGGGTGGTAAGGGAGGTACAACTGTCGTGGAGTTCCCAAGCCCAGAGGGAAGCCTCAAAGTGTTGAGATTATAATTTTCAGCCACATATTTCGTTTATGTAAATTTTTTCGATCGAGGCTCTGTCCCAAATAAAACATCGCAATGACGTGTGTTTTGTAAATGCCGTAACAGTGGGTTGGAAAAAGTTGCTCCCTTTGACAACTGGTGATACGGGATGGTAAGAGATTCGAGCCCCCAAGCCAACTTCACGTACCGGGACTTCCAAATTTATCTCAACGGGGTCTGGTTATTAGCAGCTTTAAGAGTAGCATTGCACACGCTGGCGGTACACGGCTCACGAGCGTTGCCCTTGTGGTGGTGCTTCTCCAGCGTCGGCCGTGGGCCACCTGCTCAGCGGGAACCTCTCGGCGAGCTTGCGTGGCGTGTTTGCGCCGGGCGGCCAGGGCGTCCTGGCCGGGGACCCCATGAAGCGGCTGGACTTGGCGGACGTGCTGGATGCCATCGCGCTGCACGGCCCCGACGCGGTCTATCGGAGTAATCTGACCCTCGAGCTCATCGCGCAGGTGCTGGGAGACTGCTGATTATCTGCAATTAAATAAATCTTATAGACATGATGGGCTTGGTTTGTTTTTGCAAATGCGCATATAACGAATGTTCATACGTATGTGTGTGTGTGTCCGTGCGGATGGGAAGGTGGCTGCAAATGGAGGAGTGCTTAGTGCTGAAGACTTCAGCAACTACTCTGTCCTGGTGCAAAACCCACTGGAAACCACCTATCAGGGTAATGCAGTCTAAATTGCTTTCTAAATACGACATGGGGAGGCTTTTGCCCAGCAGTGGATTGATCATGGATGAGGATGATGATTAATACATTGGTAGTCTCTGGGTAATATAGTATACTAGTTTTTTTGCCCATCCAAGGATGGGTATATATTGCAGTACATCTGAAATATTAAATAGAAACATTGTTCATCTCATGATTATTAATGAGTGGGGGGGGGGGGGGTTGTTGCCCCATGTGGAGTGACGTCATCCGTTCATGATTATTAATGAGGGGAGGGGTGCGGCATGTGGAGTGCGCAACCTGCAAAAGAGGGGGCCTCTTTTGCAGTGACATCACGTACAGATGTATTCATTTTTCACGTCACTTTCTGTAAAGACACGTCATACTTGAAGCGACTTTGCGTAATACATTATTTAATTCAGCTTGCTCTTCCTCTGCGTTCGTGTAAAAATCCACTCACTCATGAATATTAATGAGGGGGGGTGGGCCTTATGTGGAGTGACGTCACGTGGGGGGGGGGGCTCGTGGAGTGACGTCACGCGCGGGACACCACACATTCTTGGCTTATTATAGTATAATTAGTTTGGTGTTGTGTAATCAAGTGAAAGCCCTTTGAGACTCGGGTCTCTTTTTACAGGGATACCTATATATTTAAGCATGCTCAGTAAATTTAGCGCATGGTTGTAGGTGATATTACATTTTCATTTGGAGCTACGGTGCCGACGCACAGTGGCTTAATGTTGGGACCTATGTCACTGGATCTTGGCCTTGCTGACTGTAATCAGCGTGTAACAATCCCCTGAACACTGCTTTGGTGGCAAGCACATTAACCCCTATGATAAACGTACAAAGGTTTCAACAGCATTATAGATTCTTGTAGTGTATCCATATGGTAGACAAACCAGACTCGGGAGTTCAACGTACGCATGTATAAACGCTGTGTTTTGTTGAATGTGGCAGGCCATCTCCTGCTGTCGGCCCCACCGCCCCATGCGGGGGCCTCCCTGCTTCTCGCCCTCGGCATCATGGAGGGATATAATCTGAGCACGCAGGATGATGGCAACCTCACCTACCACTGGCTGACCGAGGCAAGACGCCGGTCACCACAGTGCCCAAACCACAGTTAAAAATCAGGCTTGAGGGTGCATGCAAGGTTGTTGTAACATGGGTAGAGGCAATGGAAGGCTATTTCAACAGCGTCTTGGCTGACATTTGTGTTCAAGTTCTATCGGTAAGCACACTCTCACATAGCCTCGAAATTTGTTCTTGCCCGAAAATAACTTGTGGTGTTAAAAAAAAATCTCCCCAAGTGCTTTTGGCGTCATGTTACAAATCATAATCTCAGAGAGCATCGTGCCCTGTGACAGAACAGCCTGTGGAAGCAGTGTTTCAGAGGACTTTTGAAAAAGTCATTCGCGGGGCCTTTTTATCAGTTACACAGCAAGGGGTGCACTTTCTCACAAGTTATTTACGGAATCAAGTGCAAACCCAATTTCATATGGTGAAGTTTTTTGTGCATCAGTGACTGAGCTGAGGCCATGAGCTTGCTACACATGAGAACCCGATTTAATATTAATTAATATTTATAGAGCGCCTTCGATCAGGGCGCTCGACATAATAAAAAAACTGTGCAAACAAAGAATTTAGATGGCAGGGGCCTGCAAGGGATGGGGAAGGGGTCACCGCGATAGAGGGTGCGTAGGGGTTAGGAAAGGGTAGGGGAGGAGGGAAGAAATGGAGGGGTGGCGGGAGGGAAGAAGAAGGGAATGGGTAATGGAAAAGAGGTTTTAATCAAGCGGCTGAAAATCACATTTCAGCCCAGCCTCTAAGCAATAATTGCCCTTTGTTCAAGCAGCCCATGACTGTTACGTACTACCTACTTCAGGAATACATGTACTCTGTTCTGTCAAAGAATAACAATTTTGCATATACTTGGATTCAATAATGCTTTCTAACATAGACGTCCTTGGATGTATTTCATTAGCATTATCGATGTGACTTTCTGAGCCGCGCAATGAGATGACGTCACAAAGCGCGTGGCGTGTGACGTCGCAAGATGACATTAACAGCCTCTCCTAAAACTAATGTAATAACAACAATGCTTTCAAATTTATTTTGAAAGCGGCGTTAATAATAACATGTATTAATGCACACGTGCCATTAAATTTGAGTTGTGTGGCTTCCCTGTGGCTGTGCAGGCCCTCAAGTTTTCCTTCGTCCAGGGCAGCACTCTTGGGGACCCTACTGTGGATGCTTCTGTAGCCGAACGTATGCAGAATATACTCAGGTTAGTGCGCTGGAAAAATACTCTTGCACTGCAAATGCACGCATTCACGTGATCGTGAATAAGAGCAGAGATGCACCGTGGTTTGTTGTACAAAAACTGACGTCTTATAACGGTGGATTTGTCATCGTTATTGTGATCTTCAACAACTATGCTATATCCACTCCTGGATGAAGATCTCCCAATGGCATCAACATTCCTCATGCTCTGAGTTACCTTTCATCTCACTCCTGCACTGAGTTAATCTCTTTATTTCATCTCCGTGGTGGTCTCCTCTTGGGCGTTTTCCCTTCTTTGGCTGCCATTCCATCACCAGTCGTGTCCATTGGTGATCTTCCCGTCTTGTGGTTTGTCCTGCCAAAGCCCACTTACTGTTCTTAAAAATCAGCATATCTTCTTTGCATATGTTCTCTTATCTAATTCGCAGTTGAATCTCTCATGAGTTTCTATACTTAACAGGTTTGTTCAATTTGCTTTCTCATTTGTCATGTTTACAATCCATGTGTAATAGCTGATAATATTCACCGAATTATAAATGATTTAAAAATAATTTGCATTGAAACGTCTTTTTTTTCACACAAAAATATACGTACATAACATTCGTGCTCATCAGCCTATGTGCCTCCCAGCAGCATCCATTTGAGCAGACAAACCCTGGCCCTGTTTTGACCTTCAGAGTGCCATTAGCAGAGTCAAGCCTGTTAAACATATTCTCCTTGGTTGCCAGATATTATATTCAGGAACCTTTAATCAGAGCCATCCATCAGCATGGGGCTTGTTAAGCACAAAGCAGTACATTTGTAAAGTCGCACCCATGGATTGCACACGCTGTTAGCAAGCTCGTTCGTCAAAAATGTAAGTCGAACGAACCAGCCATTAATGGGTCGTTCAAGCTCATTTACACCTTTGAGCAAAAAAAAAACACACACGCTGGGTTTCAGTAAATACGGAGAAGCTGCTCGAGGCAATAATGCTCGTTGAATAATTTGTCTCGTTTTCAGCAAGCTGGAGGCAGGTCGCATCAGGGAGCTGATTAACGACAAGTGGACGTTACCCGCCGACAGCTACGGAGCGAAGCAGCTCATTGACTCTTACGGCGACGCCAGCTCTGTGCTCGTCATGGGGCCCGACGACCTCATCGTGGCCATGACCAGGTAAGTGGCGACTTGCGCTCCGCTCGCCACGTGCATTTAGCCCTGAGAATGGCGCCGTCAAGTTGGAAGTGTCCAGTTGCGAGTGGCCGTGCTGAGACTGACACCGGACTGGTTTGGCAACCGCCGGGTTCCTACCCACGCATGCATGCGCAGTTGCCGGCATTAGCCCTGCTGCAACGTGTGCACGCACTTGGAGTGAGCCGGTTGTGGCTCCTGTAGCCACCCACCTCCGATTTATGTCAGTCAGGATGAATTATAATTGTGTTTAGGTGGCAATCAAGAGCATATGTACATACTGTTGGATTTATATTGACTATACTTCACCCAGCTGGTCAGTGTGGGTTTGCTGAAGGCAGGGAGCATTTACGTTGCAGCGTAATACCGCTTAGCTTCGGAGATCTGAAGAGAGCGTGTGCATTCCGTGTGATTTTGTCATGGGCAAAAATGATCGGAGATGTAGATCCTCGTGGTCCATTTAGCTTGAGAGCTCCTTCGAGTGTCCGAGCAGCACGGTCAAGCGTTACAGTAAATGTTCGTGTGTTTTCCCCAGTGTCCTTTAAATTAATGCTCATTGGTATGGCTTTTGTAAATGCGCAGGATGTCTTCACTGTAAATACAGTGAAGAAGCCACAATGGTGCTTACTCAATGAGAATAAAAACGATGGAAAATGTAGCGGTTATTTCCGCTCGGCATAGAACAGAGCCGGCGAGGTGGCTTGGGGGTATAGCAAGTGGCCCACAGTTGGAAGGTTCTGAGTTTAAATCCAGGTTGGGGGTTAACTTGGCCCATCATTCCTCCAGGATCGTTCAAATGAGTACTACTATTGTAGGGCAGTCAACAGAAGTGGTCCTATGGATACATGAAGGTGATGATGACCTTAAATAGTTAAAAGAACATCTCACAGAGGATCGACCCCCTGCAAACATTGAAATTTGTATTAATGTCCTCTTTTGCTGCACGTTGAGCTGCCCCACATTTCCCCCTGGCACTCCGAGAGGTTGATTACCCAACTCCTCGTGTGCTGAAGAACGTGGAAATGAGAGCTCGCAAGGACCACTTGTCCGATCGGGCTCAATAATTTCGGGCGGCACCTATTTTTTGTTCAAGAGCACGCAGAAAGCACTTTGCACCATTCTCGTATTTCAGGCAGCCATCCTGGGTAGAGAAACCGGCGTGAGGCTTTGTAACGAGACCCCCCCCCTCCCCTACTTTGTCTTAACATCTGCAGTGAGGGTGATGGCCCATTTTGGAGTCCTAAGAATTGTTGTTAGTTGCATTCCCCCTCTCGATTTATAAACTCGCGAGATGGAGATGTGGCGGGATGAGAAAAACGTGGACAAAAGATCGTGCTGTAGTTATTTGAGAGAACTGAGATATAGACCAAGGTGAATATGAGATACATTTTCCCTTTTGTATCTATTATATCTATTTGTATATATCTATTTTCATTCGAGCTGAAAGGTTCACCTCTATTTTGTATGATTCCAAGGCTCCTTGAGCTGCTTGGACCGCTAGCGCCACCGCTGACCATCTGCCACGCTGGCCGGCTGTGTGCGCGTGTGTGGGTCGACTCGGCCTCAAATGAGTACCTGGTGCAATATGTAAACATCGCCACTGGCCACCCACCCCCTCATGTGCCATGCCGGCCTTCATAGGTGCTCGCAAACAGCACTTACCCCAAAAGTCTGCAAGTCAATTCGGGGTATATGTGTCTGTGTGCGATTGCAGTTCTCTGAGCGGCGCGTTTGGCAGCCGTGTCATGACGCCCTCTGGCATCCTGCTAAACAGCGCCATGCTCGACTTCACCAACCCCAGCCAAAGCCCCAACTCCACAGCCGACCAGGTACAGCAGCACCAACCCCTTTTGTGTTGCAACAGAAACGGCTGAGTGGAGCACCGCGAGTAGCCATGGCGACCATACAGTGCTGGGCAAACAGAGCTAATAATTGCAGAACGTAAACACTTGAAAGACAAACCCACTTCACTAAATATTTCACGTTTTTAAATAAAAGCAGGTTTGCTCTCGTAGCCTAGAAAATAAAGCACTACACTTACATTTAGCAGTTTTTGTTGTTTGAATATCCATCCACATCCCATGACGGTCTTGCAACATGGCTTTTAGGGCACGGTGTTGGCAGCTCTGGTGGTGATATCTCTCGACCGGTCTCAGCTGGTTGGCATGAGCTGGTTGGGGTTTAGTACCTTCCAGTCTTCTCTGCATGCCTTTTTATTCGAAGACCCACTTTGGTGCCTATTTGGATGGTTTTTGGATAGGTTGCTGGGTATTTTGATTAGCCTTAAGAACTGCAGTTTTCTTCATTTAATAGTGGCTAGAAGCTGTTCCTTGTGTTCTGATTGGGTAGAAATTGTGTTCTGTAAAGGTTTCTCATTACATATTCAAAGTAGGTTTCCCAAGAATTTCAAGAAAAAAGGCTCTTTTTTCCATCTTACGCCTTCAAGTGTTCAATGTTTCACATCCATACAAAAACACCAATTGCACCAATGCCTGTAGGAATTCAACCTTTGTTCATCTATTATTTCTAACGTCCATTTACGTATATTGCCCTTTGTTGAGGTGGCACGGGTCGGTGTCTCTTGCAGGCGAACGTCATGGGACCAGGCCGGCGGCCGATCACCTGGGCCCTTCCCACCATCGCACGGCCCCTGCGCGGTCTCTGCGGCACCTACCTGTCGCTGGGCGGCTCCAAGGGGCCTGCAGATACCAGCAGTCTTGCACAGGCATGCGCCCGCTTAGAGCAGGGGTGGCCTATCTTCCTGACCCCACGAGCCCACGCACCCGACAACACACATGGTGGTCACACAGCCGGTTTTCTCGCTGGTTGGTGAAATTTATTATTTAGAAATCTGCGGGAGCAGGGGCGAGGGCACCCAAGGTCACTGCTCTTTCCACAGGTTTTTCCCGTTTCAATTAAAGTCACATTGGAAAGTTGGGCATTTTTATCGAGCCGCACTTGAACGGCCTGTCCAGTCATGCTTGCAAGCTCTGGTTTGGCTAACCCTGTCCTAGAGCATCGTAGCAAACTCCTGATTTTCTGTGAGAAGCATCAACAAAAGCCAAAAAGTGAATAAGTGTATGCACCATGACAGCAAAATAAAAACTGGATATCTTTTTAAATTAGGCTTATTTTAAGTGGATTGGCAATGGGTTGAGAATTATTATATTTTCTTGGTTCTTTCGGTAAAGTCACGTAGAAGGGAAGTAATAAAATAATAAAAATAAAACATAATAAAACAATTCTCACGACGTTTCGGCCACAACGCAAGCAGCCGTCCTCAGGTGAAAACCAGGTCCGTCGAGGCGACAGAGTCTGAATGAAACAGCACACGAGCTTGGAGCATATATATATAAGCTGGGCGCATTGACAAAGGAATTTGCATATCAAAAGGAATTTAGCATATTTATGGGAAATGCAGGAATGTGATTAGTACTGCATATGCATGTGCATTATGCAGGATTAACAGCATCAAAGGGAGCTGCAGTTACTGCTGCTGCAGCAGTTGCTGCTGCTGCTGCAGTTTCTGCTGCTGCTGCAGTTGCTGCTGCTGCTGCAGTTGCTGCCGCTGCTGCAGTTGCTGCCGCTGCTGCACTTGCTGCTGCTGCTGCACTTGCTGCTGCTGCACTTGCTGCTGCTGCTGCAGTTGCTGCCTTATCCATTTTAATATAACACTATGTATTATTCTACCCACCCTAATGTGTATCATACTGCTATATGTTTACTGTACAATTACGACACCATACATTACTCTGCACACTGCACCATGCCAGTGAGTGGAACGTGGTCTGAAAGTCACCGTAAACGTGAACACAATCAGTTAAGATCCGAAATGGTTTATTACGTCCTTCCAATGATTGCTAAGCCAGAATCCATCTTCTCGGTTGAAATTGTCTCTGTGTTTGTATATGTGGATCGCCTCATGAACGAATCTCTCATGATAGCCAGATGGCTTGCAGAGAACCTCTGTCTTGGAGAAGTCAATGTCATGTGAGCCCACTGAATTGTAACAGTGATCTGCCACGGCTGAGGTGTTTGTCCTACCGTGTTTCAGGTCTGCCTTATGTTCACGGATGCGGTCCGAGACATGTCGTTTGGTTTCTCCAATGTAACTGCTACCACAGAGGCAACTTAGTTTGTAGACGCCAGGGTACTGTATGTCTGGAACCACATCTTTTACAGACGGGACCAGATCACGGATTTTATGTACTGTGTTGAATCGGACCTGGATCTTGTGTTTAATCAGGATTTTGGAGATCTTTTTTGTGACCCCAGCAATGTAGGGTAAGGTGATGGTCTTGAAAGGCTCCTCAACAGGATCCTTCTTGATGGTTGGAGTGATGGCTTTGCGGATTGTGTAGTCGGAGTAACCATTAGCCTTAAGAGCTTGGCGTACGTGTTTGAGTTCACTGGAAATGTGTTCATGGTCGGAGATGCATTGGGCTCTATGATATAGAGTCTTGATGAGGGAATTCTTCTGGGATGGATGGTGGTGGGAATCCGGTTTTAGATAAGCATCCGTGTGGGTGGCTTTCCTGTAGACAGAGTGGCTCATTCTGTCTACAGGAAAGCCACCCACACGGATGCTTATCTAAAACCGGATTCCCACCACCATCCATCCCAGAAGAATTCCCTCATCAAGACTCTATATCATAGAGCCCAATGCATCTCCGACCATGAACACATTTCCAGTGAACTCAAACACGTACGCCAAGCTCTTAAGGCTAATGGTTACTCCGACTACACAATCCGCAAAGCCATCACTCCAACCATCAAGAAGGATCCTGTTGAGGAGCCTTTCAAGACCATCACCTTACCCTACATTGCTGGGGTCACAAAAAAGATCTCCAAAATCCTGATTAAACACAAGATCCAGGTCCGATTCAACACAGTACATAAAATCCGTGATCTGGTCCCGTCTGTAAAAGATGTGGTTCCAGACATACAGTACCCTGGCGTCTACAAACTAAGTTGCCTCTGTGGTAGCAGTTACATTGGAGAAACCAAACGACATGTCTCGGACCGCATCCGTGAACATAAGGCAGACCTGAAACACGGTAGGACAAACACCTCAGCCGTGGCAGATCACTGTTACAATTCAGTGGGCTCACATGACATTGACTTCTCCAAGACAGAGGTTCTCTGCAAGCCATCTGGCTATCATGAGAGATTCGTTCATGAGGCGATCCACATATACAAACACAGAGACAATTTCAACCGAGAAGATGGATTCTGGCTTAGCAATCATTGGAAGGACGTAATAAACCATTTCGGATCTTAACTGATTGTGTTCACGTTTACGGTGACTTTCAGACCACGTTCCACTCACTGGCATGGTGCAGTGTGCAGAGTAATGTATGGTGTCGTAATTGTACAGTAAACATATAGCAGTATGATACACATTAGGGTGGGTATAATAATACATAGTGTTATATTAAAATGGATAAGGCAGCAACTGCAGCAGCAGCAGCAAGTGCAGCAGCAGCAAGTGCAGCAGCAGCAAGTGCAGCAGCGGCAGCAACTGCAGCAGCAGCAGCAACTGCAGCAGCAGCAGAAACTGCAGCAGCAGCAGCAACTGCTGCAGCAGCAGTAACTGCAGCTCCCTTTGATGCTGTTAATCCTGCATAATGCACATGCATATGCAGTACTAATCACATTCCTGCATTTCCCATAAATATGCTAAATTCCTTTTGATATGCAAATTCCGTTGTCAATGCGCCCAGCTTATATATATGCTCCAAGCTCGTGTGCTGTTTCATTCAGACTCTGTCGCCTCGACGGACCTGGTTTTCACCTGAGGACGGCTGCTTGCGTTGTGGCCGAAACGTCGTGAGAATTGTTTTATTATGTTTTATTTTTATTATTTTATTACTTCCCTTCTACGTGACTTTACCGAAAGAACCAAGAAGATGAATCCCTGCAGTCACGAAAGCTTTAAATCGAAAATTATTATATTTTTGCATCTAAATGCATCCGTAGCATTTTATGTACAAAAAATTGTGGAAAATTGAGCATTGGGGCATTTCTCATCTCTATTGGAAATGACAAATTAACATGCTCTATCCATAGGACAACCACTGTTGACTTCCAATATTACCAATCAAAAAGGCAAAGCAATACACATTATAAGTGGCACCTCCACTTAGCGCAGTTGGCTATGTACGGTGTGAAAGAAGTTTAACATACAATAAGCAAGGGGACACATGTTTAGATTATATTACCCCGTTTTGGTTAAGTGTTTTGATCTGGCGAATGGTGTTTTACAGATTATCATAGACCTCTTCTCATTCCGGAGAAATGTAACCGACAGCGTGCTGCTGGCACGGCTGCATCCAGAGCCCAACTTGTGGCGTGTGCTGGTGGAGGGTGAGTTACACATGCACGTTTTGTTAAAACAGTTAAATCAAGCAGAAACAAATCATTATGCATGGTTTCTGTAAGGCTTTCCAACATGTATTTGCCCTCAGTAGTATTTAATCAGTGATATCGAACAACATCGCGCATGACATCATGGAGAGGTGAGGTGCTCACATGACGTGCGATGTCATCGGATTGGCTGACGAAGCCGATACATTAGCGCTGGTTTTAATCGCATATTTTTGGGCAACGATTTGGTGATTTGGTTCTTTTTCTGTAGGATAAATTCCTAAAAGCAAGCACAACTTTAATGCAGTTTTAGTTTTTACATTGGATAATTTTTACATGCGTTATTGTGAAAATCATGTTACCATTATGCAAACTTAAAGAAAAAAGACAAACCAACAAAAACAGCATTTCATATTGTAGACACATTTCAGCTAATCGGTGAACTGAGTAAATATTTTCTTGTAAACGTATAAGCCAATTATAATTGTTGGTCATTCTCAGTGCACTGCAGACTAAAACGTTGATTTATACTTTAGTCCGAGCTTTCACTCATTAATTTTTCCTCTTCATCATCTTGCTTTGATGGGTCGTCCGAGACATCACACTTAATAATTTTCTTCAACTTAGTCTTCACTGACAAAAAAAAATACTTTTGTTTTCACTACCAATTTCGTGAACAAAATTAACACATCAGGGTAGCAGCAGCAACCGCAGCAGCAATAGCAGCTTCTTCTTCTCCTGCTTCCTGCAGATGGCTTCCCAGAGGCGGAGGCGAGCTTCCTGCGAAGTCACGGCCACAATGTGGTGAGGAGCAGGGGATCCCTGGGCGTCACGCACGTCGTCCGTCGCCTCAACGATAACATCCGGGGCGTGGAGGACCCCCGCGCGGGACGAGCGCTGCCTTGAGCCCGGCATGGCACGGGTCCCCCCCCCGCTCCTTCCTCCTCTCGCCACCAACCTTCCCTCCACCTCTTATGCCCAAAATCCTTGTAAACATAGCTTCAGTTTTACGATAATTGTTTTAAAATATATATATTTGTGGGTATAACGAGCTGCTTTCTTACATGAGAAATGAACTCAGTTTTTGATCCTTTTAAACAATTTCATATTTCACCCCTATTTTTATTGCATTAGCAATTACGCCATTCCCCAGGGACTAGTACACGTAGGAATCCTTCATCTGGGAATGTTTTCATTTATCCTTGATTTTTAAGCACGGTGTTTAGTTATAGTTGATAAGATTTTTTTGGTGGGTTCTTATAAAGTCAATATGTAATTTGCGCCCTGTCAACCCGTTTTAGTATTCATGCCTGCTTTTAAAGATCGAGGCATTTAAAATTCATTTAGCCCTGCTCCACACAGCCTTTCCTAGAAGCCGGTCAGACCCAGTACAAGTGTATTAGCTAATTATTAAAACTATGCTGGTTAAGGATGGTATGAACGTGATAATATTGTCCAGTGTGTTCTCTGCTTAAAACAGGTGATGTGACAGACAATACGGAACCCTGTGGAGCAGTCTCGTACGCAATCGATGAATCGGACCAACTCAGCCAATGTATTAAATAGCATATGACTTGCTTAATTAGCTCAAGTGAGGTGAGCCAATGAAGGTTCATGCAAGGTTATATTAGTCTATATCCGAGCTGATACTGGCCACAGGTGCAAGGTGGAATTTAAAGCCCTGTAAGAGGTCCCTTGACTGGACCATATAATTATAAGAACAGTTTGGCCTGCTCAGGGAGGAGAAAGGAACTGCAAATTTAGCGGTGCCTTTCAAAAACGTCAGATTAGCATGACCATATTTGCTTTCTGGAGATCATCATTCACCCAGATTGTTTAAAAATAGTTTACTGTGAATGTTTGTCAAAAAAACCCTATATTTAGCACTTCAGACTTTGGTAGTTATTTTAAGATATAATTTAGCCATTTCTATAACCTGATGGGATAACCCAACAGGCTTCATGTATTTGTGGTTGTAGTAACTCGTTTATGGGAAGTCGCAGGCTCGGCTCCCTGTACAGTCATCACAGTTATTCGGGCTGCCTGCTGCTGCTGTCCACAATCGAAGTGTTGGGCTTACACGGTGGCTCGCCACACACTGGTGGGGAGAAGCTGCATGCTTAAATGTTTAGGGCTGCAAATTGACACTGCTTTAGAGTCGCCAAATGAACCTGTGGATTTCACAACTTTCCAACTTTATCTGTTGCCAATTCAAAGTGTGTTTAATAGTTGACAGAATTGACAGTGGTTGGCCTGCGATAATCATTGGCTATTGGGACAACTTTCTGTAAAATTCTGGTTTTGTTAGATATTTAAATAATCATCAGCTCTTAACATTTATCAACGACGTTGACATTTTTCACATCCTAATTGCAATCCAAATTATTTATTAACTGCTTGCAAATATTTTTTTTTTATGAATCAGTCATGTCTTAATGCATTAGATGTACCATACAGGTGATTGGCTATAAGAGTGTTGTGTTCCTTATGGCAGTTGTAGCAATCGAAATGCAGTGTATGAATAGAAACCACCCAGTGCTTGATGCTTTTGGGTATTTATAGCTGAAATGTTTTGCACGTTGTGCCCACTGCTGCTAAAGTGGCTTGAGTATGTTGCTTTTCACACTGACGAGAAATGCACCTGTACCGTTGCTATTTGTGATTTGCATTTACAGGTGGCATTACGTGTGATGCGTTAAATCTTGGGCACTACAACTAAAGTGTGGTACTTTGAGTTGCAGAAATATTTATTTTATTATGGCCATTCCATTGCATATGTTAATTTTGAAATAGTTTAAAACGTGCAGAGTACTGGGATACAGTTTAGACTATTGCGTGCAATTGGCTTTCAAAAAAAATTAATCCAGCATTAATGTCTTAGTCGTGTTGTAATGTGTTCTTTACAATGCACAGTTGCATCCATGAACAGAGGGAAAGGTCTAGCACACTCCGTTGTGCTATACAGCAGGTGTGCAAAGGTTGCAAAGTGCCGGAGTGTAAATGGGGAAATTGGACGGAATGGTGCATCCACTTGTCCTTTTTCTGCTGGCACATCTGAGCCGAGCTGGGCCGAGCCGGGCATCGCGGGTCATTGTTCCCACTGCAGAAGCAGAGCTGTGCCACTCGCATCACCATGTGTGACGCAATGACTCTATACCGGAGCAACGTACTTGTCGTGGGTTCGATTGGGGTGCACACAACTTGGAGGCGACACTATTAACGCATAACCAACGGGAACGTTGTAGACAGGATGCTGACCACTGTTCCTAATCTCACTAACACTCGCGGAGGGAATACTACATAACATGACCAGGGCAGGTTAACGGGCTTGCCTGGTCACGAAGGTCGGAGCCTGGAGCATTGATGGCGTCTTCATCCCGGGGTCGAACAGCCCCTCTTCTCTGTTCACACCCTGCTTATAACTCCCGTGGCGTGGCCAGCTCTGCCCCAGGCCATGCCCCCCTTCTCGATCCTTTTGGAAGGTCTGGGCCTCCAACCACGTGACCCCCCCAAGCTCCCCTCTGGGGCCCTCGCCCCCCTTTATCCAGTCGCGTGTCCTGTTGTGATCACGCAGTGTCACGGCCTGGCACGATCCCCGTGACACCCGCCTACAGTACCCATATCGAGCTAACACAGTAGTGACGTCGTATGTCACTAAATACATACCGACTGATGCCATATGCATTGAATGCGCCATTAAACCTGGCCCGGCTTGGCAATCGGGAAGATCTGATGTTTTGTGAGGCTAGCATTATTATGGTTTGGTTCCGGCAAATTGCCAGCAGGAAACCACGTGACAGCCCTGTGCTGGCTCAAGATGTGCCGGTGGGTAATGGAGTATTGGGGAACAGACGGGGGAGTTTACCGGCGCCACTGACCTGGGCCTCCCTGGAGCCCGGCATGACGTGGCTGGAGCACGGCCTCCCAACAAAGCACGAAGCAGCGCAGAGCCATTGGACTGCCACACCCTCCCGTGGTGGCTTGCCGGGAAAATGCGCAGTCCACCTCTTCAGCTCTGTATGCTTAATTGCCGTTAGTGAATGAGCATGGTACATTTTTTTTTTGCTGTGTTTTAAACAGCATGGCATCTGACCCTGTATCTCACTTGGCAATGTGTTGTTTCACTGATGTGTGTGCTATTGCTATGCCAGGTAAAAAAAAAAACTGAAGTAAAAAAAATAAAGTATTAAAAACACTCGCTGTGGCTGGTTGATTTATCATTACTTTATTGTCAATGGTTTCTCAAAATAAAACTTTCACATCATGCTTTGAGAGACGAGATGGGTTAAGTAATTCAAAGATGAAATTACAGTATGTTTAATAAGTGGCTGTAGATGTGCAATCCATCACTGCTCAAAATGTAGAGACAAGCACCAAATGTTAAATTATATAAAGCTGGGGAATTTATTTTTCTAACTTCATAATCGGCAAGCTGTCGCTTTGAGGCAACAACTGGCAAGCTTGCTGTTTGGCAGAAAACCCCATTGTAACTTTATGTACATGTTTACATCACCAATGTCTGAAAAAATATATATCTACATAAGTACAAAAATTCTGTTGTCCAAATTTAATTATCTCTTTACATAACCGTTTTTGTAGGGACACTATATTTAATACTCTTTGGTTCTTTCGGTAAAGACACGTTGGTAGAGAAAAAAAAAAATCACGTTTCGATCGCAACACAAGCGGTCGTCCTCAGGCGTAAAAAATAATCCAGCAGTGGAGGACGACCACTTGTGTTGCGACCGAAACGTCGTGATATTTTTTTACCTACGTGACGACCAAAAGAACCAAAGTATGGATTCCTGCAGTTACGAAAGCTTCAAATCAAGACTATATTTAAGTAACAATACAATGGGTGAGAGCAGATGGTGACTGCGCCTATTCTGAAAGTCACTGAACCAATAGTTCTAGTTCAGCTTAGCTAAGCTCCAGTGTCACAGCTAACAAAACTCACATCAGACAAACACATTGAAGACATACACCATCACACCTTGCTCCACCATCCGGCTAAGGTGCCTCACGTTTGGAGCGAGAGTAACACGACACCAGTAATTACACTGAATTTTTCACGTGAAAATAGACTGCTATGGTTTTCAAAATGTACAGTTATATTTTATTTACATCGTTGTGTAGTTTCTGCATGTGTTGTTCTGGTCTCTGCTACTGCATTGCACCTTGGAAAAAAGTAAAATTTTGGTTTCTGCTCCAAACACCATAACAGCACAAGCTCCACAACCGTCTAGCATGTTGGACTTCCTGCTTCTGTACAAGGGCAGAATGTGACGTCTGGGGTATGTAGTTGCTGTTGTCTTTTATACAGAAATATTTAGACAAAAAATACAGGAGCAAAAATGTGTTTTAAGATTAAATAATCCTATGTAGCACGATAATTCAAGTATATATTGGCTGTCAGTACATTTGTTTTATGCAAACTGCCTTCGTGGGTAACTTCATATTTAAGCCACTGCAAAGGCGGGTAAGAATGCTGAAGTTGATCAATTTAGCACAAATGCGAAGTTTGATTTTCTTCATTGTAAATGAGGCAAATTTAAAAGTCCTTCGAAGATAAATGTTCATATGCATATGAAAAAATACTACGGATTTTTTTTTCTGTGAAGCCTTGATATAACAATGCCCATTCACATCCATGAGTATGAATATCTAACAGTTTACCTGGACAAGAAGCATCTAAGGAATGGCAGTACTTCTGAAAATCAGCAAATCCCAAAAAACATTACAGCATACTCTTAATTTTTATTTTACATCTCTCTCTTGCAAGATGGTGCAAATGAGGATATTAAATGCACTAATTGCAAAAAACCCGACGTATATCTGTGCATAATTTTCCAGTTAATGACGAAAAAGCTCGAGTGCAAACAAAATTTCCAGCTCCCTACTTAACTTCCTACGAGGAACGGATTCAAAACAATCCACATGTAACCTATATCCCAGTTATCGTGGCATGATCCTCACACATTTCATGAACAATGCTAAAGGTCATTCCTGACCAGGCGGGGGTTCTCGCAGGTCACATTCCCCACCAGTGTGACCAATTCAACGAAGGGCAATGACTGACAGCACCACGGTTGGAGAAGGGGGCAACGACGGGGTCACGTGTATTCCATCTTGGCGATGTAGGTGGCCGGTACGTAACCCTGCCGGCCCTCGCTCTCCACCAGCCACCAGTCCTGGTTCCCAGAGGCGTCACGGAACTGCACGATGCGCACTCGCTGCCTGGTTCGCAGAGACATCTCTTCCGCTCCGCGCGCTTCGAACGCGTACACGGCGTAATAGACCTGCGGGAGAGCGCGGTCAGTCAGATACGCCGCAGTCAGTCACGTGTGCCACAAAACAACCCCCCCCCCCTGTAGCTTCAGGTTGGCTGGAGGGGGCTGAAGCTCCTGCTGCTAAAGGCTCAGCCCCACTTCTAAATTATTAGTGATTTCAGCTTTTCACAACCATGTGTTTTTCAACTGTATGGCATCTTGCAGTCAAACGCTTAAAATGTATTCTGTAAACTTGGGTCGGTTTGACCCGGATCCTCGTGCAATATTTATTTTCCAGATATTGCCACTAGATGGCAGCCTATATATCGCGTGTGTTTGTGTGGCCCACAAAAGCAACAGTCGCGTGAAATATCGGGACCGACTACGAGAGGGCATCGCGGCAACGGCTGTGAAATTATATGAAAAAATAAGAATGGGTTTTACCCTTTCTGCCAATAAAACAGGTGTTAAGATGTTCAAACCGAATCTTATTTTTTCATACTTTTATACTGCAAAAAAAGAGTCCCATTTTGTGGTTGTGAAAGCGTTAATCGATGGGAGTCGCAGCTTTTCCTCGCATACACGGAGAGTGCGAGCAGAATTGCATGACAGATAAAAGCAGTGGCCGAACATTTGTTTAAAACATTGACTGTGGCGTGCAACCCCCCCCCCCCCCAAGTTTTGTATGTCCCCCCCCTCCCATTTAAATAAGGTGATGCTGCCAGAGGGGTGACGTGCAGCCTCTCGCCCATGCATGCACATGTTGCGCAAACACAAGCATGCAGCAATGCAAAGACGTTCTCGGAAAGAGTGAAAAAAATTCACCAGGGGATGCATCAAATAGAATACATATGAAAAGCACTTAACATGATGTCAGATTCATCTTCTTGGTTCTTTCGGTAAAGTCACGTAGAAGGGAAGTAATAAAATAATAAAAATAAAACATAATAAAATATTATTTTATTACTTCCCTTCTACGTGACTTTACCGAAAGAACCAAGAAGATGAATCCCTGCAGTCACGAAAGCTTTAAATCGAAATGATGTCAGATTGTCAACGAAATGACAGGCAACCAATTTTCACGGATTCAGTGTCGCAGGCAGCTAAATAGTCTGCCCAGATGGGTTTAACTCCATTCAATATGTGTGCCAGGTTTTAATTTTATATTTCCATGGCGCTTTCCATACATTGGATTTCTCTGCCATCATGCAGACTGCCTGTGTAGCGTTACATGTATTGGTGGCGTCTTGGTGGGAAAAAGCACATCGCACCCAGCCTTCAAGCCCATAGCAGTTAAACACCTTTGCATTAATACAAAATACAATGTTAGGGTCACAGCACAGTGTCTTACTATCACCTTAATATGGTGAGAGTAAGGAAATAATTTTCTGTTAGGAGAATGAAGCCACAGCAACGTATGTTCCTCACATATTAAATATTCATTAATAAAGGATGTCCTGTTAGTACAACCAAGGCACGTCAATGTACACGTCTCTCAGTGTGCCATGTAGCAACAGAGCCCTTACTACACACTTGTCCCAAGCACCTCGGAAGGTGACAGTTCCTCAGGCCAGATAGCAAAACGTTGGTGGAAGTTTTAATTTTTTTATACATTTATATAGGTACACAAGTCTCAGTCACTTTATTCACCTTGTGCTCCACCAATAAGGACAAGAGGGCATAAAGGTCGGTGCTAAGGCAACTGGAGACACAAACTCACATCTTTTCCTTTCCTCCTCACACCAGGTTTAGTCCTGGGTGCGTGGCGAGCAGCCTGGACCGGGATAATGCGACACGAACATTAACACCGATGTGCATGAGCCACTCCACATTCACACGCGGCGGGCATCCGAGCGTTCGACCACACCCACCGCTCCGCGGATCACACGTGCTAATTGTCGCAGCACTTTCCGCATAAAAACAAACAAAACTACAATTAGTCAATACACTTAGCGCGCCATTGTGGAACGTTTCACGCGTGCCAAATTGGCAACAGAGCCATCCCTGCTGGGATCTTTACCTGTTGGCCTTCCTTGTGGGTGGAGCAGTCCCACTGTTCGTCCTGCAGACTCTGGGAACGGATGGGAATTCTCGCCTCCTCCGCACCGGTGCCGTGCGCCATCCTCGTCACGTCCAGCGACGTCTGCCGCTCACACCAGCCGGACTCGGACCTCCTCCCGGCTTGCAGCGTAGCGTCCTGGTCGACGGTCGCCCAGCTGCTCTCCCCACTTGGCCTGGGCCCCCCGTGCGAGCTGCCGCTCTGGCCGCCTCCATGTCTGCACGGGCCCTGGCGAGGGGGTGTGCCCTCACATTGGCTGTCCAGTGTGACCATGGTGTCGGCAAAATGGGGCGTCTGGGACATCGTGCGATCTTCTTCCAGGGAGACCAGTCGCTCCACCGTGCGACTGGTAGTGCAGTCCGTCCTTGCAGTTTGATGGCTCGTGCCGCCTTGGTTTCTAATGCTGCCTCGGCCGCTGCCATTCCTCTGCAGCGACGTGCTGTCTTCAGTCTGATCGCCACTCGCTACGTGGCTCTGCAGTGGATAAACACAGCACAATCAACATTAACACTGCCTTATCATTAGACATCACATTACGCTTGCCAACACAGTGATCTAACGACCTTGTCATTAGACCGATCATGGGAGATGGATAACAGAACGTGAAAAAGGCTGAAGTGCAGCCTTGCAATTACTTGCTCATGCCATTGGTAATGGGAGGACCACCACCCAAGGGAGCTCTAGAGAGGCTGTTTAGAGGACATTTGGCCTACTCTTCCATCCTGACCAACGAGCACCCACACTTCACCCCATCACACGCAACACTCCAAAAGACTAACTGTGGTGTACACATTTATACTGCTGGGTGAACAATATACAGGGTGGCCCAAAAGTTATGACAAATAGGGTTATTTCATTTATTTTAACACCGACATTAAAACATTTTAATTGTTTATTCTTTAAGTCAATATTTTATCGATTACCATTATTACTATCTATTTTTATTCTTCCTGTGGGGTCACCTCAAATCCGTCATTTACAAAACTCGATCAAGAACCACGAATGAATTGAGACAAAACATAATTGACGAATCTTCAACCTGTAATCTTTAAAGTCCTAAATTAATTTCAAACGAGAATTCATGTTTTCATGAATGTTAATGGGATTAATGTGGAATATTTGTGAAAATAAATTAAATAACCCAGTGTGATTTGTTAAAATAAATATAACTCTGTGTGTCCTGACTTTGGGGCCAACCTGTATAACGATAACATTTTGGTAATAATGCTTCTTCAGAGCCATATATTGTAGGCCGAGGAAGATCACGAGACAAAATCACTTCTGGGGTCACTTCAACAGGGTCACCGCCTCTCGCCCAGCACCACCAAAGAACCCCTTCGCATTTTCAAACGGGTCAGAGTCTCCTTTGCACGTCTATCGCCCACGCACACCTGAGGTTTTTTGAGGAAGGTTGCGCTCGTGCGAGCTGTGCCGACGCTCAGCTGGCAGGAGGTGTCGCTGTTCTGTCGGCTTAGGAGCGGCGAGGGGTGCTCTGGGGGCTGGCCACTCCACGCCGAGGAGCCGCTGCTCTGGGTGGAAGAGCTGCTGTTCTGCCTGCAACCAACGGCGGCACCGGTTTGGAGAATTACATTCGGAATCAGAATCGTTATTTATACTGAAAGGAATCCTTTGTGTTGTCGAGCTCTTTTTCACAGACGTCCAGTAGGGGCACGGGTAAGAACATTACAACAACAAACACGACAAAGACACGATAGTAGTGCAAGTACAGGGAAAGTAAACAAATCACCCAAAATATACAAATTAAACTAAACCATCCCCATACTACCAGGCAAAGCCCAGTGAGGTGTTAACTTACTTTTTCAGAAGCGACCTGGCCACAAATGATAGCGAAACAAAGTGGCTTAGCAAGTGGAAATTTATAGAAGCTAAATAATCAAAATAATCTCAATGCATGTGTTAAGTATTATAAAGAAAAATTAAATGCATTTTGGCCATTCTCAATCCATCAATGGATGAATGCTTTCTCATGCCGTGGTCAGAGGTGTTTTTTTTTACAACACTTAAATACGTTGGTCATTGCGGGTTGTTGAAGTGGAGGGATGGCAGACTGTTCTCATAACTTCACCACTGATATTAGCCGTGGCTGCCAATCGAACTCGCTAACCACTGTACCACCACTCCAACCCCAAGTTTCATACACGGCACGGTAAACGCCAATCGAGATATTGTAAATTGTATTGTTTGTTCTTGTAACTTGCCGACCCACCCCTCCTGGACATGTGAAAAAGAGCTTCATATCTCATCGGATTCCTCAAGATCAAATAAAGATTCTAATTATGAAAAAAAGTGATAAAATAAAATTGAATGTCAAAAACTCTACAGGGATAGTTAAGTGGTGTGATGCTACAGTACAGATACCCCACCAGATAAAAACGACACCTTATTCTCATCTGAACAACTGATTGGATATTATAAAAAAAGATGGCTCTGCATTTTACACAGGACAAAGTTAAAAGATGTAATACATGTATTGAAAATTGGTGGGAGTTATGAAGTCTCTTTGAAATTAAATTCTGTTTTGTCCAATTTCTTCCGATTTATTTCTGGAGGGATATCTACAAATGGATCACCGTGAACGTCCTGGTCTAATAACAGTCGTGTATGTGCATAGATGTATAATGCCAAGTGCATATAGTACAAGGTTTAACATAATTACCAGTGTGCAGAGCAAGTTAGGAGCACGTTAAGAAGATAGGTCAATTTATCATAGGTAAAATTTACTACAAGTAAAATAAATCGAGTGGACATGGGCAGGAAGCGTCATGAGAACAACGGATGAGACGAGAGACAAAAACCAACGATGGAGTGGAGACTGAGAGACGGGAAGAGAAGCAAGGGGAGATGGCAGCAGCTAAATGACACCGCAGGGTTCCGAAGGCGTGACTGGACAGGAGCAGCTGGCAAAAGGAAGGGATGGAGGAACATGTAGGCCAATGCCATGCAGCGGGAAGTCACAGGATGACAACAACAACAACTCGAGTGTTGAACTTACCTGGTAAGGATGGGCGAGGAGTGTGGGGATCGCGTTGGCACAGACTCGGCCGAAGATTGGCTGCTCACAGAGGTAGCCGATTGGCTGGTGCGTGGGCTGTAGGGCCGCAGGAAGGAGCTGTACACAAACCCTTGTGCCACTTTGTATTGCCAATGAGTGGAAGGAAAAGAAGAGGGAACAAACCATTAATTTGTCTACAATAAACATCTCATACAGACTGATTCACAGATATATTTTGTTGTACATCTTGACCGTATGCTTTCCCACCAGCCACATGGTACAGGTATAATTGTGAATTCATCTGTGGATAAATGCTAGGCATATTACTATGCATAATTTCTTGCATTAAAATTAAGTTTTTCACTGAGAATCCACGTATTGCTCACGCTAATGTGTATGATAATGGTGTTAACAAAACTGCACAAAAGGAGACAAAAAACACAGAATCGATACAAATGCAATGGTGAAAAAACAAATATATAAAATATTTTTTTGAATCAAACCATGACCCCAAATCGCAACAATTCATTAAAGAGCTGTTGGGAGTAACGGATCATCTTCATGTGATAAATAAGAATACTGAAAAGGAATAACAGTACAATACAAAACAGACAGGTCAAATGCACGCCCTCAAGTGTACTGATACAGGTGCTGGCGCCTTGGGTGCATCTTCATAGGTGTAGGTGAATTGGCCGGGTGTTGTTTGGGAGTCCGGCCACATTCTCCCATCGCTGATGATGTCGTATGAAGGAACAGGAACATTTTAAAGTATTGCAAAATTGTGAGAATTGTGTTTAAACTTAAAGGTAAGGCGAATAATTAATAATAGGCTAGGCACGTCGTTAAATGCTTACACAAGTGTCGATTTAATGTATTTGCTTATGTCGGGTGGTGGAGGGTTTCAAGACACATTTGGCAAGATCATGAGGTGGCCTAACCAAACAAAAACTATGATTAATTTCACAGTTTAACGTTAAATTTGTATATATCTTGTTAAGTTTCAGAGATGCTGTTACTGGGCAATGAGTACAGTGGACACAAAATGTTCCTTCTCATGAACAACTGTTAACCAATCAGCTTTGCAATGGCTGGCAGCTAAATCTGCATGTGTGCTGGTGAAAATGTCAGGGGGTGTTGTACAGTTGGCTGGTGGATGACGGTGAACGTGGATCCCGACCCACACAAGAATTGCGACATCCCCGCGGTTGCCCCTGCAATGCACGGATCGGACAAATTACCCAGGACACCTGAACGGCAACAGCCTTTGCCCAATGGCGGAGCCAGGATTTTCAGGTAGAGGGGGCAACCCCTCCAGCAGTAAAAAATGATAGGAGTTGTTAGTAAGTAAGGACTTGTCCCTTGCTTTTTATACGATGCGTTTGCGGAGATGGCGCGGCCATCAATTGAGGGTCGAATTAGAACCGTGTGTGATTGTCATCGTGCTCGCTGAAGGCAAATGCCTTCAGGGAAGTTGTGTACTGTATACGCAACTGCGCACAATTCTGTGAGTCACTTATAACTGCTTTGCCGTTACTTATTGCCAATTATGGACTCAGACTATTATCCTATCATTTCATAGAGACGCTGGCACGTAATAATATGCTACACAGTGGCAGTGGGGGTCGCAAAATGCCGATTTATTACAAAAAAACCCCAATGATCCGATCGAAATTCGGGATTTCGATCGGATCATTGGGGGGGCACGTGCCACCCCACCCCGCACTGGCTCCGCCAGTGCCTTTGCCCACCCGGTCATAAGAGGTCACCCACGGCTGGCGCAATGGTCCTTTGCTGACTATACGTGCCGATTGAATTGCGCGATTGGTCCGAGCAATATGGGTACCCCCGAGGCCGACAAACCAGTACGGCTGGCTGCGGCACCCACATGTGTGCTGGTGAAATGTCCGGGTGTGCGGGCGTGCACGTACCCCCGTTGCTGACGAACCAGCGGCGATGGCTGCCCATGGGATCCTGCTGCTTGATGACGGCGACGAGCTCGCCTTCGCTCAGCGCCAGGTCCAGATCCTGCGCCACGTTCACTTTGCGATCGAGAACGAAGAGGCGATCGGGCGGGAAAGCGCGCCAGCAGCTGCGAGCGGCCCGAGTCCGTCTGTGTACTGCCGGTCGTCGCCTGAACAGCGCACCCCGGTGTAGATTTTGTTCACACATTTAGTCACGGAAATGCCAGTCAATTCAGTAGTATTATTTTGCAGCCAATAATGATTATGAGTGAATGGAAATAAAAAAAACGTGGCGATGACAAGGATGACCTCCCACCAAAGCAGGAGTATGCTGAGACAAAGTGAAGAATCAGTCTAAGATAATATAGTAAAGACATTAGAGACTGCAGTGTGCAAGGAAGACCACAAATGATAATTGGCTGTACTGTATAGAAAAATATTTACCAAGATAAATAATTGGCTGATGTTAATAATGGGGGGACAACCCTTTCACGCCCCTCTCTATCAAGATGAATAACTAAGAGACTTTGACGACATGTTTGACTGCTTTAGAAGTTTAAATAAGAGAATGGCAATGCTGATTAGATTGCTTTTAACAGAGTTGCTGAGCACAGGACGAAAGGCCCAAAACATAAAATGGCCAGCAACAAACATCACGATCACAGTTGAAATAGATAAGAGTTGTTTACACGTTTCTTGAATTAAGCAAGGTTATCGTAAGAGTTTGGGAACAGAGATCGTAGTAGGGAGTGAAGCAGAAAGAGTAGTGTTTTGACCTGCAGTGTGGTGGTTGAGTGTGCGAGTGTGTTGTTGTGGCCTGCAGTGTGGTGCCGGTTGGCCACAGTATCGATGAGATGAAACAGTCAGTCTGGTAGACACGGGTGGAGGAATCGACGAGTCAAGTTAACGGTGTTCACGGCAGTAGCGACAGAAGAGCGATAAGGATAATTGAACACCGGCCACATTAAACCGAGCGCCGTCGGGTGACATGGCGAGTGGGTTCCGGGGACCGGGTCCTACCAGGATGCCGGACAGCCTGGAGGCAGTGCGGCGGTCCATGCTGTGCCGTCCGTCAAGCCCACGGCGCAAACTGTCCGGCGGGTCGCACATGAAGCTGAAGCGCTGCAGCTCAGCGAGTGCGTGCATGTGCCGCGCACCAAACGCACCCTGCTGCTCCGCCTGCAACAGACGCAGAGACACCCCCCCGGTGTAGCCTTTAACGTTGCTGTTCGCGAGCGGCTATGAAGGCCGGCACCGTGCACAATGAGCTGCGGTGTGTCTAGCACCACGCTCGGCTGCCTTTATCTCCCCTGTGCTGATGTTAACATAGTAATATGTATAATATTCATGTTTCTTTTTTTTACATAGTGTAGTCATTCATGCATATTGAGTCTTAAAAATCGCTGAAGAACCACAGACAAGCTGGAAGGCAGCAGCCAGGCAGTGAGCTGATCCTAACAATTGCAGAAGTGCTGCAGTGCTCTATATATTAATAATGTTTTTAATCACCATTTATTAAGGCTGAGTAAACCTAGGGGAGGCCCAGCACCAGTTTCAGATATCACTCACGACTGATGTTGGCGGTGGCTGGCAATCGAACCCGTTATCGATGCGTTCACAGCAATTGTAATGCTTAACGCAAGATGACAGTGCCGCCGTGTCCGTTTGCCCGTTTGTCATTGTCCATTTGCTTTTTAATACAACAATGCTTCCTGTGCAGCCAGCCTCGGAAACAAAACCCGATGTACTGTACGAGTTATTAATTCTTCCAAGAGCTGTTTGCAAAATGGGACTTCAATAGAAACTATTTTTATAATACAATGCACTGCTGTTTACATAATAACTCCTACCCTCAGTGTAGATTAAGTTTCACCACCGTTATGCGCAGTTGCACGTGCGATCAGCTCATCCGGAATGCGCCCCCTTCACCGTCAGACTGAGCCTGGACAGCGCTTGGAGGGGTTACCGCCATGCACAAACGCGCTGTCATGGGGCTTGCAGGGCTTGGCAGCAGAGAGCAGCGCTGGATAAATCCTTTGTTACGTTCGACTCCTATGCTCCCCGCCTTCACTAAAACGCACTGACCAGGGTAGAGTAACGGCCTTGACCCGAACGCTGTGGGCAGGTCCTCATCCAGCAGTGGATTGACTATCGGTCTGTACATCTACATAAGGGCCCAGCGAGACAAATGTGTCATGTGCGGGGAGCACTGGGATGCATAAAAATCAAATACGGTATAAAAACAATAATTCGGGAAAAAAATGGTGTGTAGAACTCTATTCTTTTCCTGTGCATAATGCTTTTACTCATCACAGTCCAAGGAAACGCACGATGAGATTGTGTACGAAAGGACAAGATGACGACACGGTCCTGGTACGCACCTTTCTGGGTAAGGCACGGGGGGGGGGGGGGGGGCACGAGGTATGGGGCAGGGAGACACGAGGCACCGAGACACGAGGCACGGAGACACGGGGCACGGCACCAAGTGGCACACCTGTACGTCGAGGGGCTGCAGCTGCTGGAGGATGGCGAGGACGAGGTCGCGGTGCACCGCCACGAGGTTGCGCGCTGCAGCTCCCAGCAAAGCCTGCCCTCCTGCTCTCAGCAAGGGCAGCTCCTCCAACAGCTGGGCATTGAGGGCAACGTAGTCCTTCTGGGTGGCCTGCAAGGGGGGGGGAGGGAGTTGGCGATCCAATAATTTATTAGTTCAATTTGATTTATTTTAGTTTCATAGTTGTACTCCACAATTTTATTTCTCACGCTTATCTGCCTCAGCAATGTAGGTCAGTTACATTTATTTTATTGAAATATTAAATGGGCCCAGGAATGCACTACCAGGGGGATTGAACCTTGTCCTAAAAAAAAACCTTCCCACGATGCATTGTGCCAGCAATACTTTCAAAAATTAACTTTTAATATAAGTTCGTGTATTTTGTAATACTTTTGATGTAAATTGTTTATCTGCTACTTAATCATTACTTTCAGCGAGCTATTCATATGACCGTTTCAAAATTGGTCATCAAAAACTGTTTATAAAATGTCAATTCATCAGGTCCATGAGTCAAGTCTCCAACTCGTATTCACTCTTACTGGCCTCTTTATATATTGCCCAAATGTCACCTGCATATTCTTTACTTTTAAGGACACAATGTTACTGATAAATGTGTTCAGTTTATTTGTCAATATTATTAACACAATAGCAGAAGGAAATGCATCCTCCATCTTGAGTGCCAGAGGTACAATTATATTATCTTAATTACATAACTATGGCATTTTACAAAAATAACAGTAAATCAACACTGGCCAAAAAAGTCAACCCTTACAATCATTATATTTGTTTCTGCACTTAATTTTGATAAATTGCAGCTGTGTTTACCTAACAGCAAACAAACAATGTTCATTAATCACAAACTTAAAAGCAAATACTCTCCAGAAAAGTTCAGTATAATTACACATATTCATCTATTATGCAATGCTTTTCAACATATTTACTCTTGGGAGTAAGTAATTATTAGTAGGGAAGCCGATGTTGGCTGTCAGGGCAAAAAATAATTCATATTTGCAAATAATGTGTTGTTCTGCAACATGTCTCCCAAGATTTGGGCAACCCTTTAATATGGCTGGTGTTCGAGGGGGAAGTCCCAAATAGTTTTGTTTATAATCTATCGTGTTTATGCTAGTTATATCGTCCCCCCCCCCGCCATTACAGATGGATGAAGCTAATGCATAAATGCTTTCAACCAGAGTTGGAAAGCGTTGCACGAGATGATGAAGCATAGCGCGGAAGCACTCTGGCTGGATTAATACCTGCAGCTCCTCCGACTCGGGCCGGTCCCGGTTGCGCTCGCTCGCCTCGCGGCGTGCGCTGTAGTCCAGCAGCTTGTCGTAACGCTTCTGCACGAGCTTGTGCGGCCCCGCAAAGGAGGCCAGCAGGGCGGACAGAGGAGAGATCACCAGCCGGTCCACGCGATCCTTCTGGAAGCGTCGCGAAGCGAGCAAGCACGACGGGTCACGTCGTTAGCGTTCCAGTGGCAACTACAGATGAAAGCAGAAGTTCACATTGATGATGACTGTCCGAGTGCTTCACTCTGGTTAAGTTTTATTTTGTTTTCTATATTTGTATTTTACCATAATTTTTTTCGCGATTGTGCTGTTGGTGTCAGGTCACGAGACGAAGGATCCATCTCTCGCAGCAATGTGCGACTCTCCATTTTAGGGAATGGCCCAAAGAAGCAGATATCTCTGATATCTCATCCAGTAACACTGTGTGGTCCACACAGTGGGGGGCAGCACTTCTCCACCCACCCTGCTGCAGAGTAATTGTCTGTCACATGACAGCGAAAACGATATTTGTAATACTCACAGCTGGAATTTAGTAAACAAAAATTAGTGCACAACCAAATTTAATTATCGTTTTATGCATAGTCATTGAGGGGTGGGGGTTGAGACCATCACTCCACTTAAGAGCCCAGTTTGAACACAGGTGGCTAGCCGGATTTGAACACATTAACTCACCAGTGCCAGCTCGGCTCAGTACTTTGACATCTGAGCTACCCAGGCACTTCTAGTTCAGTCACCTTTATTTAGAATATGCCATTGCCAGTTTGATTCGGTACAGTGATTGTCAATCCGTCCTACATGCACTACGTACAAACTGAGGGAAGGACTCGGTGGCGATGTGCCGGCACGTTTGCTGGTAGCGATCGGCGTCGGGTTTGGCGTGAAGCGCCGAGAAGCTGGAGGAGCACTGAAGCTCGGCAGCCAGAGCTTCCTGAGCGGGGAACGGCACACGGCAGAGCAGGACACCGTGCGATTCACGCGACAGAGCAACAGTGGTGACACAGAGCCACAACAAAGATCGCCCCCGCCCCTCGACGTACAGCCGACCGTCACTACTAATCCCACCGCATAATTCGCTGAAACACCATTGAAATGTAACTTTAAATCACTTGACAACAATGAAGCAGAGACGTACTCTTAGTTCTTTCAGTAAAGTCACGTAGGTAAAAAATTTAATTTAAATAAAAAAAAAATCACGACGTTTCGGAGGCAATGTCGTGATTTTTATTTTATTTTTATTAATTTTAATTTAATTTTTTACCTACGTGACTTTACCGAAAGAACTAAGAGTATGAATCCTTGCAGTCACGAAAGCTTCAAATCTAGAAGCAGAGACGTGACATCATATAACTATGATGAACCAAGTACGTACATATTGTAGACTTAAAGCTCTTTTGTCAATTCAGTGCCGAATGAGGGCCTCCCGGTGCCGTGCCGGCCATGGGGCTATTTGACTAAACGTCACCGCCGCGCTGGTCAGTGTAGGCTGGTAAAGGTGTTAAGCACAGATTTGGAAGCATATAATTATATTACAACAATAGTTATATATTTTTTTTTTATACCTGAACTGCCCAAGGCTGGTCACCACACAGCACAGCCTTACTATTATAAACATCTGCAGGAGTATGTACTCCATATAAAGATATGTTTTATTATCTTAAACCATACAGCTAAAATGGGCACAGCAATTATAATTACACTCACGACACATACTTTTTCATATTGTGCACCAAGCAGACATAATAACATCTTTAATTTTTTATATGTTTAAAAAACTATACAGATCAACGGCCATATTAATTACACTGAGCATGACGGGAATTCTTCCATTAATCAGTGCGAGACAGTGAGCGAGCACAAAACTGTGCCAGGGTGGCACGTGTCCCGTTTGTACCCGCAGCTGCTGGGTGTAGAGAGAGAGGCTGCGCAGGAAGGACTTGACAGCGCGCTCGAGGCCACGGAAGCCTCGCTCCTCCTCCTCAAATGCCTCGTCCCGGATCTAACACCCACCACACGCACACAAACACCACAATACAACTACACAACACATCAGTTGGTTCACAGCAAGCATTACGATTCGTCATTAATTCTTGGATTTGGCCGCGTAATGAGCTGGCCAATTGTCGTGAAACTATTCCATCATCCGACAATGCCAAAGAAATTACAATGTCCCATGTGAAAGCGTACAACGTGCCAATCCTTAATGTCTCAGCTTCCTAACCAGTAAGGTGAAGAACAATTCTCAACCAAATTTACTAATTAGTTACCATGAAGTTTGCCTTTAAACTGCAACAAATGCACCTCGGATTAGCACGGTTGGCTAGATACAGTGCGAAAGAAGTTCAACATCCACACATTCAGAAGAAGATGCAGAAAGTAATAATACAATTTCTGCATTTTAACTCAACCAGTAAGGTTTGTCATGTAAAAGACGCACCAATTAGTTACTACTTCAGCCCACCGGTGTGTTGGAGAGTAAATCCACAACATTTACAATTTACGTTTCGCTCGTAATTACATCAACCAGCATCATCGGGCGATTTGCCAGAATAGTGAAGCGATCCACCTGCTTCCGGTCTTAAATATAGTAAGACTGACGCCATCACTGTGAACCCATCAGGTGCAGAGATCAGCGGCGGAGGGGGGATTTATTGTAATTAAGCCTGTAGCTGTCAGAGCAGTTAAAATAATTCTCTCAATTTCAATAGATTCTCGAATTAGTCTCGGCCAATAATAATTAGTTTTACACAACACTTCAACATTAGCAAAATCAATTGAGTGTCCTTGTTGGCAACCATGTTCTGCAACTGCCAACAGTTGTGTTTGTGAGTATTTAATATTTATTTGGTGTTTAGTCTTACGCTAATGTTCCGTGCCGTCTGTCCAATAGCATCTGCCACATACGCAATTAATCCGATACACACCTTCTGTTGATAACTTAGGCAATTCATTTCTAGTACTAGTTTTTTTTATTTTGAGTACCGTGCCGAATCTTACTCTAATTTTTTTCAAAAACTCAAGCTAGTTTGTCAGTTTCTCTCGTAATATGGTATTTTTATTGTTTCAATAACATGATCACTTTCAGCAGTATTGCTGCAGTATTTCCGATCTTGGTTAGGCTTTCAATGCTCTGTTAATTTTTGCATTATTGTAGCCATGTAATCATAGAGCTTCTTTAACACGTTTAATCTCGCTCCTCAGACATTCACCATCTGACATGGTTTCATCTCAATGTATGAGTGTCTTGATGAGAGATGCTTTCCGTGCGGGGTGATGGAAATCTGCCTTCAGATAGGCATCAGTGTGCGTTTCCTTTTGGTAAACGTTGTGTGTTATTTTGCCATTTAGGCCGCATCTGAGAAAAATATTCAGGAATGAGAGTGTGTTATTCACCTCCACTTCCATTGTGAACTGGATGGCCGGGTTTTCCGAATTGAGATAAGTTAGAAATTAATTAAGTGTATCTTTACTATGTGGCCAAACAACCCAAGTGTCATCCACATTTCTTAACCGAAAAGATGGTTTTAGTGTACTTGTAGCAAGTGCTCTTGCTTCAACTTTTCCATGGACAGATTCGGTATAGCAGGAAACAAAGGAGAGCCCATTGCTTTGTTATTACTCGATATGCTAGTAAATAAGACAGGTTTAACAAAAGATATTCCAAAACTAGCTGACCATTGTTTAAATAGCACTTACTTCTTAGGGACAGGTGATTTCTTTAAACAAAACAGTTGGAATATAACATTTTGCAGAGAGCAGCAGTTAGTCATAGGCAAACAAAGTGAGAGATTCCTTGTACTGCCTGCACAGGCTTGTAGGGGTAAGTGTTATTAGTGAGCTCATTAAAAACTGTGGTGTGGCCAGTAGCACACCTGGTTGCCTTTGTCTGCCCAGGCTAATGTTTACGCACGGTAAACAGTGACTCATTTGAAGAGGATTGGATGGAAAGGAGGCCTAGAAGCATTTAGATATTTGCCACTAATGTTGGCTGTGACGTGAATCAAACTTTGGACACCGGGTTCGAAGCTCAGTGGCTGAACACACGACTACTCCACACACCACGCCACGCGTAGACACACAGACAAAACTACTACGTGCATAAATGTATCACAACCAGGCACACGGAACCACGATCGCAATTATGAACCTAATATCGCTGGAAGTCGCCCTATGAAACCGAGTGCGCACCTTCAATCTTATCGAACGAAAATGCGCCACAACCGAAAACAGTCCAAAATCGTTTGCACATACAAAGGTGCCGCAGTGGGAAAATGAGCTCAGCTAACCAGGTGGCGCCACTGTACCTGGGAAGCCATGCCTGTCAGATGCTTGAGGTGGCCACTGACGCGGCTTGACTTCTTCAGAATGGAATGCATGTTCAGTTTGGAGAGCTTGTCAATCAGTGAAGAATCATCATCTTTTCTGTACTTGACCACTGCCGAGAAATTGAATAACGTCAGAAAATAACAATTAAAAAAGGCAACGGTGATGTGTCACCACCACGTCAAGAAACCACGTGCTCAGGAGTATCTCTGACAGCACAGCGTGGGGGACGCGTGGCAAGCACCATGCACACACCAAGGCCGTATTCTTCATCACGGCTCAGCTCAGGCTTGCCTCTGGCTCAAGTGAGATGGCTCAAAGACATGCTTAACTTGAGCCAGCTCTGGACAAGGTCTCAGCCATGCTCAGGATTTCCATGAGCTGAGCCTCAGTCAAGCCATGGGCTCAGCCATTTGAAAATAACTGAGCGGCTCAAGCCTGAAATGAGCCGTGTTAAGGGGTCATGCCAGAGCCTAGCCGTGACTGTGAATATGGCCTTACATAGAGACCATGTGCAGACAGGGAAGAGCGACCCTCAAGACAGACATGAAAAAGATAGACACAAACCCACAGAGACATATGTGCAGATACAAGAAGAGCGACGAATACGTACAAATCCACATAGCCAAGGAGAAAAATCTGATGATCGTTGGGGGGGGACCCTAAAACAGTTGAGACTGACTAGGGTCAGCGCTGGAGAAGTGCACCAAGCGTCCCAATGGCACCAACCAAGTTCACGCTCCGTTGCAGAAATTCACCGTTAGGGTGGCCCACAACCACAGCTCGACTGACCCCCTATCCAAAAGGAGCTGGAGCAAACACGACTAACCCAGGTCCTTCCGGCGCTTGAACTCGTTGATGTTGTGGTTGAGCTGTCGCAAGGCGACGAGCGCTTTGCTCAGCGACGGCTGGTCAGGGTGAGACGGTGGCGTGGCTCCCAGGAGCTCGGTCAGCAGCAGCGGGTAGCGCATCACCCTCTGCACTGGCTTGATGAGCAGTGCCCCCAGGTTTATATAGTTGGACCTTTCCCTGGTTATAATGAAAAATCACCCGTCAGAAATGTCAACGTAAACACACCAACCTCTCGCATGCAAGCAATCATGTCTGTTGCTTACAAAAACATACGAGGGTTACATTTTCAGATGTATTGGTTTGGGTGATGTAGGTTTTGGATACACCTTGGCCAGGAAATGACATTTCAGCAACAACACTGAATCCGAGCGTGTGAATCACTGCATGCTTGGGTTTTAAATAAACGCACTGCTAAAAGCAAGTAACATTTCCAAAACATATACACATATGTCACCTCATATTTTTGAGACACACTGCCATCTGTGCCTTGATGTCCTCATCCTTCTCGAAGGCCTCCAAGAGCGAGATCGCGTCATCGTGGTTGCGGCAGTACACCTTGTAGACCTCCTCAAGCTCGCTTTTGAAGGCGAGGAAGATCTCGCCTAGAGACAACAAGCCGTCGTCACCGTGAGATACCCGGCCATCGGCAGATAACGTAGCTGGCATGTAGGTTGAACTGCTTTCGCACCGTACGTAACCAACCGTGCTAATTATCGATGGAACTGCGAACCAAAATGTATTAAATACCCAATGCATATCCAGTCAACTAACAAAAATTGTACTCTCAGCTTTCAGCTTGTTTAATAAATGAAGAGGGCAATAGACTATGCGGCGTTTACCACGTACCGATCTTCTGGTCGTCGGGGCGGGCGATGTGGACGGCTGACTGCAGTGACTCGTAGAAGCGGGCGTTCACTTCTAGCACTGCCTCCAGGTTCCCAAACAGCCCCTCCACATCCAGATTGGCCACCTGGGACAGAGAGCGTTCCATCAGTCTTCCACGTCGGCAACGGCATGCGGCGCGGTCCAATCGGCAAGGCGACAACATCGCACCACTGTGGTGACACGTCTACATTCATCGCTGATTCTCATCTGTTGTCCTGCCCCTCCATTGCAGTGCGTAACATCTTTCTAGGGCCCCCCACCTCTCAACCCCCAAACCCAAGGATTCTGCAGGCATGGAGAGAGGAAATATTTTCCAGAGCTCAGCATGGAAAGCTCCAAGTAAAATTAAACCCGGACCCATAGCCTTGAAAATTACTCAATTGGGCTTAAACTTAGCAATAAATTAGCTTCATTACACAATCAATTAGCTCCAAGTCACTCTTGCAAATGAGAATCATCCTGGTCTCTTGACTTTTCGCCTGGTTAAAAATAATAATTTTTGAACATTATGAAAATTATTTCCCCCAGCCATCTGTGCTATCAACTCAATACGACTAATCAAGCAAAGGCTCATAATCTTACACTTTTCCTCCACCAATAATTGACATCTTTTTCTATTTAAAAAATGGCCATTTCCTGTAGTGTCTTAAGATTTGGTCACATTTAGATGCTATGTATTTCCAAATTGCACTGTAACTTCATGTTACAGTGCAATTTGTATACTCAAATTGTAGTGTAACTTGATATACAGTCCTCCGATTACCAATAGATTCCTCCCTTTTCATCTCGTGAGTGGAGCACGGTGAAAGTATAAGAAAACAAAAGTGCAACATGTGATTCAACCCCAAAGACCACGCACACTTGTATTATGAGGATTAAGAGTGGCTACGAAAACCTACCCATTAAATTGTGTGACAAACTGCACTGTGCTGCGACGCAAGACAAAATTAGTCGACCTGTGTTTTCCTGAGCGGGATGTAGATCTCCTCCCTGCAGAACTGCAGGTCGGCCAAGTAGTCCCTCTCGGTTCGCAGCAGCTCCTCCAGCACCATCTTGCGCTTCTCCAGCGCTCGGCCCGGCTGAGGCCCCTGCAGCGCTCTAGCCTCGGGGGCGGCGCCGTTCGGTGGCCCACCCACGTGGGCGGCGCCCCCGTTCATCGGAGCAGAAGGCCCACTCAGCAGCGTCATGTCATCTGAGAAGTTCAAAAGGGACGGCTTCGTAAATCAAAAATAAATACGCGTAACGGCAAGCGGGTGATGCTTTCAGTGTGCAACGTAGAAAGGTAAAGGTGTGCAGCCCTGTGGTTGCTTGTGCCACGGCTGGCAAAAGGGCCTCCACTAGAGAAAGCTCCAGAGACCACCTGATCTACTCTTGCATGCTGGCCATCAACTAACTGTGACCCAACTATTTACACTGCCGTGTGAAGAGAGGTGGGGATAATTAGCAAGCCCAATGTTTTAACTGCCACGCCAGGAGGTCAGATCAAACCGGCGACCTCTGGATTGCAAGTCCAGTGTGCTAACCATTACACCGTGGTTTAGTACCGCATAATTAATGTATACATAAGTATAAGCAATTGCTTGACCAAATCAGCCAGAATGTGCTGGATCGAAAGCTAATCAGGATTCATTCTGGAGAGTTCGTGGATAGTAGAGTGGTGACCACTATGCACAGCAGGTTATAATAGACTGCTAGGCAGCATGGTGGGAAGCAGAGGGCAATGCAGCAAGAGACAATGTTGTACTCTTTGTTCACACATCTATGATTCTCATCTTCCAATACCCGCACTGTCCAGCATTCTGAAGTATGGCCAAATTACACCTATGACCTACATCACAGAATATTGTGACATCCAAATGGGAGTGAACTTTTTATAATTTTAGTTTGAAAAACAGAAAAAAATATCCACCAATACACAAGTCATGACTTTTACTGCAAATTGTGATATTTTAAGACTACTAGTGTACTATCTAGCTAGCTTACCCCACCTAGTCAATGCTCTTACGTTATCTCCATACATGAGTGGTTCGAACAAGCACATGAGAAATGAGGCACCTGTTTGCCTCTGCCGGTCTGGCCGCCCTTGGCCCAGTCCTCTGTATGTTCTGCATTAGCCATACAGCTTTGCTTCAATGCCATCACCAAGGACTTGGGCTAATCCATGGAAACGGCAAACAGCAATTCTAAATTGCCCAGCCACGGCAGGCTGAACATAAAATCCCACAACATTCGAGTGTATTTGCTCTCCCGCAAAAAATGTACATAACACAATTACACTTGCAGTGCCCAACTCATTATGTAGCATACACAAACTAATGTTGTGTTGCTGTGGGGCACTGTGGGTAAAAGTATATAAAGCAAACTCTGTTCTATCTCAAATTCTTTGGGTCTTTCGGTAAAGTCACGTAGAACAAAAAAGATCTGTTCTATCTCCACACATAAAACTATAGTTTTCAGTCCATCAGCCGACCAGTGTTCCAGAGCAATATCATCAAGCAGCATTTTTTGACTTAAGCAAACTCTGTACAAGTTTTGACCAATGGCTCTTCCCATTAAGATCTGGTAGTCCACCAGCTTTTTTTAAAACAATTCTTATTGTTGAGACCCAAATATTGCAACAAATGTCGTTTGATACTTTTAGTCTGGATAGCAAACCGACTTAAGCACTAAAATACATCTTTGTGTGGAGGAAAAAACGGAGTTATGCTCATATATACGTAATTATGCAGTGGTTGAGCACACGGAGTGCGTTTCATTTTTCCCAACGCAGCACAAAGGCGTCTCTCTCGTCTCCCCATCCACCCCAACAGTGATTTCCATCACAGCCCCTGTGCGAAAGCCCCGCCCGGTTACAGAGGCATGTTCACGCCGCCTGCACTGGCTTGCTGTGGCATTGTGCGTGAGATGGGGGTGACCTGCCGGGCGTGAGAACACAGGGGGAGCGGGGGGGGAGCACGGGGGGGCACGGGGGGCACGGGGGGGGGAGCACGGGGGGGGGCACGGGGGGGGGGAGCACGGGGGGGGGCACGGGGGGGGGCGCACGCGCCGTCGCGTGAGCCGCCGCCGCCCACCCCCGTGTGGCGGTCTCGCCCTTCCTCGCCCCCCCCCCCACCCCCCCAGCTGCTTGCGAGTAATTACCGACATATCCCGCTAGAACAACACGGTGAAGATTATAGAGAAAACAACATTTTAATCAAAGCTGCGACATGACCCCCAGGAATCCCAATGCACTTTCCGAATGTTCCTCCGCATCCCCCCCCCCCCCCTCTGTTGCTTACGAGTAGCGGTCAGCTTTTGATCAATAGGGTGATCCATTTATAGATACTATACAATGAGAATAGAGAGATATTACAGATCAAACGAAGTATTAACTCAGAGCCTCTCCATGTCTAGCTCTCTGATGTGTTCGCTCCACGTGCTGGGAGCTACACAGCACAACCCTGCAAACCTACAGTGGTAATCTTGTCCATGTCTTGGACAAATCTCATAACGCAAATTAAATCTGTTAACACGCGACACACTCAATCATAGGCAGTATCAAGATGCCTCACAACGCTTCATTATGCGCAAGCTGAGGTCATTGCTCCCGCACATGTGACGTGGACAAGGTCGACGGTGAGTGGAGCATCTCCAAACGGACCTCCATGCTCATTGAAACTGCACACTAAACTTTTTAACATTGTAAATCCACATGAAACAAGCTGCATGCATGTATAACTCCTTTAACATTGCACGTAGCCAGCCGTGCTCATCGGAGGTGCGAAGCTGGGCCGAAGCCACAACGAGGGTGTTAGTAACATTTACGCACCAGCAGCAACTGTTACTGTAACATACACAGGCGAAGAAATTCGCGATCCCTTTGGGAGTTCATCAGAATCGCCGTTTCTAATTAAGCCATTTGAATCGGTCTGGATACGCAAGGTTAAGTGTCAGCTCTTTTCAAGAGACAATAGAGGACAAAGGCTACGGGGTGCATCGCTTGTTCCAATTGTGAGAGCAGATGACAACTGGTCAGAGAGTAACACAGTAGGCGGCGCGGCCTTATAAAGTCAACAAACTTCACGTACAACAACTGAGCTGCAGTTAAAACAGCAGAACACTCCGTACCTGTATAGAAAGACGCCACCTCTAGCATCACACATACGTCGTCGCACGTTGCTGCGGAAGAGGCGCGCGTGGGATATAAGTTCTCCTCGCTGGGAGCGAGCCCGTCCTTCCAGCACGGCCATGAGCCTCTCTCTCGCTACGTTTTTGTTTTCTCTTCCCCCAGACACAAGAGCGGCTGGGTCCAACCTGTACCGCCCACCCACCAAACCCAGCAGCCCGTTCCACAAAACAACCCCAAAGCTCCCAGTACAAACAAGGGGCCTTTTCAGCCGCACGGCAATTAACATCTCAATGGGCCAGCTCTGGCCAAAGATGAGATAACAAAAGGCAGCCCCCCCCCCAGCAGAAGAGAAAACGTGGGGAGGATCATTGTACACCACGAGCGTCCAAGTACAGCATTATCAAATTACATGACCGCCGAGGTAAATAGTCTTGGCATACAGAAGTAAAAAATGTGCGAATGTAACACTAAAAGTAACAGTTCATGTATGTTTTAACTCAAGATACCACAAAGTAAAATACAATATCCACTGCATTTTACTCTAGTGCCGAGTGGAACAAATGCACAAAGGCCAAATACCTCTGATGGGCCACGGCCAGCAGACAACCCACGGGTTTCTGGTAAAAGTTTGTGTTCCTAAAGCAGTAACATCAAATGCACTCTCTAGCGTCCAAAATATTTCACATGCCAGCAAACGTCAGGATGAGGTCAGCTCGTGACAGCCCAGTAACTGGAAAATGAACTCGAAAGCAAATACACTTTTACCGGAGCCATATACACACACGAGCACGTATGCTCAGTGCGCAGCTGTTTCCCAGTAACGCACGTATGGCACCGCGCTTGAAAACACGGCAGTCTCGATGGCAGATTGTAGCCACACTTACCCAACGCGTTTAAGTTGTTGTAGATGCCACATTGCTCTGCCGGATGCGTCCAACGTATGCCCAACACTTCACAATTCAAACAAAAACAACTTCCAATTGCTATTTACAGTACAGTAAAGTCGGCGCCATAATCGACTCCTCCTGGCAATGCGGGGTTTGGACTTTGCTTCATCTTCGCAATGTTCTGTTGCACTTAGAGCTCAGGTAATGCTGTTGTTACCGAATAATAATCATGCTAAGAGCAATACGAATAATTTATTTGACATACTTAAAAAAATACTCTGCATGTGCAGTTTTAAAACATCCGAATGGTGTATCTGCCCCAAAGTGGGCAAAAGCAAGCCTGCTCTTTTTCAAGCGAAACTGATGACTCAATGGTAAGCATGTAAACCCGTCTTCCGCTCAGGTCAAATTACACCTGTTATCTCGGCCTATGCGAGAGCAAAGAAGAACAGCATCCCCCTCCCCGCCTCTCCACCACTGGGTGCCAGCAATGGCACGTGACCGTATCACCTGACCCCCATGAGACCTTGTGTGAGGACCAAATGCAGCCATGCTTATACCCATGACAAGGTGGTCGTACCAGCAGCAGCGGCGGCAAACCCACCCAAGCAGGTTTGTCAGCATTTCTAACGTGCGGAAGGCGCCACAGAAGCAGCAGTTTGTATACGATTGCCACTAATGTGTATATTACTTTGGAATCAAGACTATGGCATTTAAAACCTATGTAGCATACATCTTGACTTAAAGCTTTCGTGACTGCAGGAATTCCTATTCTTTGGGTCTTTCGGTAAAGTCATGTAGATAGCTTCAAAGAAAATAACAAATAACTATGTAGCATGCAGCGAAATTGATTGTCAATACGCAAAGATATGCAATGCCTAATCGTAAACAAGGGGAAATCAAAGTCACACACATAGGGGCTTAGGACAGGTTTGTCAGGTTTCCAGTTCTAGATGAAATGATTTGGTAAACACTATTCGGGCTTCTGTTGCCAGTGATTAAAATTACAGATAACGTTCCTGAATACTTTTGAAATTGCAATAGTCCATATGAATGGAAATTATTTGTTATTAAAAGCAGGAGCACATCGCCATATTGCTATCGTCTGAAAACTGCAATACACAATGTAACTGATATTGGCCCAAACATCCCGATGCTAACAATTTATCAGCAAATTACTAATTTGGGGTTACACATGGCAAGATTGCATCCCCTACCACAAAGCAATAGCAGGACCCTCCTGACAAAAAGAGTGTTTAGACTTGGATAGGCTTTCCTGGGTAAACAAGCCTAACAACAATTATTATTCTTACAACATTCTAAATCCAAAAACAATAACGTGTTTTCAAAAGAGCCACTGAACGCCAAGCGCAGCAACACCGTACCTGCCAAATGTCTCCTTGCGACTCGAGTGAGGACGCCCGAAATCCTCGCAAAGAAACAAAGCAGGCGTCTGTGTTGGTGGGCCCTCATGTCTGCAGCTGGCGCCCTGTGCCTGCCCAGTAGGGACCACTGGCACACGGCCTACCCCGAGGGCAGCAATGTGGCACCCGTGCGCTACATCCACAACTGCGTTATTAAATATCTGCCACTGCGGGTCAGGCCATCATCCCAAAGCAAACGCATCCATTTTGTCTCATGCCACGGTTTTGCGATCACCAAATTTGTGTCTTGTTTGCACAATCGATGTCAACGACCGAAGTCATGTAAAATTTGCGAGTAGAGCCGCGTGCAGAATATATATTGGCAAGAGGAGCAGACTAATCGAAACCGCGTGTGCGCACAGATGCAGTCTTGTTATTAAATAGTATTTATGGTGTTGCTTAACAACATCTTTGGTGTAAAAATCATGCCACGTGTTGGGCAAATGTGTACATCCATGCGCAGCAGCAGAAATGTGATGACCAGGCCCTGGCAAAGAGAGAGAGAGGGACTCCCCTCCCTCATTAGAGCATCTCTGCCAACATTCCAGCATTCAACCATATTCCAACCAACGCATTGCGTGCAACTCCACAGCAGCAAGACGCAACATGTGGAAAATATTGAAAATGCTGTGTTGTATGTGTAACCCAATGGGAATTTGAAACGTGTAATCTAAAACATTAAAGTTATCACGCAGATTCCCGAGAGGGCACTGGGACGCTACACCTCATGATAGCCAATTTTCTGTGCAACATCGCATGGGAATTTAAGTTATGTGTATCGAAAACATACGCTCGGGTTTACGTTTTTTTTACTGACTGTATAAAGCACAAGTTGGTCATATACCATAAAAAATAGTGTGTAGCTGATAAATGCATGTACTGCAGTCATACATTGATTAATTGCATACATACAGCACTAAATAAATTTCTTCACCCATCAGTGCACTGACAAAGGGCTATAATAATTGTATATTACTTTTTAAAATGATATATCCACATAATATAACCGTTTCATATATTTAAACATGTAAAATCGAAATTTGCATACGACTGAGCACAAAACCTCAAATCTTAATTACGACTCAGAACATAACATTTCCCACAGGACATAAAAACAATGCCATGACTCACATGATACATGCCCATATGCCCAAATTATAAATTATAATTATTAATCTGCCCAACAGACCACAGCATACACGCGACAATACTCAGAAACACACAACTCTTGGCCTGTTGCTGGAATATGTAGCTGAATATTCTATTTTTTCTCATACAACATCATGAAAAACTACACAGAGTCAGAATACTATCCATAATATAGTTAATAGCCGGACCTGCTTCCAATATATTCTAATTAGTGTACAAGTCACATTGTGTCCCTACTGTTGGTGTTATGTAAAGCGCTGGTATTTGCCACCACAGCCTGCTAACAAGTACTGCACAAAACATATCTCCTGTTCCACTCCCTGCACTGGTGGCTGTAATTTGAATACACGTTCATCTAACATCGTTGTGCAGTTATATGTCTTCCACTGTACCATGTGTGATTTTGCAGTGTGTTGTGTGCATTACACTGAATAAGTCCAAATGTGCTATAATGTGGGAAACACCCCCAACAAGAGGACATCTACCCCAGAGATGCAGAGCTCTGAAATCAGCTCGTACGCAGGTGCTCCTGGGATTGTTGCATTGCGAGAAAATTAGATGGTGACCAGCTTGGAGAGGCCTCCATCCAGCAGTAGATTGAATTATGGTTGATAATGATGATGAACATTAATCTTTAACTAAGCTTTGCCGCCCGTTTACTTAAGACTCGTCTGAGCTGTATCGCCACTAGGTGGCACCACATTACAATTTACTCCAATTCTGGCAATGTGTTCAGGAGATACAATGAAAATGTCGAGGTCTACTAGCCACAAGAGGTCTTCAGGAGAGAGTTGGTGTAGCTTTGTTATTCCTTCATTGCAGGAACGAAGACTACAGTGGTTTACTATATGGTTTACTGTATTTATCGGGTAAGGTTGCCCTTTGGGTTTATTGCCGACGCAACTCAACAACATAAGCAAGATAAGCGGGCTTCCTCACTGCTCCGAACGTGAACCAACGCTAACGGACGGCGCAGTAACAAGGATATGCCCTTGCGCCTAGGAACGGAAACGCACAATCCCTGCAGATCATTGTCAAAAACCTCGACTGCCGCTGGGGCATCCCAAACAAATACAATCACAGTTGGAATGTTTCCATAATAGCAAACCGTCCTGGATTGTTTAAAACTATTTCTAAAGACCAGCATAAATGTTCCATTTCTCTATTAAATGTTCACCATTCATCTCCTCTGGTTAGTGATGTCAGACAAGCACTGTGACACACTGGGTGTGGCAGGGCAAAGTGTCAGGCTGTCAAGCGAGTGTAGCAGAGGGAAAGCCAACAATTTTCCCTTGCCAAATGAATCAAACCCAAAAAACGCACACAGAGTTGTAATGTTCGGGCCTTTAATAACCCTTGAACAAGATCAAAATTGATATTTGTTTGGGGCAGTGTGTCAGTGGTAAAGGTCACAAGGCTATTACAATTTGTTTAACAAATTGTGCAATGCAACAGTAAATTCCACTCCACTTAGTGCAAGTGAAGGAGAATTTATTCCATCAAGCGGTAATATTTAACTCTTAGGTTATTTCCTTGTTACCGTTGTTATTGGAAATGCACAGAATAACTTGTGCTACCTGCGGCAATGTCAAGGTTGCTGTCCTGGCTTCCATGGCTGCCACCAAAATCCAGCAGCTCATCTTCCCTCCCAAGATCTATCAAGTCGTGAGTCTGCAGCTGGGCTGAGGAATAGGATAAAAGAGCAAAGGGAAAGAGCAAATATCAAGCTGAGACATTTAAACAGCGCAGTCTCTGATATCCCCATGATGGTCGCGAATATTATTTAAGCATTTACATTTCTGTAATTAAATGTTAAACCGGTGCAAACTCTATGATTTGCCTATTAAGTCAGTGTGAATGTCCCCAAAGGACTTGACATGGGGTAAATTTGCACTGAACAATGCTAATGTGTTAATGGCAATCCATTCTAGCCAGATTCATGACAACGCGATAATTCACTAGCGTACTGGCGTACGTGGCCGGGCGGAAACACATTTGCCACTTGTTTCAGAGGCTCACAGTTCAAGCCCGGCGGCCACCCTGGTAACTATTGTGGGTGCATTAACTTTCACTGGTTCAAGCCACGTAGAAACATCATTCCTACTGGCAGACTATTTCCACATCCTTGAAAACGTAATGCCTTCGTGGTAGTCTTCCACCATAAGAATTGCGCAAACATAAACTGTACGGCACTCACCCGATGCCGGCCTTGTGATTGCACCTGGTTGCAATCTCTGCCTGACATGAGCCAGATCTGCAGACAGATCCCCACTGGAGTGGTTCCGGCGATAGGGAGGCACCGGAGCAGACACGGGAGCTCCATCCCTTGCCCTGTCGCCACACACCGAGGCTGCTCTGCTCAGAATAGCGCCCGTTTCCAGGGTGGTTCCCGCCTGTCCAGGAGGCATGGGCGCGGGTCTCGTGGGCATCAGCTTTCCACCACCGTCTCTGTCCTCGGCGCTCTGCCAGACTGTCATGTTGGCACGAAGGAGTGGCGGTACTTTCAGAGGGGCAGATGCCCGTCGGTTGGTAGGCGGGGGCGGTGGCGTGCGGTGCGCTCGTGGTGGTGGCTGGGGCTGCTGAGTCACGTCGGGGCGAGGAGGAATGGGAGGGCGGCTCTGTCCTTGTTCGTTATTCAGCTGCTGCTGCTGGGGACCTTGTAGTAGGTCATGTGCTTCCAAGCTCACATCTGATCTCTTCGTTGAGAGACTCTGATTGAATTGCATTACTTGCTCAGTTAACTTGCTCTCGAGATCTGTGGAGGTGCAGCCAGACAATCCAACACCACTCTTATGATTCAGCGAATCTGGCTTTGGTTTACAGTTTGAAGACAAGCCACCATTATGCACAGTACATTCAGTGCTGCTGCTTGAAATTTCGTTGACATGAAAAGCTTCAAAACTCTCGCTTCTGTCTTTGGCATGTCGCTTTTGTGTCGCCACCCACTGCAACAGGTCTTGGTGTACAGATTCTCTGTTATGAGACCTTTTGGATGTCTCTTGCTCTGACCTGATTGTGACGGTATAGTCGATCTTCACTGGTTTCCCAACATTTGTATCCTTGTTCTCTCCTACCTCAGGGTGCACATCGTAGCGTCGGACTGGGGAAGATGGAAAGCGCAATCCTGTGTTTTCTTTTGGTGTCTCAGACGTACTGGACATACCGAAAGATGATTCCAAAACATCTGGCTGTTGGCCAACAACAGAGATCTCAATATTTGAAGAGTCAAGTGATAATTCTTCATTATTTTCAAGCAAATTACATGGCAATTCCTTTTGGTATACATCAAAACTCTTTGATTCTTTAAAGCTCGTATTTTCTTTTTTGCTACGGTTTAAATTGGGATCATTCTCCATTGTCTGTACGAGATCAGAAACAGGTGACTCTTTAGCTTCCAGTTTTACAAACCGAATTGGGAAAATGCCTCTGCAGCCACGAACTTCACCTTCCAGCCAGTCATCTTCCAGTTCCTGAACGATTGTTATTCGGTCACCCTTTCTGAAGTCCAACTCACCAGCCTCGATGGCTTTAAAATCATAAAGTGCAACAGCATAAATTTCATTTTCATCAACGTTGTGTTGGCTGAGAGGTCCATATTCACTTCCACATAAAGTGCTTTGGTCAGAATCCAAGATCTCCTCATCTTGACAGTGATCTTTCACATTCATCTTCTTCAGTGGTTTGAGGAGTTCAACAAAGCCTTCTGGGAAAGTGCCACGTCTGCCATCAATCTCCCCATCATACCAGCCCTCCTCCGGGATGCCGGTTATCGTAATGATGTCGCCTTCTCGAAAGTCGAGCTCGCCCTCCATCTGTGCCGCCAGCCCCATAATGGCCCGCGCTCGGCCAAGCGCATTCGCAGGCAACACCAAGTCGGCGTCGCTGTCGGCACCCGGGTAACCACCCCGACTTGGCCGAGCCGGCAACCTGAGCTCCGTGACACATGACGCGGCGATGAGGCCACGATGGTTCTCCCTGCGTCCTCGGAACCAGTTTGTGTCAAGTGCTTCCTCTATCACCAGCACATCTCCTGCAACAAGACGCATTCCATCGTTAGCAGGGTCACTGCAGGAACCATCTTTCTTTGATCATATTTTTGCCACCGGTATTGTGTTATTGCTAATGATGTGTCAGGTGCTGTGCAGCATTGGAAGCTCACCCCTCTTGATCTCCAGACTGTCGGCTGTTAGGGGGTTAAAGCTTTCTGTGCAAACGTAAAGCCTCTCTTTTGCTTGCAGCTTGGGGATGGGAACGGGCTCCACAAAGCTGGATGGGAATTGCCCTGTAGCAAAGCAAAGTGGATAACAACAAGAGCATAATGCGTGCAGGCATGTGTACATAACCACCCATGTTATTGTACGTTAATTAAATATATAATATTAGATGCACAGTATAATTATAATTGTTTTATAACTGGGTTTATGAATAGGTTAATATTCTTTGGTACTGCGTGTTGCAGTGATAAACAAAAGATTTTTTTTTTGTAACCGCAACAAATTTTATAAATTGATGTAAATTTAAATGCTGCAGTGTTGGCAGGGGTACAAAAGCACAAATAAAAAAAACTCACCATGTTCGTTCATAACACCGACTTAAAAGGAAAAATATATAATCGGTGATGTTTTAAGCACTGACTTGATTTCAGAGCGCATAGAGAGACCAGAGATATTTAAACTATAAAACTATTTTAATTTACCAGGTAAGGCCCACTGAGCTATGAAGCTCTTTTTCAGAAACGACCTGGCCACAAATAATAGCTCTACAAAGTGGCTTATCATGTGGACATTTCTAGCAGCCAAATAATCTGAACGCATGTTTCTAAATGTGGTGGGAAAAATCAAAAGACCTGGAGAAAAATCCACGCAACCACGGGAGAATCTGCAAACTCCAAATATACAGGCCTCAGGGTCGGGATCGAACTCACGCATCCTGTGTACCAGGTGAGGTAGTTAATGTCTCGCCACCGTGACGCCCTAAAGAGTGGATAAGAGTGGGAGACTGCACTATACACCGTAGGGCCTGATAAGTATAACATTTAAAACATGTTTTCTGGTGAAATGCATTAGATTGGCACGCGAATATTTACCTATTAATAGCTAATGATTAACAAAGTAAAATTCTAAAATGTTGCTGGCACATTGCATTCTGGGTAACGCATAATATTTATAATAGTTACCTATATGTATTAATAGGTAACTATTCATATTCCAATTTAAAAACTGCTTGTCAACAAACATAAAAAAAAAATTCTCATCAGGCCCAATGGTTGAAATTGCAGTCTAACTCTTTTTCACTATCACTCAGGCCTCTCTGTTTATGTGCTATGAAGAAGGGACATTTGCCCAAACATAATCTATTATATATTATATTTTAAGGCAGCGTTATTGACGAATATTTTAAGTTTGTATGCCTTTGTATTTGCTTAAGATCAATTGAAATTGTGGCATTAACTTTACATAATTATTCATAAAAACATTTGTATTGACTACATATCACCCCAAAGTCTGCTTTTACAAATTTTGGAAACAATGTCTGGAGTTCCATTTCCAGTTACAGGAAGCGTGGACACGCACATGACACGCACGACATAGCTTATTACAAAAGCTGTCGCTGCAACTTTAAACAAAATGTCAGCTTCCTGTAGGAAAGCTCGGGCAGGTTTTCCAGTTACATGGGACAAAATGTACTCCCAAAATAGCCAAAAACAACACATTTTGCCAAATATCCATCCTCTTGGCCAACTTAAATCAGACTAATGAACACTCAAAGCGACACTTGAGGGCGGCGGAATAAAACAAATCAATGCACTCTGTGGAGATGACTATTAAGATGGTGGTAATCAACTCGATACACAATGGAGAGCATGCTGAATGGAATCTAAAGAGTCCTTCAGGCCACCTTAATTACACTTAAAATATCCAAAGTACAATGAGCTTCAGCCAAAAAGATTATACGCACGGCTGTAAAGTGGTGCAATACACATGCTGCTATGGGGATGAAGTGCATAGCATGCTCAACCCAGCACAGCCCATCCCATTGTCCCACGACCTCACCTGTGACCCCATCCTTCTTGCCTAATAGCCAGAACTCGTCGAGTGTGTCCAACAGCAGCACCACATCTCCCACGAACAGCGTCAGCTCCTCCGGCACACTGGGCCGGAATTCGAACATCGCGCGCAGCAGGCTGCCCGCCTCCATGTCCGCCTATGATCGTGCAAACACAACACATGCACGTGGAGGTTAGCAGTGCAAATATGTGCGATGCATGATCAAAAGCAAAACTAAACTTTTTTAAAATTGGTTAAACGTGATTTTAATCAAAGGGAGGTCAACCAAAATTAGTTTTCATGGTATATATTCACAAATGCCATTGCTGTAGACATTGGGCTTCTACCAGCTACCCAACTTGATTGCTAAGTTTGCCTCACCCAATGTTACTACCATATGTCCAACATTAGATTGCCACACTGAATAGACGGTGTCCGACAGATATGACTGTAAGGGCCAACCATTTCAATAGCGATTACACCGTGGAGGAAATGCCAACAACTGATAGCAGTCCCCCACAGTGGATACATGATGGGTTAAAAGGCAAACTGGCGAACTGAGAAAACAAATGCAGCAAAGGCACAGGGCAGAGATCGGATTTTCCCGTGGAGTTTTCCTGGCTTCAAAGCTCAAAGGACATTGTTCACGCAGATACGCTGTGGACTAAAAGTAGGATGGCATCTTCAGCTGAAATTAGAAGCACAGAGGGTTTAATTACATTCATCTAGTTACCGTTTGAAACACTTAGATCAGCATCCAATTCCTTAAACATGCTGTCTGCAAAATGTGCTTCAGTGAAATGTGCTATTTAGTGAGTTGCATGAACAACAAAAACAAAAGAACTTGCAAGTGTATGCCGCACTGAAAAATATACCTCATTTTCAGTGACTCCTGAGGTCACGCTTTGGGAATTCTACCTTATCACAAAAACCTTGTGCTTTATTTGATGTACCATTTTCTCCGGACAGCCAAGGAATTGTAATATGTACTGTGTATTACTTAATAATACGCTTCCAGGCTGCGCTAAGTCTGTAGCTATCAGAGCGGTTACAATTATTGGTATTTCTCTCAATTTCGATGGATTCTCTAATTAGTCTTGGCTAGTAATAATTAGTTTTCCATAACACTTCAACGTTATCAAACTTCAAATGAGTGTCCTTGTTGGCAAGCATGTTCTGCCACTGCCGACAGTTGTGTTTGAGATAATTTAATGTTCCTTTGGTGTTCTTTTAGTCTTACGCTGTTACATCCTGTCTGTCCAATATAGCATTTACCACATAAGCAATTGATCCGATATACACCTTCTGTTGATAACTTAGGTAATGAAAAAGTACACTCCAGTATAAAAGTAAAACCATCTGGGGATGTTATGACGTTTTTTTTACTCGGTCAAAGGAATAGACCTACTCTGAATACTTTAAATAATGCCCATGTTACATTTTAACCTGGCAGTTTACATTCCTTTGCAGTGGTCTGAAAGAATGCTTCAGAAATATATTATCAAAATCCTGGTGTCGACTTTCTGTTGCCTAGCTACTTCACGACAATTTTAAAAATGAAAAGTTTAACAGTTTTTCCATCCATTCCGGCATTGCCACTACCCACCAATCCGTACAACGGTCTCAATTAGACTCCCCAATCGATCCCTGGTGGAACCAATAAATAAAAATCCAAGTACCAACAATGTGCTCTCACGGACTGATATGTAGTGGTTGATCAATTCTTTCAAGAGGGCAGAAATAATGGATGGAATGGTCCCAAGACAAAACCAATTCAGACATGCCACTTGGGAGTGCAGAACCACAAATTTCCTTTATATCGAGGGGCCTTTCTGATGTTTCCTGTCTGTTAGCAGTCAAACTTTTCCATTGCAAAAAAGTGATACTTGCTTTTAAATGTTTTATACCAAAAGAAAGTACTTAACAATCCCCTCCAGAATGAAACACTCAAGTCAATTCTGGCACAGGTTTATGATGCGCAACTTAGAATGCACATTAAAGATTTAATTTAAAATGTTACAACTGTGATACATGCAATATAGCTTAAATGATGAGCGAAATGCATTAGAAAACCAATATCATGGAAGTAGTGTTGATGATTTGTATGTTGTGAAATAGCAACACCACCTCAACACCACATGGGGATATTATGCACTCAACATGACATTAAAATACCACAACTCTTACACATCATAATTGCTATTTATATATTCACGTGTAGCCTGACAGCATCAGAGCCAAAATTGTGCAATAATTCTCCATATTCATATTGTAAACCGTCAATATTCCTGACGCATTCACCGAAATAAGTTTTGCAATATAACTCACCTCTGCAATTACGAAATCCCATTTGCTTGACGTGACCATTATGAACTGTTTTAAGTACTCTACTGAGATATACCACACATGTATCCACATGTTCAGGGAAGTACACTATTGGCTTCGACACATATATAACAGTTTACTCAGACTTCCTGCATAATAATTTATGGACACATACAACTTTAACCGCATTTACTGATCTGTCTTTAAAGCCTCAACCACTTCAACAGAATATAAAAATACATTTACCGCAATCAAATGCAAAATGTATATGTACAGCTCCTTTGCCACTCTACTGCTGGATGAGGGTTTCCCTGCGCTGTGGGTCATGAGTATTATTTAACCATACTTCACCACGCACCTCAGTGCAGGATGGTGTGCATACACACAGGAGGATAAAAGTGCACGGCTCCCTGCACCTAGCCATCCAGCCAATAACAACCTGTGTGTTTCCAGTGGTCATCCAGACAAGCACTATCCAGAAACACAGCCCTGCTAAAGCATCTGTGTCATTTGATGCATTCACGGGTGATTTAGTAATGAGCGGAACTTGAGAATATACAACTTGTGTGTGTCCGGGTGTTTATGCAAAGTGTCACAGATGGGCGTTAATACATTATATGGGCAGATCAGATGGTAGCTTTTTGGATTTGTTTTGAAATGGATCTAAAACTAAAATATATTTTGAGTACTACAGCAACCACAGCGGTGGTTGGCGGCACATTTTGCAAGCACAGCCGAGGCCAGATTAAGGGATTACAACTGATTTCAGTTGCTAAACAATGCATTCATCAATTTAAAATACGCTGCTTGGCTCTTGAAAAGCACAATTTTGTGCTCAATACGCATTGCATACTCACGTGACATATAACCTTCCCACATTCCCATACACAACACAAAACCTCTTCCTGCACAAATGCATGAGAGAATGCCAAACCTAGCTTAAGTGATAACACAATGGGCAGAATATGACCAAACTAGAATGCACCCGATCTCATCGGATACCAGTAGCAATGCTGCTCCAGGATAATGCTTAGATTGGCGACAACCTTGCATAATAGGTGTTACAAGCTGCGGCACTATGTTGTTGGCAGCAGTGCTGCAAATTACGTTGGTGCACTTCAATTCTATGCTCCCACGTCGATGCCATCTGCCTTCATAATCACCCCACTAGGCAGCGTGGTGAAGTATGGTCACACACGAATGCCACGATCCCACGTGACGTGGGGAGGCCTTCGTCCACTGATAAATGGATGCACATTTACGAATACATGGCTCGGCTTTAAAAAGCCTTCGTTTCATTGGGGATCGAGGAGGGCAAGCGCCTGCTAAATGCATGTGTCCCAGTTGGAGATGAACACATTCCTCATTAATGAATCACACGCCACACAATGTGCATTGCAAAGGTGGATATACAGAATGTGATTGCGCTGCTGCGAAAAAAAACCTTTACGTCGCCACTAAGCCCGAGGCCAAAAGTGGAGCGCACCCCAGCACTGTACAGACGCGCCACGGCCCACAGCCCACATGGCTGGGATCGTAGTCTCGTGTTTCACCAACCTACTCTCGTTCAACTCTGCAAACTACAACTGCGTAGTACTCCGGGAGCTCCATACACAGCGCTTTAGTCCGGGTTCCCCTCACTCAACGGCCAAAATTGTGTTCATATAGTTCAGGAAACGGCAGTATAATTTGATTCCCATTTGCACCCAATGGAATCTTCCTACACGTGTTATTACATGTGCAGTATATTAAAGTTCTTCAGCACACCCAATTATTGGTGCGTTAAATACAGCTATAATCCCAATACCCATGCAATACACTAACAGTTATTAGCCAATTCATTCAAAGATCAAAACACATTCCAATACTGAACGTGTATGGAGTGAAGCACGTGCATGAGGAATTATTAATCACAATTAATGCAAATTACAAGTAGGCGACTGGAGCAAACAGAACTGCAAATGAAACAGAACAAAAATCCATAACAAGACCGTAAAAACAAGACGAAACAAGCTAGAAAAATCATGCATATGCAAGACACGTGTAATGCGTTCCAATATTTGTTCTTTAAAATGTTTCAAGGAGTCATAATAACAATGTCTTGAATATCGACACTTCATACAAACCAACATTCCGTTTATGCTGTATCATTTTTAAGAGTTATTGTGACCCTCACATTACAGACAGGTGGACAGAGCTGATGCATGCATGCATGAAATTATTTCTTGAATCAAATCATAACCATGAATTATGACAAGTTGTCAATCACCGGGGGTTAAAGAGCTGCATGCCTATCAGTTACTAATTCCTATAAATTGCTTTCTCTGCCACCTTGGCTTTGTAACAATAACCTCATCCATGTCCAGAGGCAAATTCGAAATAATAGCAGGTGACAAGGTGAGATGGAGGTACTCCATTTGCGTCTGGGTTCAGTGCCATGAGTGTAATTGCACTTTGTAGAAACAATTCTACAAACTGCCCTGTTTGTTTTATTAGGCCATTGGTAAGCTAACAGAACATTCAGAGTAAAATCATGAATTATACATTACCGTTGTCCCTTACTGAATGCTCTATTGGGGCAAATGACAATGTAAATTGCTTATGTGGGAAAACCTCAAAGTATTAAAGATGTTGGGAGTCATGGACAGAGAGATTTGTCTGAAAGTATTTTGTTCATGGGATAAAATCAGACTACCCGAGAAAACTCATAATTATGCGTACATGAACCCACTTACTCTTTGGTTCTTTCGGTAAAGTCACGTCGAAAATGCAACACAAGCAACCATCATCAGGTAAGAGACAGCTTGTGTCTCTCTCTGCATGTGTGTCTGCCTATGCTGTTTCCTTGGTCCGTGTTATTCATTCTTACCTGATGATGGTTGCAACCGAACCGTCGTATTCTATTATTATTTGATTTATTTTCTACGTGACTTTACCGAAAGAACCAAAGAGCAATTCCTGCAGACACGAAAGCTTCGAATCTAGTATGAACCCACTTGCTATCCTGCTATGTCCTGACTAGCCAGCTGGTTTGGGAGTTTAACACACCTATGTGATCCCCCAAACAATTGCCTGAGTAGTGCTGCCTTGCCCAGGTCATGATGCACTTGTGAATTGGGTGGTTTCCCGAGGAGCAAAATGTCCCAATAGATGCCTAGTTAACAATTAGGGACACTAAGGCTCCTCCTAATAATGATGGTATTTAAGTTAGCTACCCACACTACTTGTAGAACTAAAAATATAGCATTTACCGCAGCCTTTCTTCCCAGTTCTTAGTTTTATTTTTCGCATTATTTTTCTATGCTGCAATGCTGGTGCGCGAGTTGTAAACCACAATCGCAAGACACAAAACCGTCACATACCAATGCCGCTATAAGCCATGTGTAAACATGCCAAAACTCAGGGCGTGTTCACTTTGCCGACTAACCTGCCGTGTGTCACCAACCCCACCCAAACCTCCCACAATGCAAAGCTCAGCATCACCACTACAGCCACTGCACACAGTTTAGCTTATACCTGCAGGGAAGGGACACTTGGAAGGACACCAAGTGTATGGTCTCAGACCAGTCACCAATGACTGCACAAAGCTTTCAAACACGATTTTGTGAAGTGGTCAGAATCCTTTACTATGTACTCAGCCACGGCTGACAACAGTGGCGTGTGATATATAAAGTGGTTCTTCTCGCCAATCCGCCAGGTTCACCCACCCACCACTGCCCAACGTGGTACAGTGATGTCACAGCCCCAATGACCAGCAGCACCGACAAAGGGCAATAGATAACACATTCTGGCTCTGAAGATTACAAAATACGGCGTGTGATAAAAACCTCTATTGCATGCCATGTGAGAATGTGGTTCACCTCGTGTGGATAAGGGGCAAATGAAGGGACCTCACCAGGTCGGAGAGTACTTCTGTGAATTCGACTCTCAGAAGCTGTGGTTAGTTACAGAGCTTTCGGCAAATGTTCCGAACCTAAATGTACGTGCCATTTGGTGCAAAATGGGAGAAAAAGGCAACAACCTTAATTGTATGTGATAATGCAATCACATTCATAGGTTAGTCAGTTTAACACGTAGGCTTTCGCGACCAATATTATCCATAATACAGGGTCTTTGGGTTACATCGTGTACATATAAATGTCGTTAAACCCGCCACCACCCGACACAGCCAATTAGTAAAGTTTGTCACGCAAACAGAACGTGCCAATTCGTTACTAGTACAGCACACCGGTGAAATCAACTCATTGTGCACAGGAGCCTTATGATGGAAGAATTGTGGCATCAGCAGCACCACGGACAGACAGAACATGGTTGATAATTAAATTACTTTACGATGCAGTGAATGAGAATGTTTCTTTTACTTTTGTAACCTATGCATCATCACTTCTAACTGTACGCCCAGTTATCGTCTATACACCTCGAACTGAAGCTTCCTGGAGTCGTCCTCCTCACACGAGGGACACACCGTGTGTGTAACACAATATACCCTCATAACAACAGAAGCAGAACTTAACAAGGCTTGTTACAATATTCACAGCTCCAATTGCTGGCTATTACGGCCGAGTAGAAATGCTTCAAAAGTTAAAACAACTTAACATAACTTCATAGTTTCTTTTAAACATCTGCACATGAAGGCTTCACGGAGACTTTTGAACATTTTCACGAGGTTCCTGCACTTGGGATGCACGGAAAATCCCATGAGCAAGTGTCCCCATGCGTCAAATGTGCATGGGTGCCAAAGGAAACTTGGACGTTTCCACATTCCCATGACGAGAACCCGTCTTCTCACTGCAAATCCATTATTGACGTTGTCCAACTTGGTTGTTCTTATCCCACCGACATTTATTACAAAAGTGGGTGTCATGTGGATATACTAGATACTGTCAGAGGAACGTGGAATTTCCACCACTAGTTTATAAGTCGCCAACGGAGATCTATCGCTGCCCCACGCCGATCTTAGCACGCGTAGCTGCCCTTTGTAACTCCACTGCTGGATGACAGCCTCCCTCACGCTGTGTCAGTCATGGTAAAGGGGGGGGGGGCGGAGCGTCTGACCATACTTCACCAATATTGTCATTGCGGGACAGCGAGCGGGGAGGGTCAAGAAGGGTTCCGAAGCACGGGGAGAAGAAGCCTGCTCTGAGGAGGAGCTCCAGCGAGAGCAGAGAGCGGAGCACGTGGACGAGAGAAGAGACGCAGGCTGGTGCAGGGGACCTGGGGCAGGGCGCGACGGGGAGTGGAAGGAGGTCGAGACGCACGACGGAGGCGCAGCCAAAGGCGGGAGACGCGCCCGAGAGGACGCCGCGGACACGGAGCGATGCAATCAAATCACGGAGCAGTTATTTAACTTGTGACATGTTTGGCGGAGGGGGGGGGGGCCGGGCCCTTCTATCCAGCAGTGGATTTGACCATGGACTTGATGATGATGGATGGTGACAGTCGATATTAGACACTGACCTCGGGCCGGGTCGAACAGCGGAGGATCCGCGCAGCATTCGAGCTCAAGTGAGAGCCCTCTCAGCCACCGCAGCTACACAACGCGGGCATCTAAACGCTGCTAACCACAACGATAACAAGAACCACAACAACAACAACAATATCGGCGACGATGAGGAGCGGCGCGCTCGGTCGACTGCGACCCGCGGCGAACCACTCAGGTGGCCCACTCGGCTCACGGCACGTGACGCGCTCGCCAGTAGATTTACTACTGCGGATAGGCGAGGCCCAGCCCCCTCATCAGGCCAATGAGGGGGGGGAGGGGCGCTTGCTTATACAAGCTACGGAATCTAAATCCTAGGTGGAAGAGGTGGAGATTGCAGGAGGGGCAACATCACCCCCCCCCCCCTCCTCACCCCCCTCACCCTCCTCACCCCCCCCCCTCACCCCGCCCCCTCCCCTCACCCCCCTCACCCTCCTCACCCCGCCCCCTCACCCCGCCCCCTCACCCCGCCCCCTCCCCTCACCCCCCTCACCCCCCTCACCTCACCCTTCCCCTCACCCCGCCTCCTCCCTCACCCCGCCCCCTCACCCCGCCCCTCCCCTCACCCCCCTCACCCTTCTCACCCCGCCCCCTCACCCCGCCCCCTCCCCTCACCCCCTCACCCTCCTCACCCCGCCCCCTCACCCCGCCCCCTCCCCTCACCCTCCTCCTCCCCCGCCCCTCACCCCGCCTCCCTCACCCCCCTCACCCTCCTCACCCCGCCCCCTCACCCCGCCCCCTCCCCTCACCCCCCTCACCTTCCTCACCCCGCCCCCTCACCCCGCCCCCTCCCCTCACCCCTCACCCTCCTCACCCGGCCCCCTCACCCCGCCCCCCTCCCTCACCCCCCTCACCCTCCTCACCCCGCCCCCTCACCCCGCCCCCTCACCCCGCCCCCTCCCCCCCCCTCACCCCCCTCACCTCACCCTTCCCCTCACCCCGCCTCCTCCCCTCACCCCGCCCCCTCACCCCGCCCCCTCCCCTCACCCCCCTCACCCTTCTCACCCCGCCCCCTCACCCCGCCCCCTCCCCTCACCCCCCTCACCCTCCTCACCCCGCCCCCTCACCCCGCCCCTCCCTCACCCCCCTCACCCTCCTCACCCCGCCCCCTCACCCCGCCCCCTCCTCACCCCTCACCTTCCACCCCGCCCCCTCACCCCGCCCCTCCCCTCACCCCTCACCTCCTCACCCGGCCCCCTCACCCCGCCCCCTCCCCTCACCCCCTCACCCTCCTCACCCCGCCCCTCACCCCGCCCCCTCACCCCGCCCCCTCCCTCACCCCCCTCACCCCCCTCACCTCACCCTTCCCCTCACCCCGCCTCCTCCCCTCACCCCGCCCCCTCACCCCGCCCCCCTCCCCTCACCCCCCTCACCCTTCTCACCCCGCCCCCTCACCCCGCCCCCTCCCCTCACCCCCCTCACCCTCCTCACCCCGCCCCCTCACCCCGCCCCCCTCCCTCACCCCCCTCACCCTCCTCACCCCGCCCCCTCACCCCGCCCCCTCCCCTCACCCCCCTCACCCTCCTCACCCCGCCCCCTCACCCCGCCCCCTCCCCTCACCCCCCTCACCCTCCTCACCCCCCTCACCCCGCCCTCTCCCCTCACCCCCCTCACCCTCCTCACCCCGCCCCCTCACCCCGCCCCCTCCCCTCACCCCCCCTCACCCCCCTCACTCCCCTCACCCCCCTCACCCCCCTCACCCCCCTCACCTCACCCTTCTCCTCACCCCGCCTCCTCCCCTCACCCCGCCCCCCTCACCCCGCCCCCTCACTTCGCCCCCTCCCCTCACCCCCCTCACCCCACCTCCTCACCTCCTCACCCCCCTCACCTCGCCCCCTCCCCTCACCCCAGCTCCATGAGTGCAAACATTTAAACAGCGCAATCTATATGTGCGTACGTGGTTGCAGCGTCGAAGTTGTCTTTGATTTATTTAAACGACGACTACCACTTTAAAGTGTTTTTTTTCTGATCAATAAAATGTCAAGATAGTAGTTTAGGCTACGTGACCAGAAAACACAGCCAAGAGCATCATAATCACCCGCAGTAATTTTCACTCCACTGCTGGACTAAATCCACTCTAAGCTGTATACATTCTTAATGGTTAAGCGATGCAACAGCCAACCTAGCAGCACATGTGCACTGATTATTATCATGTGAAAGAAAAGCGCATGGATGAATAAACGCAATTAGAGACGTAGTCTTGAACAATACGGAGAGATTGGAGAGCAATCTCAACATTTACCACACCGGGTGTGCTGAAGCAGTCATAGATCGGCACGTTTGTTCACGTGACTTTATTATATTGACCGTGTCGGGTGGAGGCTGGTGTACGACACAGTTTAATTCGGCCACTGAACCCGAAGTGAAGAAGACACTCAACTCCACCGTGGATGCGAAGCGCGCGCACGGCAGGTGGCGCTAAGAGCACGCGCAGAGCGGGGTTCACCCACGTGTTGTGCGCGCGCGTGCATTAGAACAACAACAATACTAATGGTGATAATTCACATTTGTAAGGCGCATTTCATCCGTAGATCCTAACGCACCACCGCGTATAGAAAGCAGGAAATAAACAGAAACCAGGGCAAACGGCCAGCACCTTTAAATATGTGAGTTGTCAAGACGTACTTAAATGTCTCTAACGACTGTCACATTGACAAAAGGTAACGCGTTCCGTGGTCTGAGAGCCGCATTGGCAAAAAAAGTCCAAGCACATCCAGGAAAAGAGCCGCGACCTCAGAGTACTTAGACGGAGGCGATCCCAAGATCTCCGGGACCTCGGAGTGTCAAGTTGGATCAGTTCCTGCAAATATTGTAGGTCAGTAGCAGGATTGTATAATCCACTCGATACTTGACTGGAAGCCAATGCAAAGACGAGAGGCCATGAGGGTGGTGTGCCCTCGAAACGTTGTGCGCGTAGTCATTCTAGCCAGGTGCGTTCCGAACGAGCTGAAGTCTTCTTCCCAGAACCTCACTCGGAATCCCGAACAACAATGCGCTGCAGTCATCACGTCGGGCGAACACAGCAGCATGGGCCAGTCTCTCTCAGTCATCGGGTGACAGGTACCGTGCTCAGCGGGAAATAATATAATCGGCTTTCCGATTATTAAGTAATCGATGAAAAGGTCAAAGTTAATTATTGCGCATTAAACGAGCATGGGTCGGTGGCTAATCTCCTATTCGCAGCCCTGAGCTAGTGGTGGGAATTCCCCATTCCTATGGTATGGGTGAGTAGAGTGTAAATAAAGATTCTAAGTATCCATAAGACAAGTACTGTTGACGTCTGCACGCAGTGGTACCGATTTTATCGCCCTCAAATGGATGATGAGCTGAGTAAACCCCTAACCAGATTTAACTTTATCGTACCTCACCACGCTGGGCAGTGCGACTTGACGACGTATGACTATGTTATCCCTGGTAGGAGCAGGTGGTACGTGACGAGAGTAACCACAGCCCGTGAGCATATACTGGATGTGGTATGCCGAGTACGGATCTTTTTTTTTCTCGGTCATCAACCTGGATATTCAAGCAATCTACTGACTGGCTTGGCGCTGTTGTCATGTTATAGCTTCAGTTATCAGCTCTAGCAACGATGAAGATGATGGTGGCGGTGGTGGTGCGAATGGAATTCCATTGGCGCGCTGCAGGTGATTCGCCTGCAGGTGATCCTGGGTTGGCAATCGGCGAGGCCAAGCCGTTCGTGATGGGGTCAGGCAGGTTTGTCAACAAGTAATGTCCTGCCTGTCCCCAAACAACTATTTTAATTTTGCTTACATATCTCCGTTTATTTTATTCTTGAGTACGTATACAATTAGAGTAAGTTAACATTATTAAATCACGTTCAGTGTCTGTAGAGAATACAAATGATGCGTGCAGGAAACAGACAGTGATACGAAAAAAGGTGTCTCCAAACAACTCAACTTGGCAGGAATGTTTTGCATGTCAAGCTGACATCACCACATGCATACATTCTCCAGTTTACACTTGCTTCTTGTTGTCCTGCTGCCTAAATGAAACAAAACAAAATCCACACTCGGCTCTTTTGAACCGGCAGCTATTACAACAAGGCTCTGTGCAGAATATGCACACGAATGGTTTCATCTTAACATGCAACGCATGTTCGAATCATTGTTATACAATGTATTGTTAAATATTATCAACAGCCTTGATCTGCCGGATGAAGGCCTGCCCAGCCAAGCTGCCGCCACATTATCATCGTGCGATGCGGTAAGCCACCGAGCACCCCTCCGCACGAACTGCCGGATTACGAGATATTGGCAAGAGCACTCCAACTACACTTTGCCCCCCCCCCCCTTCATTTGATTAATTTGTTACCGCCTCTGTATGTTTGGCCTGTGCGCTCTTATTCATCCACCATGGATTTGAGATGTGAGATAAAATTAAAAGCGCTGTGATTGCCGCTTCAGCCACCCACACATTTTCAAGGGCTACTCCTCGCGGCCCGCGATCGAAGGGGGGAGGGGGAGGGAACGAGGGGAGATGCATCTACACCTTAAACCGATCAAATATTTAGCAGCCAACAACTAAATTATGCAACACTTTCGGCAAGTACGATTGAAAAGCCAAATGAAGGACAACATTAGGTAGCCTTGTTCATTGCGTTTTAAATTGGAAGTAGTTCCATAGCCATTCGCCGTAACTTACTGTGCATAGTCTTAGCTGTGAGCATAACGGAGTGGTGGTGCAGCGGTTAGCGCCACTACACTATGAACCCGCTGACATGAGTTTGATTCCCAGCCAGTGAACATGAGTGGCGAGTGATGTCTGCATCAGTCTTGGGACCACCCCCGACCCACAACTTTCTCACCAACCCGCAATGACCAGAGCGGTGAAATATGGGCAACCCATCACGACTGACACGGTGCAAGGAGGCCCTCATTCGGCAGTGGATTGACAATGGGCTCTCAATGGTTAATGATTAAAAGGAGAGCTATCCTGCGGCTGCAATTTTGGGAACGCGAACTGGTTATAATGGTAAGGCATTTTGAACTTTCCCCAACCCACAGCGAGAAGTGTGGACTTCACGCACGCTCCTTCGGTGGATCGGATCGCGTGGAGATGTTTGACGCTTGGAACCAGGAGGGGCAGCGAGTTAACTAGGCGACGGAAGCATGGCAAGTGGGTTAGTGAACCCATTCGCGAGGACCTTTGCATGTAATGATAATGAATTCGATTCATGAGGCGCTCTTAAACAATAACCCCCTCGTATACACGCTGGGTTTTCTCCTGTCACTTTGAATTTAGACCATACGATTAAAAAATACTCCTTGAGAAGAAATTGACCAAAAGCCCAATGCAGGACCCTCCTGAAAAGGGGTCTTGAGACTCAGTGAGGCGTCCCTGAATAACTCTACTATTATTACACAATATACAGTATTACAATGCGGTGGTTGCCAATGTTAGACTTGTGTTTAATAATTCAACCTGTAATAGCCAATTAATAGCCAAAGTCGTTCCACACGGATGTCACACTGTGCACAATGTACGTGCGCATAATGATTGTGTCTTCTTCACTGTGGCTCACTCTAATCCTTGCTATGCCACGCACAATGTATTTTACTATGCTCGCTATCCCTCCTTTAGGTTAGCTTTGCTGACTCTCTACCATCTTAGTGCTTGCTCTGTGTGGTCTCTGTCCTGTGCCAACATGTTAACATGTTCTCGCAGAAGCCACAACGCTTTGCTTACGCGTGACTGGTCTGCGTGGCTTGGCTCAATCACTTTCAATGCAAAGCAGAGGCTCTTCAGCTGGTGAATAAAACAATGCTGTCACGTACATCCCTTGGTAAATCCACTGCTGGATGAAGGCCTCCCAATGCTGTGTCAGTCATGGAGGTCCGTGGACCATACTTCACCATGCTGGTCAGTGGGTGGAACATCAGCCGCAATATATTTGTGACTGATGTTAGCCATGGCCTAGAATCGAACTCGGGTTGCCAGGCTCGTGGCAAAGTGTGCTAACCACTGCTCCACCCAAGGGTGTGTTTACACACTATGCATGTCTTGCAATGAGTATAATTTGGGAGCTTATTTCCAAATGGAAATACTGTTATGTGTTCCACAGATGATCATTAGCTATGCTGCTAATAATAATCATGAAATATATTTAATACCGCAAAGCCCATTTCAGAGGTCCTATATTGAGATGTTTGGTTAATTCTGCAAATTAAGGGTTTGATTTGTCGGAGGAAGCACACAGCTAAACCCCACAAAAGCAACAGGATGTCACACTGAAAGCTCCACACAGATGGATTTTAGATAATTACTGTGCTGCTATCTAATGGCCTCGTTCCTGCCCAAGCTTCAAACACGTGGTATCCCAATTTTCTACTTGACAATTACCGAAAGAACCAAAGAGTATGGATTCCTGCAGTCACGAAAGCTTTAAATCAAGATTAAACCATCCCTACACAGTCTCCCATCCATGTACCAGCCCGACCTCAAACCTGATTAGCTTCCGAGATATGACAGAGACATAGAATAGACATAGAATTATATCTGTAATGTATTTATAATAAAAATGCTTCTGTGAGGGAGATGGTGAGAGATGGAAACAGCTTGGGGAGCCATTCATACAGCAGTAGATTACTCAAGACAATGTTTAATTGGTTCTGTGAAGACAGCCCTACTCATTTTAAATGTATTCTGCCTATGGCCTCTGACCGCGCAACACATACCATAAACGCATTCATTCATTCATTCACACGAGTCGTACCGTGTTAACTATGCATGCAGATGAAGGTGAGACTACATTAAGAATAACCGCGTGTTCAAGTGCCATGCATGTCCTTGTGAGAGCCATAAATTTCATACAATTGATTTATTGATCTTCTTTATTGAACAAAGGATAACGCCGCATGATATTTATTATCGCCTTTGGAAAAAGTGACCTCAATTACAATGACTGCGCTGCAATAACAAGTTAATAGCCTCCAGTAGCCCTAACACAGTGCTAAAGTCACACACTTGAAATACTCTAACCCATATCCAGCCCTTTGCCAGTCCAGGATTTAAAGGGATGATCTCCCCTCGGTGTTTCCATCATAGAGCTTGTCTGACCATACTTCACCACGCGGGTAGGGCGTTGGCTGGTTAAGAGTACATGAACCACCACCGCTTCCACTAGCACCACCATTGCCAGCACCAGTCCCATGAGCTTCACACGGATGTATAAGAAATGGTTGAAGCCAAAATAAGCGGAAATCCGCTCCAAGCATAAATAAACGTACTTTTAGTTAATCAGAGTATTTTCTTTCCAAACCAACACTACCAAGCACCATTTGTTTCATCAATAAAACGCTGCGCAAATGTCAACCTTCTTGGGCCTCATCAGCAGTGATTGTGTTGTCGGCAATACTCCTCCCCCTCCCCTGTCCACAACTCTAGAAGAGCAACCGACTCGATAGAGAGGTTACGATGAGCAACCATCAACTCTCAGCACACAAAAGGCTTAGGTGGGACACCCCTGAAAGAGAGTCGCATGACTGAGCGAGGCTTCCCGGAGTAAACACGCGGAATGGGCATCACAACAACGGTGCGCTGAAGCAGTAACTAATTGCCACGTTTTATTCACGTGACCAACTTTACTAATTGGCTGTGTCAGGTGGTGGTGGGTTAACGACACATTTATATTAAAACTGAACTATTTTTTTACCAGAGGTAAGGCCCTCTGAGCTATGTATCTCTTTTTCAAAAGCGATCTGGCTACAAATGACAACTTTAACGAAGTGGCGTATTGCATGGAAATGTCGAGCAGCCAAATGCTCTGAACGCGCGATGTTGATTCTAAATGTGGCGGGGAAAACCGGAGGACCCGAAGAAAGATCCACGCGGCCACGGGGAGAGAGACACGCAGACTCCAAATATACAGCAGCAGCAGGCGTCAGTGTCGGGGTCAAACCCACGACCTCCTGCACACCAGGCGAGGTTGTTAACATCTCGCAGCCACATTGATGATGATGAGAGAGAGAGACACGCAGACTCCAAATATACAACAGCGGGCGTCAGGGTCGGGATCAAATCCACGACCTCCTGCACACCAGGCGAGATAGTTAACATCTCGCAGCCACATTGATGATGATGAAAGAGAGAGACACGCAGACTCCAAATATTCAGCAGCGGGCGTCAGTGTCGGGATCGAACCCACGACCTCCTGCGTACCAGGCGAGGTAGTCAACATCTCGCCATCGCGACGCGCTCTAACCAAACAAAACGTTTATTATGAATAATATTGGTCGCGAAACCCTGCGTGTTAAACAAGCATACTAGGGAGAGAGACAAAAACTCGAGAGCATACTTTGCTTCTCCCCCCCCCCCTCCCATATTTAACTTTAACCCTTCTCTTGCGATTGGGCGACTATCGCGGTAGGCGGAACGGCACCGCCACCAACACCAGCACCACCAGCACCGCCAGCCTCCTCCCCACCAGTTCCACCGTGCACTCTTCACTCACTCACTCACAACCGCAGCTTCGCGGGGGTGGGAGAGAGAGAGCGAGGGGGTGGGGGGAGAAGGCGGCTTAAGTCGCCGGCTCCTCTGCCCTCTCCCCCACACTTAGCCATGCGCGCGTCGCAACCGGCGGAACTCCGCAGCTGCCGGCTGATGATGATGATGATGCCGCCGCTGCCGCCGCTGCTGCTTCTCGTGCTGCTGCTGCTGCCGGGGCTGGGAGTCGCTTGTCCGAGCCGGTGCCTCTGTTTCCGCACCACGGTCCGCTGCATGCATCTCATGCTCGACACCGTCCCACGCGTGCCTCCGCAGACGACGATACTGTGAGTGTCTATCACACACACACGTGCGTGCGTGTGTGTGCCCCCTACTGCTGCTACCCCCCACCCGATACAGCCATTCATCCACACCCCCCCAGCACCCCCCCCCCCCCCAAAACAACATCACCTACCGACCGCATTCTGATCTGACACCTGACTCACCCCCTCGCCACAACCTCGTGCTGCTGTTCGCAGCACCACGATCCAGTACCCAAACTCGCTCCGGAGAGAGGGCCTCAGAAACTTTGCCTCCACAACACTGCACGAGACACTCACTCAGCTGCGTCTCGTGCAGCGGACCAGCTGAGATCCACACTCCCTCATCACTCACCCTCATCACTCACCCTCATCACTCAACCACCTCACTCCACCTCTCACTTTCCCTCCTTACACACACTCCTCTCATCTCACCAACCTCACTCTTTCACTTCAGCCACACTCGCTCTCCTTTCACTCTACCACTTCACCATCTCAGCATCCCTCCCTCCTTCTCTCCTCACTCGCCCGCACTCCCTCGCCCTGGCTAACACGCTCTCCCCACTCACGTGCTTTTGTTGATGCCTGAGCAGAAATGTGTGAACCATGTGCCGCTCATGGGCGGACACATTCGCTGCAAATTCCTAAGGCAGCAGACAAAGTGTCCGTGCATTGTATACCACGCATAGGCAGAACCAATTACAAACTGCAGTGTACACCAGAGATTAACTTTGCATTGCAGGGATGGGGTTTTCAGCTTCTAAAGATAATGTTTTGATATTTTTCTCAGTTTTTCGGATAATTTACATGATCTATTTCTACGTTTTATTATCCTTGTTTGTCAGTGACGTTTCATTCAGTCTCGAGAATCCTTTTCAGGAGGGTCTTGCCAAGTTTTCATAGTAGGGCGCTGATGTTTCGATGTCATCCCAGTTGAGTAATTGGCAGTGTATTTTTCCAGCATTGGACATGTTTGGTCAATGGCAGTTACACTGTACAGTTTTTTGTTGTTGTTGCCGTATATTATATTGTACAATAGCTCAACGTGCCTTCCGGCTAACAAAAGTGACAGTCACCCCATGGCTTGTGACACCACTTGTGGAGGGAAAACCGCGGCTCGTGACGTCATGGAAGTCACTGCTTGTGACGTCACGTTTTTTGGGGTAAATACGAAGCTATTTCGATTTGCTCCATACATCAAATGTGGTTATTGTTTAATGTATATCACGTGTAATGTATGGAGAGAGAGAAAATAAAAACAACAGGTTAACTTAAACATTGCATATTGTGTGACGTAGGTAAAAAAAAAAGTAACATTTACGTTTATTAATTATTATTTTTTTACCTACGTGACTTTACCGAAAAAACCTAAGAATATGAATCCTTGCAGTCACGAAAGCTTCAAATCTAGAAATACTGTGTGACCTTTAACATTCCCCTAGAAAGCTTAATCATCACCATTATCAGCCATGATCAATCCACTGCTGGATAGAGACCACCCCAAGACATCGTTTGATATGACGCATGTCCCACGAGCCTCGATAGAGTGATCTACATTTTAAAAAAATCCACATTTATCGGCTTCAGTATTATTAAAACAATTCGTGAACCACAGCCTCCTGACTGCCTCGACAGGCCTCGCAACACATCCAGCCAGTGGCGTGCAGGCACACGCACGTGGCGTGCCCCTCGCGGAGTTTGCTTCGTAGACATTGCCAACACTTTTGGAATACGAAGATAAACACACAGAAAAAATGAGGAGTCTTTTCCCTATTTCGTGCAGGGCTCTCCAAGTCACGGGGTAGTCTGGTTACGCCCAATGCAGTCGCCTGGGGCAAGTGTCAGACCTAACCCTAGCCATGTCTGGATTCGGGTCGTCTTGGCCCAAAGCCACAGAACCATTCCTCGAGTACCGTTTCTTTATCTCCCAGTGTCTGCGAGGTCTGTCTGCCCTGTCACCACATATCACTCTCTTGCCATCTCTCTTGCCAATTGAGTCAAGGCAGCCAAACGCACGCCTGGCTGGTGTGCTGTACGCACACGTAAGCACGCACAAAAAACGACGACTACTTTACACGTTGGTACCGTCCGAGCTGTCAACACCTGAGTGGCACGAATAACTTTTAATTGCCAATGAAAGTTAACGATGCAATAACCCGATGTGATGAGTATGCCATCAAAACACACAACTTGTGTTCCGACTTCTGATCTGCCCCGTGGTGTTACAACGCGTTTGCGAGGTCCTCTCGTGCAGTGGTTTTGGCCGTGTCAGCGGAATTATTAATGACGGCAAGAGCGATGATTTATGAATCACTTCCAACGGTGACCAAAGTAAACAATCAGACTCGAGGCAGGCATCACAGAACGCACACATCAATGGCAAACAACATAAATAGTAAGCACGGCACGTCCGTTCGCGACAACACACTCCAGTGTAAACATGCAGTAGGATCGGGCGGCTTCTCTAAAGACTTTAGTAAATACATTATTAGGTTACCGTAATCCCCAGATTATACTATTCTCCGGAAAGTAAGACGCACCCCTGACCTGTGCTCGGCGTCAATATAGTTATACAAATCTGGTCTTGCACACACACAATAAAGTTATACAAATCTGGTCTTGCACACACAATAAAGTTATACAAATCTGGTATTACACACACTAAATTTAGACACATCTGGTCTTGCACATACACACATACACACCCAGTTATCGGGTTATAAAACGCACCTTAACGTTTGCTTCAAAATACAGGGGGGGAAGGTGCATCTTGTAATCCTCGGAATGTGGTAATTGTCTATTTGTGTGCCACTTAAATACGTCCTACATTTACAGCCATCTGCTGTCCGAGAGCACGGTTGGCTGACGTTCGGTTGGCTACGTATTGGTGCAAACCCAAGTTCAGCAGACATAGAGTTGAGCCTTCGTCAGGATGTTATCCGTTGCCTTCTCCTGCTGCCCGTATTAAACATTTCATTCCACACTCCCAGCTCTTCTTAGATTGTGCCCATCACAGGGCCCACGTGCACGACGTGCTGGTGATGTCATCTTGCGATGCAGTCTGCTGCAATCTCTGCTGTTTTGCTGTTCCAGACACATCAGCTTGACGACTGTCCATCACAATCATCGCCGTGCCTTGCAAAGTTTATAGTTTGAAAGAGATTGCTGTTATTATCTAACCTATAAAAGGCATTATTTGTCTGCCTCGTTCTTCAGCCAGTCATAACTCCACATTCATGACCTGTTTTAAATTAATTTCCAGAAAATGTTCTAAGGTGCAGTCATCATAACATTATTGTAAATAGTTCAGCATAATAAATATAACTAGCCCCAAGTGCAGTTTGGCACGCCTCGTGTGCATATACTTTACTGTTGTTTCACATTCCTGCAATTAAACTGCATACTTGAGACATCGTCGCTTTCTCGTGCTTCACGTCATCCGGGGCAGTCTGGAACGGTGTTCATGGAATTATTTTGGCGCACCACGCAACCATCTCACCTGCTTCAGTACTCGTGACCCTGCAGCTGTGTGTGTGGTGTGTGTGTGCAGCAGGGTGTGTGTGTGTGTGTGGTGTGTTTGTGCAGCAGGGTGTGTGTGTGGTGTGTGTGTGTGCAGCAGGGTGTGTGTGTGGTGTGTGTGTGCAGCAGGGTTTGTGTGTGTGTGGTGTGTGTGCAGCAGGGTGTGTGTGTGTGGTGTGTGTGTGCAGCAGTGTGTGTGTGGTGTGTGTGTGCAGCAGGGTATTTGTGTGTGTGCGATAGTGTAGTGGTTAGTGCGCTGCGCTATGAACCCGGCGACCCGAGTTCGATTCCCGCTCACGGCCAACACTGGTGACGATTATCTGAACCGGTCCTGGGCCTCCCCTAGGTCGACTCAGCCTCAAATGAGTACCTGGTTGCGGTGTGTAAACAGGACCACAAGGGAGACAAAGGCGGTCGGGCGTGGTGCTGTCCACCCACCCCTTCGTGTACCGTTGCGGCCTTCATAGGTGCTCGCTAACAGCACTTGCCCCTACAGTCTGTTAAGGCTATTTGGGTAATCTTTATCTTTATGGGGTTGGTTGGTCGACGTCTGACGCAGCGGAACAGCGGTGGCCATTCACGGACCCATTCCGGCTTCCTTGAAAGGACGTCGATGGCCCTCGTCGTCTTGTGCTGACAGGTCGCAATCTGGGAGCCGTGGAACCGATCCTTTCATTGTCTGAGCACCTACGAGGTCCGAACCACCCTTCATGGTGCCGCAAAGCCCTAGCGCCACACTCCCCCCCCCCCCCGGTACATTCACACGTGCAGGGGTCTCGAGAGGGAGCGCCGTCGAACCGGCACGACGCGCCAAGATGAGAGACAGAAACTTTTTAATTCTAGATTTGAAGCTTTCGTGACTGCAAGGATTCATATTCTTAGGTTTTTTTCGGTAAAGTCACGTAGGTAATTAAAAATAAAGTAAAATAAAAATGAAGTAAAATAAAAATAAAATAATTATTTTATAAAATAATTATTTTATTTTTATTTTACTTTATTTTTATTTAACTTTTATTAATTTTTATTTTTTACCTATGTGACTTTACCGAAAAAAACCTAAGAATAGAAACTTTTTAGGCAGCACGTGGACACCCACGTGGAGGGCACACCAATAGTAGGCACGGCGGGACGAGCCGATAGACCTTTGGATAAACGATTCTCGCTCCAATTAGAGTGGCTTTAAATAAACGCGCACACTTATCATTGCATTGGAACAGATTGCTAAGCACGTGCGGTGCTTCACAAGATAGACGGTAATGGAGAGAAAGAGACGTACATTGTCACGTTTGCCGTCACTGACGTGTGACTGATGATGTGGTTGTACCAATTCCTCATCGTCGTCGTCATCACTGCTGGATGAAGACCTCACCAAAACGTTGCCATCTTTGGATCCATTTGGCTGATGCCCACGAGACGATCCGATCGCTCCGTCTCCGCGGCGGATGTTCTCCCGGGCGCGTTCCCTCCTTTGGCTGCCACTCCGCAGTTAGTCTCGACCGACGGTCTTC